ACGCAGCCGCAATTTAGCGAAACGCAAAGCCATATCAACAAACAAGAAAGTACTAGTGGCATATTTCAGCATACCTTCCGCCGTTAACAGGGGACTTATACGTTTGGAGAAATGAACGCAGCCGCAATTTAGCGAAACGCAAAGCCATATCAACAAACAAGAAAGTACTAGTGGCATATTTCAGCATACCTTCCGCCGTTAACAGGGGACTTATACGTTTGGAGAAATGAACGCAGCCGCAATTTAGCGAAACGCAAAGCCATATCAACAAACAAGAAAGTACTAGTGGCATATTTCAGCATACCTTCCGCCGTTAACAGGGGACTTATACGTTTGGAGAAATGAACGCAGCCGCAATTTAGCGAAACGCAAAGCCATATCAACAAACAAGAAAGTACTAGTGGCATATTTCAGCATACCTTCCGCCGTTAACAGGGGACTTATACGTTTGAAGAAATGAACGCTGCCGCAATTTAGCGAAACGAAAAGCCATATCAACAAACAAGAAAGTACTAGTGGCATATTTCAGCATACCTTCCGCCGTCAACAGGGGACTTATACGTTTGGAGAAATGAACGCTGCCGCAATTTAGCGAAACGAAAAGCCATATCAACAAACAAGAAAGTACTAGTGGCATATTTCAGCATACCTTCCGCCGTTAACAGGGGACTTATACGTTTGGAGAAATGAACGCTCCCGCAATTTAGCGAAACGAAAAGCCATATCAACAAACAAGAAAGTACTAGTAGCATATTTCAGCATACCTTCCGCCGTTAACAGGGGACCTTAAGTTTAGAGAAATGAACGCTGCCGAAAAAATGAACGCAACCGAAAAAATGAACGCTACCGAAAAAATGGACGCTGCCGAAAAGCGAAAAGTATCGAATGAACCATAGTCGGCATGAAATATTGTAAATTGACTTATCTTTGTATTGATTCTTTCGACATTGTGTTGATATGCTCCACAGTTGCTCATTATGAGGATCCGCTTCATTTTTTAGCCTCGTAACTTGTGCACATCTGGACAGTAATCTGTAGGAATATAATGTATATATAGTAGTGACATAAAAAAATATGTCACTACTTGAATTGCTTCACTCTGATTGGCTACACTACTTTCCGGCTAACAGTTAACTATTAGCTAATATGGCAAGTACTGTAACAAAATTTGTTGACATATTTCTTTAATAGTTGATAATGTTAAATATCAGGGACCGGTTGTACCAAGCCCATTTTCGTCAATTTTTTGAAATTTCAAAATTCGGTTGAAAATACGTCGAAATGCTTCAGAATTAATTAGAATTGCATTCTTTCATGAAAACAATACATTTGAACACATAAAACCATACTTTGATAAATTTTAAAATTTCAGCCAAATCGGCAACATGGCCCAAAGGAAAAATCATAATTTTCGCCAATTTTTTGAAATTTCAAAATTCGGTTGAAAATACGTCGAAATTATATCAGAATTAATTAGAATTGCCTTCTTTCATGAAAACAATACAATTGAGCACATAAAACCATACTTCGATAAATTTTAAAATTTCAGCCAAATCGGCAACGTGGCCCAAAGGAAAAATCCTAACTTGCGTCAATTTTTTGAAATTTCAAAATTCGGTTGAAAAAACGTCGAAATTTTTCGGAATTAATTAGAATTGCATTCTTCCATGAAAACAATACATTCGAACACATAAAATCATACTTTGGTAAATTTCAAAATTTAGTCAGGGAAATCGGCAGCGGGGGACCAAAGGAAAATTTCTAATTTTCGTCAATTTTTGAAAATTTCAAAATTTGGTTGAAAATACGTCGAAATGCTTCAGAATTAATTAGAATTGCATTCTTTCATGAAAACAATACATTTGAACACATACAATCATACTTTGATAAATTTCAAAATTCCAGACAAATCTGAAACGGGGGACCAAAGGAAAAATCCTAATTTTCGTCAATTTTGTGAAATTTCAAAATTCGGTTGAAAATACGTTGAAATGCTTCAGAATTAATTAGAATTGCATTCTTTCATGAAAACAATACATTTGAACACATAAAACCATACTTTGATTAATTTTAAAATTTTAGCCAAATCGGCAACGAGGGACCAAAGAAAAAATCATAATTTTCGTCAATTTTTTGAAATTTCAAAATTCGGTTGAAAATATATGCTTGAGAGTTTTCAATTCATGTATTTTCATTAATCAAAATTGTTCAATCAATAAAATCAGACTACTCGCGATCATTTCTTTCTCGGCTTTACACAAAATATACACATCCACGAAATAAAAGATTATTCATGTTCATGATTTTGTACAATTCTACAATTCATTAGCGGGTTTTTTGCCAGAAATTCTTTAGAATTATTTTATGCTAATAAAACACTTTCGTCGCTTCACCGGTCAATACATGTAGTACATTTATCCATGATACTTACGAAAAATAACAGGGAAGAAAAATACCATTTCATATTTTACTAATACATAAAGTACGAGAAAAGGAAATGTAATATACGTAATAAAGCACCAAACTTTTACCTTTTATGGAGCAAGATAGTGATGACTTTTGGAACTCCTTCAATGCACTTGACTTTTTCAGTCTTCAGCTTTGACAAGCGATTTATTTTGCTCGCTCTAAGCCTAAAACGACAGAAATTAACAGCTATTGTAAAGCAATTTCAACCTAAAGCACAACCAAAATATCATATATCCATACATTTCTTTTCGAATAACCATAAACATTGCTGAAGATTTAACGTCGCAAATTTTTCAACACGGGCACAGCCAAAATATGGCCGAACACGAGGTCGAATTCAACACAGAAATTTAATCACTTTTAGGTCAGTCATGAATGTGGAATATTATACAATAAAACACGAGAACATACCTCTTTTCTTTGTCAGGCTACCCAGTTTAAAAAAAATGAATTTAATGAATTTATTAAACTTTTCACAGTAATTCTGTTCTCAAACACAATACCAGAGCTTACAACGAAATTTTGAAAATGCCTCGTAAATCGCACCGGCGCGCCCTCGTACTATCACATGACAACGAATCACTAATCCTATTGGACAAATTATTATATTGCTGGGCCGGTTGTACAAAAGCTGGAGGTATGCATGAAAACACGGAGTCGGAGTTCCGGAGTACGGAGTCCCGGAGTGAAGTGTCCAAAACTTTAAAACACGGAGTGGTAAAAACACGGAGTCGACGTAAAAACACGGAGTCGACGTAAAAACACGGAGTCGACGTAAAAACACGGGGTCGACGTAAAAACACGGAGTCCACGTAAAAACACGGAGTCCACGTAAAAACACGGAGTCCACGTAAAAACACGGTTTTTACTCAATATTTTTATTTTATATGTGGTTGCGGGTATTCAGATCCTGTGGAGATGGCTATCCCCTCATTGCAGGGGTGTTGGAAGATGAGATGATTGGCAATGTGGCAATGATGAATATTGATGATTGGTAACATTTGATATGATCCCGTTATAGGAATTGTAGAATGCAGAATATTGTGGATAATTGTGGATTTGAAAATGGTTGAAATGCTACGAATATGTGTTTGTTGTTTGGCAAAACACGGGTGCAATATGGAAACGCATGAGATGCCTTGGCCGGAATGAATGCCGGTTATTGCCATTCTGGTCAAGTCCCTTTCGTTTGTTTTTCGTTGAAAACTGTAGTTACGTTTCATCAGACTCCAAGCATAACTAGGGAAAGCACGTTTCTAACCCGCTAGCAGGTCTTGGAACGACGTGCTCGCATATGTGATTTGTGGTAATGAGCGGAAATTGTGTGACGTGAATTCGTGGTGAGATCGGTGATGATGATGAAGTCCAAATATGTATGAGCATTCTGTTTATCCGTATGTAGTGGGCTGTTCGTTTGCTATTGGGGGCTAATCCCTGAATCGATTGGTTCCTGTTCTCTGAATTGATTGGTTCCATAAAACATCCCCAATGTGTGGTGATTTTGTGAGAAAGGGTGGTATTCAATCCCACGTGTATTCCCGTTAGTGAAATTATAAAGCGCGGCTTGGGAGCGTGCCGGGGAAATGATCATCATCATTGCCACATTGCCAATCATCTCATCTTCCAAAGGCACCCTCCAACACCCCTGCAATGAGGGGATAGCCATCTCCACAGGATCTGAATACCTGCAACCACATATAAAATAAAAATATTGAGTAAAAACCGTGTTTTTACGTGGACTCCGTGTTTTTACGTGGACTCCGTGTTTTTACGTGGACTCCGTGTTTTTACGTCGACTCCGTGTTTTTACGTCGACTCCGTGTTTTTACGTCGACTCCGTGTTTTTACCACTCCGTGTTTTAAAGTTTTGGACACTTCACTCCGGGACTCCGTACTCCGGGACTCCGTACTCCGGAACTTAGACTCCGTGTTTTCATGCATACCAAAGCTGGATTGCGTTATACTTATCCATCGGATCACTGTTTTTTTTAATCGCTGACAGGGTGTCCCAAAAAAGTCCCCTCTATTGAAATCAAGCCTTTGTTAGAATCTGACTTTTTTGGGGTGTCTCAAAAAAGCGAACGCTATTGAATTCACCTGTTGTTAGACTTCACGGTTAACGGTGGCTTGCAAATAGCTGTATAAAAACACATAACCATCTAACCATATAACCACATAACCATATAACCATATAACCACATAAACAAACATATAGTGACAGTACAGTATCAGTGTATAGCGTGTAATATGTATACAATAATACTGTGATTATATAATTTATGTTAATATATGTAATGTTATTTCGAAACAAAATAGTGTAAAAATTTGACAAGGTCATAGCGAGAATGGTTAACGCGAGAATCTTTTTTGCAGAGAACATTTTGGTTATAATGATATTTTTACATAATGTACATTTTAAAATACCTATACCTATACCATACACCATAGATAAAAAGTTTTCATTATAATTATGTTTGTAACTTAGGGTCAGCCAATGGGTCAGCCTATTCGCAGGTTGGTTAATAACTACAACTGACCACTGAGATACTGACTACTACATGTCTACATTTGATTTTCTTTCCTCTTTTACCGAAGGATGAGATTTAAAGCCAAACTTGTTGAAATATCATGCATTCATCATTTTTCCAGTATGTATATAAAATGTCACAACGTTATCATAACGCAAGATATATTTCCCAGTTGTAAAAATTTATTCATAGAATGTGAATACATACACTCTTCACTGTTGAAATATCTCAAACTGGCACCTGGCAGAAAAGTCTTTTTTCTCTTGTTAGGGAAGTGAAAAACAAGAAACAATTAGCTTCCTTGCTTTTTAGTATTCCTGTCTGCTTTACCCAGAATCAAATTATGGAAAGTAATTTTTTTCATTGTAGCTCCCCATGCTTATGACCAAAGCTCTCTTCAAATCCTACTCTGTAGAAATAGTTTTTCCATAATTTATTTAAGGTTTTCACAGACTATATTTTTTTCCACAATAGCAATTATCAAGTGCTGACTTATCCATGAAATACCACCTTTTGTGACATATGTTGCATCAAGCCCATAATTAGTTAATTAAGTTAGGGTTAATTAAGGTTAATTTGACATAGTATGTTTTTTCACATGTATTAAGGAGTGGTATCAACAGTGTCTCATATGGCCAAGAGTTGCGCATTGAGACTGACTCCAAACAAACTTTACTTTATCCTAAATGACACTGCAGCACAGGGAGGTGTCACAATATGGTGTGAGGTTAATCAGGTATATGTAATCCAGTTATAAACTTGTCATAGGGTTTGGACAATGACAATGTATTCGAGAATTTATTTAATTGACATATTGTACCTCTTTAAATTTTTATAAAATTGTTTTTTCCAGAGTGCATTGTTTGAGGAATTCAGGATAGAAGGAAACGAAGGAAGTCATGACAACATTTACCTGGAACTCCGTCCTGACAACTTGGTGAAAGCAATGAAGTCTGGCTTAAATGCTCAAATTGTAAAGATTAAGCTCACGAACAAAGTTTCCCCATGTCTTACTTTTGAAATAATATTGGTAAAATTTACATACTATATAAACACAATGATTCATTTATTTTCTGATTTGAATAGTTTTGATGTGAGCAGTTCATTGGCCCATTAATGCAGCCAAGATTAACTCCTTGAATTGGCAACTAAACCAGCACACATTTGCTGTTCCATGCCCATGCATGCAAGAGATCTACGCCAGTTATTAGTTGGCAGCTAGCCACATGTACCTGCATCTGGTTGCAATTTGCAACAGACCATTGAACATTAAATATTTGGCATCATGGTTGTTTACTAAAATATATGTAGAGGGTCGTATGCACTATATAATATATACAACCAATAATTTGTTTTGTATTATTTCTAAGCCATCCATGGTACGAACACGAACAGTCACCCATGATACCCCAGTAAATGTGATACCTCAAGAACAATGGGATGCTTATCAAGAGCCACAGATGCCTGAGTACAATGTAATAATTCATATATTGTGTTCATCATTACTGTATATTGCACAAATAGTAAATTCGTGCGGAAATAGTAAATTCGGTGAATCGCGTTTTGATCCCGCATAGCCGAGATTCAACGATGCGCGAGATGACTTCGAGGTATTGGTATGAGTATACAACATGATCCTAGCAGTGGTGACTGTGGTGTAGTCATTCCAACAATAGCATGTGCTTGTTTTGTTTCATAAATGTTTAATGCCTCAAAATCATCTCACGCTTTGTCCAATCTCAGGTCACCGGGCTCATTAGCTTAAGGGCTCAATGGTCATGAGCCATTGAGCCCTTAAGCGTAAGTGTGACCAGCTCTGGTACCAGCGCAGTCAAACTAGATTTTGAGCAGCTTTGAGCAGCTGAGATTTTGAGCAGCTAAAAAATTTGCATATATGGCCCTACTTTGGGAGGTACATCGCTCTAGCTATAGAGCCCCGTACTCGTCATGAAGACGTTGAGATTCAGACTACTAATTTTTAGTCAATATTTCGTACTTTCCGAGAAGCGTTAGTTATAATTTATTTGTTTTAGGTTAGTATAGTTATGCCATCTTTGAAGACTGTCAGAAATATTGTGGACAAAATGAAACATTTTACCACTCAATTGGTATGGAATTACACATAAACATTAATTATGGTTTTCAAGTAACGCCTTTGAATAGTTATTAACCCCCAAACCCTTTGCATTTGAGGTACGCACATCAAAAATCCACCTTGATTGCAGCCGGATTACAAAACCTAAATCTTCCGGTAAATAAAATACACTGTGTAATGATTTGCCTTGTTGAACAATTATCATTTTTTTCTTTTGAGGTGATCTCGGCAAATATGAACGGATATATGACTTTAAAAGTTCAAACTGACATGGTCTCAGCGACAACACACTTCAGAAATTTAGATGTTGAAGATTTAGGTAAAAATTCGCTCTTAAACACGTGAACTCTTTTAGGTATACCTTGGGAGGTATTTCTATCGGTCAGAAACAACTTTCAGTCTTTCACATTGAAATGGACCGGACTGGAAATGAAAAATTAGGTACTTTAGGTCGAGCTTTTGGTAAAACTGGTGAAGTAAGATTATACCAAAAGACCATTGCCATGAAATGTCTTTTCAATAATCAGACGAAATGGATATCTTATTCTTATATATGATAGTTTGTAGCTATAGTTTTTTTAAAAGTAATGACTTGACCTCAGAGCAGCAACATAGACTTGTGTTTTGTGTTATCCCGAGGCCGAGCCTGTGGTAAACAAGTACTAGTTCAACATTCCCAACCGAGCTAGGCTACGTTGTCACATGGGATGCCTCGGTTTCTGCTATAACAGTCATTCTAACTATTCCAGATAATGATAATTCTAACAACAATCGGAGCAATTCCAGGCAGGAAATGAGTGAAGCAACCGTAGATATCAAGAAATTACTGGCATTCCTACATGTTCAAATTGTTTGCCCAACAAAAGTCATCTGTAGTACGTAATTTGTTTTTAGCCCGAACTCTTTCTCAATTCTCAAGATAGTTAGTCTAGAATTATTTCTCTTTATATCTGTTTAGGTATTGTCCATCAAAGAGCAGTGCAATTCTACCTTATCCATGATGATTTTTCTCTACAGTATTTTATCCCTGCGATTGCAACGTAACTTGCTAAATCTCGATTATGGCCGACGGACATTCTGACAATTTGCAAATTGAGAACTGATGAGGACATCTTCAGAGGCAAACTTTGTGTAAAACTGATATTGCATTGATGCAGGCCTTAGTACAACTAATTTAAAGGCATATAAGCGCTTGCACAACCTTTTAGGTATATATCTCAAAGGATAAAGTAATGGTAAAGAAAGATATACGACACCTCCGGACGATATTACGCCTAAATGTGTGGTTTATTAAGAACTGGTTCGTCTAAATATAAGGTTTTCAGTTACAGTTGCAGTTACAAGAAATATTTATTTAAGAGCTCTACTACGTAGCTCGTGAAGAACCACGCTGTTTTTTCAACAAAAACACTAAACAGCTAAATCAGCAATTAACTTTATTCAGTCTATTAACTACTGCTGCTCGTCTAAAGATGTCAGATGTACGTTCACGAGATAGGAAACACCATCATTAAAATAATAAATAGGCACTTTCTTCTTGATTTGAAGTCAAGATTATTAAAACTGCATCTTTACTGTAACATGTCTCATATTTAGTTAATAAAGAAAAAGAAGTGAAATAAATGCACAAGTATAGATGAGTGTATAGTTCCACTATACAAGAAGATGTTAAAAAGGTTTAATCATGTTTTGCTTGAAAAATAAAATACCAGCATGTTACTTTCACTACCGTACTAAACGTTTTATTGAGAATATTTACTATGGAATTACAAAAAGATATATGCACGCATTTACATGTACTTTCTCAAATGAGTTGGTAAAATTGTCAGTGTCCATAATGCATACTTAGCCAGATAAGACCATTCTGACAAATTCTATATAGAAAATGTGGGATTAGTTATGATAGAAATTTTGAATCAGCATGTTTTGCATTGTTTTGTAGCTGGAAATTTTTGTCTACATTGATGTGATTAACAAGTGCTTAGACCAAGAACATCTCAACTTTAGTGCCGACAAATTTGGGAATGAACTCAGTGGGAATAAAATCCATCAGTTTTCAAATATTGTCATAATTTGTCTAACCTTTGTAGGAAAGATCATAAAACTAACCAACAACAAAACATCTTAATCAAAACAATGATTTCAATGTTTTGATCAGGTCTCAATAGCAATCCTTGATGTACTTTACCTTCAATATTAATTCTTCCTTTTTTATCCTCAACTTCCTTGAATAGGACATCACATTCCTCATCACTGAGTTTGTCACCTAAAAAAAGCAATTTAATAATATTCAGGCCTTAATATTACATTGCCCATCTATTACCTAATGCTGCTTACCCAGAGATGTTAGAACATGACGTAGTTCACCAGACAAGACAATACCATAACCATCTTTATCAAAAACTTTCAATCCTTCAAAAAATTCCTCTGGTTTTGGCTTCTTAGGACATTTCTGGGCAACAGCATGTAAAATTGGCAAAAATTCCTCAAATGTTATTCTCTTTATTCCTAAAATATAAATTCTAAATTAAAGTTGCACCAACAGAAGCATTTTGAAGGAAGAATTCACTCTTTGATATCTATGACTGTTGCTGCTGTTATTTGTGTTAAACATTTTAATAGTTAATAAGTCAACTACAAATAGATGATAGTTATGATTCTTTCTAATAAAGTTTTGGAATCGTCACTCACATCTCGGGATGCTCCTCAGGGGGGCAATTTACAAAATAAGTGAAACATTTCCACACAAATTTCTTTACAAACTCAATGTTTTTTACCATGGCACAGCTCATGTGCAACTTAATTGATCTAATCTAAATCATACATTTTCACCATTCTACAATAAGTCTAGATAGTAAAATTTATGATGGATTTTAAAAACACGTTATTTAATTGCTAAAACAGTAAATTATGAGCAAAAGAAGTTCAGTTGTGAAATAGTATAACAGCAACAGGTTTCCAAGTATGAATTTTAAATGCCATAAGTGCCAATGGACTTGACAATAAACAACAGGCTTGTATGATTTGTGTCTGGCCTGTGGGAGTTGACAAATAGCAAAGGCATTGAAGCAATACAAGGGTGCAAACAAACATTTATTGAACTTGATTTGTACAAAATACTCCTAAGGGGCAAAAAATTAGCATATTATGCACAATGCCGAGTAACAATATTAAATAATTAAGATCTTTATAAACTAGTCAACGCCCAAAAATTACAGTTGCATTCCGTCACTATACACTATTCAACAATTCAATAATCAAGGTAAAGAATTCACATGATTACCATTGCCTACAAGCAGTCTTAAAACAATGTGTGGTAATTGCTTACCTTTTGGATCAACATCAACAACCACTTTCTTTATATCATCGCTACTAGGATTGAAATCTAGCGACCTGATTACATCTCCTGACTCACTACATTCAATTTTTCCATCCCCAACTGTGTCAAACAACTGAAACGCTTCCCTGTACTCTAGAGATAACAACAAATAATTAAATAAAACCATTAAAATTGCTAATTGTTATCTTGCAAACTACTGTTTAAAATGTGTTTACGGACGCCAAGTCGATCTGAAAAAATTCCGCAAGCGAGAAATCTGTGTATGACACAGGCATAAGAACTGTATATTTCATTTACCCTCTATCTTAAGCTCGGAGAACACACTCTGGAAAAGCGAGAGAAATGTTAAAATATATCAGAAGTGCGCAAAACAACACGGAATGAGCGACAGGAATACAAACCATTTCGCTACGTTTCTTGATTGCTTGCCTCGTAATAACGCTCGTGAAACGATAAAACGAAAACCCGATGTTTAGATTTTCGTAACTTGATATCTCTACCGGATTGCATGGTATGAAACCAAATTTGGCTCTCAGGAATATTTGTGTGGATCAAATAAAAGAAAATCAGTAATTGTTTACTTATTTCAAGTTTACAAACATTCAATGCTCGCAGTGTCTACGGTCTTTGTATGACTGCATATAGCCAAATATCAAAAGTTAAAAAACGAGTATGCTGAGCCTGAAAATGACGGACTTGACAAAAATACATATAATTTAACTACAGTATCTTTATCTAGAGGACATACAAAGCTTTTTGCAAGTCAAAAGCAAGCAGCAAGCTTAACTCCATTGGAATGTTTTATATGTCTTTAAACAATTTACCTTCTTCTAAAGCCAAACTTGCCATTGCTATTGAGTATTAGAAGAATCACGCTACGATTTTACCCTCCTTGAAAGAACTCAAAGAAGAGTCTAGTTGTATCCTTATCCAGGTGAAATTCTGTGATCTTTTATCACTGTCTTTTATCTAACTTTGGGACGGGCGCCGGCACGGTAAGTTCCGATGGTAGTGCGACAGTTCGCGACCATCATCGACGGCGTGCCACCAGAGTCCCAGCGGATAGTGTCCCCCGCAGAAAGTGTCCGCTAGCGAATTATGTCCCCCCCAGACATGGATTATGCTCCCCCTCGCGGATAGTGTCCCCCCGAAAAAAAACCAACTAAATTATGCTCCCCTTCGCGGATAGTGTCCCCCCGAAAAAAAAACATATTTCCTGGCTGCGATTCATGTAACGTCAGTGATGTAAACATTCAAATTTATTTAGATAGAACTCTTTTTTAAAGAACATTTAGATTTAGAATAATTTGCTTAATTAATAATTATTACTATTTGTTGTTACATAGAACTTGTCAACGTGTTGACCTTTCATAAATGGTTGCAAGTTATTACCAACAATACTTAGTTAAAACTAGATTTTTATATGTGATAATAATGGCTTCTATTATTTCATCTGTGCAACTATGGCTTACAAATAGCTTTGGAAAATGAAGCAAAATTCTCAAAGCAATCACTTGAACGCATCCAAAATAGATCCTCGTTTGCGTACGACGCGATAATCTGCCATTAGGCGCCAATCTCCGTTGATTCTACATAATTTACTTTTATCATAAAAGAGAGCAAACTAATTTGATTATTTATTTTTTCTTGGGTTTTTTTTGTGACCGTTACCAACTCCATGCATTGTATGGCCGACGATTAGGGAGTACTGTTTAAAATTCAGCAAAAGCGAAAAATATGATTTGCAAGCGCAGAATCAACCGGCAGGATGGCAGCCGAATTGGAAAGCACCACTGCTGAATGCGTCATTAACTTACAATATAACTCTCTTTATTGATTGGATCATTCTAAACTATGATGAAACAAAACGTTGCAGAAAATCACAGGAAGGCACTTGGATTTGCTCGGGGGTCTTTTTGATGTCGAAACCTGAACGCCATAACCACTCCAACAAACTACAAATTAGAAAGAAAATGACATTTATACCTAGTAACACGATGAATATTTCATAAACAATAAAATGAATACTGTTGCATATTTAAGCCATAGTTGTACAAAATCAGCCTTTCTAACGATGACGAAAGTCCGCCATTCTTAGGGGAACTTTTAGTTCTCTTAAATGCGTTTAAACAATAACAGCAATCTAAAAAGCATTTTTTGTGAGTCATATTCGTAGGCTGACTCTCATTTGTTTTAGAAAAGGGGAGTTTCGCTTCAGCGAAGGGCGTTTCTTTAAGAGGGGGCGTTGCGTTTTGCATTTGCCGACATAAACACGACAAACGTGATGACTATTGTAACGGCAAAAAAAGCTAAACAGCCTACATTAAGGCTCTGTTATATTACATACCAACGTGAAACTGAAAAACATTCCGACTCCGCCAATGCCATTTTTAATTGCATTCAAACCATGAGAAACAAGATACGAATAACACGGAGAACATTTCAAACAACCATCATCACCGCAACAATTTGGTAACTATAGAATGATTGAAAATAGAATTTAAAAAGGAAACAATTACAAGACACATTATTATAAAATATGTTGGCATGGACACATATCACATACCTAGTGCAAAAGCTGTGTTGCTATTGGCTAAGAGCAGCCTGAGCAGGTGCGTTCAAACTCGAACCCAATGCGTGCTCCCCCCTCCCTGCAAGTATGTTTATTATAATATGACCTAGACTTTGCACAACTGGCTCTTGGAGTATGTAGAATCTGTTGTTATTGCTTCTATAGCATTTCACAAAACTTGAAAACCCCATCTTTTGGGGACAAAATCTATATTCTGTACCTCAGACTTAGTTCGACCATGACATGGGTCAGTTGAGTTTCTAGTCTTGTTATCAAATCCACAACAGTTTCCAAATTTCTCCCATTTTCCTTTGCTTTCATCATCAAGATTGTTCCAACCATGCGATAACACCCTGTGCTCATATTCATCAGTTAGAGCAAGTGCCGCACACGAGAATGCAAACAGCAGAATGAAAATTAGAATTAATATGATCATATACTACATGCTGTTAAGGAACATTAGCTGTCTTTATAAATGCAAATATCCTCAAACTTGTAAATTATTAGTTAACATGGTTAATTACCTATATTGCTCAAATCTGAAGTAATAATCAATTTAGAAAATGCATGGAAGAAAGCAATATGATACCAACCTTATGGTACATGTAATCATAATTTAAAAGTAAGAAATAAAGCTTGAATGAGGATACAAAAAACAATATAATTTGATTATGTCTGACAGCACCATATATTCCAGCAAAAGCAATGAGCATAAGGAAGACACCACTAGCTATTGCTCCACCAATGATTGGCCAACTTGTGAGAAGCTGACTGAATTTTGAGTATACTGGTAGTATTATTAAGATTAACCCAACAACCTGGAAATAAATCAAAATTATTGAAATGTACTTCCAGTATGTCTGATTGCCCAAGGAGAAATGACAACACATCCATTTAAAATTTGCAATTTTTTTTGTTTAAATTTAAAATTTGCAAATTCTTTGGAATAGTTGAGAATTTAAATAACAGAGATTAATAGAGAATTTGCATTAAATGTTTTTAACATTTAATGTCATTCTTTAGGAATTTGGATTCTTAATTCTTAAGATGGGTTACAGTTGGTAACGTAAACAAAAACTTTGTTTACATTTTGAATCACTGTGTCTCTTAAAATATCCTGTCCTGTTTGAATATTTGTTACTATTTCATTTCACTATATTTCTAAATGAATAACAGATAGAGATCATAGAGTTTATGATCAGTAGAAATCTGGGGTCAATGCAGGAAGAGCAACTAAACATAATTAAATTCATATTTAATTTCAAGTTGAATACTGGGAAAATTACTTCAAATTTTACTTTAGACAAGTTACATATAGTTAAAAAAGTGGTTGTGGAAATTATCAACATAATAATCTGGAATCCAACACACGAATATAGTTATAATGCAGCTGTAGCTCACGAGTACCTAGTAAGCCCAATATTTGTCAATCAAAAGCCGAGGGCTTGAGCAGTTGAATTGACAGAGCAAAAAATCTGCTATACAACGCAAATTCAAATAATATTATACCAAGAAGTAAAAACGGTTTCTTTTACATACAAACAAAAACTAATTATTTATTGTTCTACACTGGAATTGGAACCTCGCCAACGTCTATTATTAAAACAGCACTCGATCGGATTGAACGATTTAATACATTTTGTTTTGCTGCAGGTTTTAACTATGATACTTACGATATACATAACATTCAAAGAAATGAGTGTTTGCCTTGTAAATCCAAAGCCACACGACTTCATTGTGCTGTTATATACAATGTTTATATAAATATATATATGATGAAAACGTGTTGTTGTTTAGATGTTGCAGTATTATATTACGCCATATTGGATTTTGAACAGCTGAGTTTCGCCAGTGAACTCCATAATAAAACTGGAACGATAACTCAGCGCCAGCAGGGTGTTCAACTCAAGGCGTTGCCCAGACCGAAATCAGCGTGTTTTTAAAAACGTGAAATTTAAAATTTCGCAAGTCTCACTTCACCGTAATTCACTTTTCACAATCTTCACCGTAATCCAGGCTTTCACTTTCCCACCGCCATTCAAAAATCTGAAAACATCATCGAACTCAGCATAAAAAATGGCACTCTTTTCACACCAAACACCTCTGTTGAATTGAATCGTTTTTATCATGCTCGAGGTTATAATCTCTATTTCTAGGCTTTTACATGGTGTAATTATATATTACAGCTACTGTGAGAACTGAGAAGAGAAGTGTCCGACAAATTTTGTAAGAGTTATAGACTCGCCATGGTGGACTTCCGTGTCTTCGGATTTTTGAATTTTTATTGTTTCATCTTTGTTGATTCAGTTTCATTTTCAGAGTATATTAAAGTCCTACTTTTGTTCTTGATTTCAACAAAACAAATCGGCTTGTTGCCTCAAGTAATGTTGACCTCTTAAAAGAACGGTGCTGCAAATGTGGTTCTGTTTTTTGGTGTTCCTCAAACTTCCTTATAAGTTGGTTTACGGCAGCTCCACTGTGAGAATTAGAGATTTCCTTGTGTGCAGCTCTTCCAATGTTGCTTGCATCACCTAAACTGCCTCCCGTAGTTATGCGTGGTGATGAATTCTTGCGCGTCACCATGATTGTTACTGGAACCTTTTTCTGCAGGAAATTTGTCATTATAATAATAGTAATAAAATTTTCACGCGTCCAAATTACAAGTTTAGGCTGCCGCGTATGATAACAGAATGGCAGCATTATGTGCCACAACCTATCGTTAACTCTTGCACTATGCTAGTGTCCGACCCTATGGTCCGACACTTAGCTATCATTATATTCGGAATTATTATTATATATAGCTCAGTGGTGTCGCATAGTTCCGACGTCCGAGTGAAATCCGAAGCTGAAACGAGTGATTCAGCGACAAGAGTTGTCGACTTGTCGTTTATAAATTTGACTAATTTCAGACTTTAGATCATAACAAAGGAAAATCTTTTAAAAATGTTTTACAAAAGAAGAAACGTTCTAGTCAGATAACAGAGAGGTAGGCCGACTTACACACTTTGCATTTTCCTAGTGTTCAAAACGTTTTTTAATTGAAATTCTAGAATATTAAGTATCATAAGTACAGTGTATGAAACTATAGCGTTTTGTACCGCTCGGATTTCAAACATGCAGGGAAGCCTACGACCAATACTAAATCTTGATATTTTTTCATTTTGTTTGTTCTATTTTCTGTTTTGGGAATAAATCACAATAAAAAAGTCTGTTTTAAGATGAAATGGTCATAGACAGATATATCTACTAGAACCAAAAGGTAGCATGTTTTGAACAATATGATGACCCTATATATTATTGTATTTAATAAGTTCATGTACTGTACTATTAAGGGGCTGTGCATATTTTAAATAAGTCAAACGTCTGGCTGATTTGATATGTTAGTAGGGGAGTTTCGAACAAGGCTAATCTGTATTAGACCCTGTTTTAGCAATTGGCCTAACTCGCCTACCCAGCAAGGGACCTGCTTAAGGCTAAGACGTAAGATTTTCTAGGAAGAAGTTCTGTGTTTATATGAACTGATGGGTAGGACAAGAACTATTTTTAGTTTCAGTCAGAACCAGATATTTCTTTCACTATGACAATGTATTGAAATAGAACTAAGTCCTGGTTCTGGTTATAATGCTTCTCTTAATGGTTCCTACCTGGAACCAGAACCCTTAAAAAATCCGAGGGACTTTGGGCTGGTACCTTTTGGGCTACAAACATCCTGGTTGATAATTTACTGAGATGTCCCTTATTTTTAAAGGTGGGGAAACTATAATACTGTTGAAATCTTATGGATTTTTAGTTTATTGGAATTAAATGTTTATCTACCTTTTGGATACCTTGGAATTTGAGGTTGTGGATAAATCTGGTCAAAGATGTAAGTAGCATTGATCTTCTGCCTTTAATACTGTACAATATTAGCCATTTGCCGTAATCATTCATCTCTGCAGCAGCATTTCTATTGTGTGACTGCATGTTTCTTCTGTCCATAAAAAGTGAGTTTTACTTTCCCTACACCTTGAAAACCTATTTTTTTGGACCATGCCTTCCCATGTAGTTCCTCAACCTGCCTAATTCCCCCATTAGGGATTACAAGCAAGCATCAAGTACAAGCAAAGAATCCCGGAGCAATGTTGATAATAGTGGACCTGTTGCAGAGAACTGGTGTTACACACAAGTGAAAGTGATCAAGTTTTCATATATGTGGACAATTAATAACTTTAGTTACTGCAGGGAGGAGATGGGAGAAACATTAAAGAGTTCAATGTTTTCCGCTGGAGAAAATGATAAAATGAAATGGTAAAGCTCTTTCATACAGATCTAACAGAATTGGAAATAATACTCTCTAAGGTGTATTAATAACACAAAAGTGTAGCACAATAATCATCTGACTAGTATAGGATTGCTAAAACAATCCAAAATGTTGGGGGGGAAATATTTGCATTTGAGAAGTTATAAATTAATACCATGATGGTTTGGTAATTTTTCATCACCAAGTAGCTGTTGTAATTTTTTAACTTCTATCCTGTAGGTGTTTACGCGTAAATCCTAAAGGTCTAGATGAAGAAAGTAAAGATTATTTATCCTTATATTTGTTATTACTTGCCACTAACAAGAATGAAGTTCGAGCTAAATTTAAATTCTCAATCTTGAATGCCAATAGAGAAGAAACAAAAGCAATGGGTAAGACCAAAGGTCTTTTACTGAATCAAACATTATTGCTGAGGGTATGTGTAGTGTACTTCCAACTAAACGAAGAAACATTTTTTAATTTTATAGAAAGCCAGAGAGCATATAGATTTGTCCAGGGAAAGGATTGGGGTTTTAAAAAATTTATAAGGCGAGATTTTTTAATGGATGATGTAAATGGTCTTCTCCCAAGTGACACATTGACTTTATTTTGTGAGGTACAGTATGTTATATTGTGCCTGAACAGCAGTCTGTACATTCCATATTTTTATGGCTTATTAAAAAGGTTTAATAGAAACTACACCAATCATTTTATTAGGTAAGCGTGATTGCCGACTCAGTCAATGTCTCTGGTTCAACATCTCAGGCTGTTGTCAAAATTCAAGAATGCAATTTAGCCTGTCAATTAGGCAATTTACTAGACACTGGATTACTGTCTGATGTCTCACTAATACTGGCTGATGGAAAGCATTTCAAGGCACATAAAGCCATCTTAGCAGCTAGATCACCTGTCTTTGGAGCAATGTTTGAACATGAAATGGAAGAACGTAAGAATGGACGGGTGCAAATATTGGATGTAGAGTCAGATGTTTTTAAAGAAATGTTGCAATTTATTTACACTGGCAAAACAAGCAAACTGAATGAGATGGCTCCTGAATTACTTGCTGCTGCGGATAAGGTGAGTACACGAATGCTGGCAAATGAAATAATGAATAGGAGAAACTTCCATTCCAGTACCATGGAGATCGGAGACATGCAAGGCGAACGCAAATTCTGTTAAGATTACCCACCTATCTACCTCATCCATGTAACAATCAAGAGATAAACGACGATCTCTTCACTGTTTCTCGCTTTCTTTTTTTGCAGTATGCTCTTGATCGTCTCAAAATTATGTGTGAGGAATCATTGTGTACGAGTCTATCTACAGATAATGTTTGCAGCATTCTCATCCTGGCTGATCTTCACAGTGCTAACCACCTCAAAGATTACGCTGTAGAGTTTGTAAATAGGTAAATACGATTTCCTAAATCAAGTAAAGCTAGAAAAGCTTTCGAGTACCAAGTTTCTAGGACTCAGTGAAGTAGCAAATTTATTATATTCATTTTAAAATCAATTGCATTTTTTTTAGTCACGCAGTTGATGTGACGAACAGTCCTGGTTGGAAAACACTTGTAAATAATCACTCGCATCTTTTAGCGGAAGCTTTCAAAGTACTTGCAACGCAACAAGGGCCGTTACTTAATGGACCTCCAAGAAAACGACTAAAAACAACTTAAAGATGTAATAACGACGTCTTCTATTTTGTAGAATATTTAATAAGCTAGCGGGAGTTACCTGGTAAACCCGAAAATGTATTTAATTAATATTACATTTCCGTCAAGTATTTTTTTGCCAAATATTTGCACGTTGTTGGCATCTCATCATAATGTACATAATGTGCAATACATGTGTATACTTGTATGTAAGTAAGGTCATAATATAGAAACTTGTTTTTACTAATGTTACTAAAGGAGGAGTGTTTGTTAATAGAGCAGCATAAGGCATAGTTGAACAGTTGAACGAAACCCAACGGAATAAAGTCCATTAATCCAACAAATTCTGTTGGTACAAATTCGTGTGAAAAAATCATATTTCAAAAAGTACCTTATCATTCCTCACGAGTTTCTTAGGATATTAATATAGCGCTTTGCATGGTGACCTCGCAATGTGTGTGTTTACAGCCTAGTAAAGGGAATTCTGGTTCTCAAAGTTATAAATGATTTACCGCCGTGATGAACGAGGTCAAGCAGCCTTTTCGATAAGTCAAAACCATCTTTCTTCTCAATCTCAAACCGACATTGCGCAATTCTTTTGAGATCTTTTGAAGCGGAAAATTCAAAAAGAAACTCCAATTTATGCTGAAAATGAAGAATCGCGACGCGTTGATATACCGTGTTCAATGGTATGAAGGCATTAATAGTTGCTTAGTATACACCCGACTATTGTCTATTACAAATCCTACATTCTGATTGGCTACTCAACCATCGTCTATTCGTGATAGTGCACGTTTGGGAAAAATTCGCTCGCGCGACCGTATAAAATTGCATTAATTAAATTATTTTTCGGTGTAATTTTGCGGTGTATCGATTATTTTCTCGAAATTAATATATCTAGGTACAGGGTGTATACTAAAACAATTAGACAACTCGCCTTCGTTGCCTATGAGCGGATAGTCAACTCAGGCTTCGCCTTCGTTGACTATTCGCTCATAGACAACTCGGACTCGTTGTCTAATTGTTAAATGGTATCGCGTTGGTATTTGCTATATCGTTCGTCATCCTCTATTAGTCGTACTTGGTCAACGGCAGCAAATTTGTTATTTTGTAGGGATCGGAAGCACGATTTTCCATGTATATCACCACTGAGTACTTATGTTGATTATATTATCGCAATTATATTTATTGTATTTGTTCGTAAGCTAAATACCAGCTACATAATGTGTACTGATCTACATATAGTGATTTGTTTTATCGTCAGCATAGCAAACTTGTTTTTTCGTTGATCATTTAATTTAAATTATGCCCGTAACTTTAGCGAGGTTTTTGGTATCATTGCTCCCCTATTCCACCTGTTCTGCCGATGTATCAAAGTTACCTTTATTTCCCAAAAGAATGCTAAAATTCCAATCCATAATAATTGATCCAATCCAATCCATCTCCAGTTCTTCCTAATAAGCGACAGAATCCAAGTTTGGTGAGTAAACAACGGATAGAAAATACTCTTCGCTGGTCAACAATGCCTAAACGAGTAATGACTAATGATCGATGCATGCAAGAGGCGACTAAAAAATTTTTCACGAAATAGTTAACTAGAAATAAAACGAAATCCAAGTGGCGCCGAAGGATATTGTAGCGTTATGTACGTAACTGGATGGGAAGACATTCGTCAAGATTAGGAAGTTACACAGTAACAATTGATAACATGAAAGACGACCTTACTGCGTGAAATCAAGGAAATAGTAAGGGTAAAAAGTACGATACCTGTAGGGTTGTATTCACCACCAATCCATTGATTATAACCTAATTTATGTATTAGTTTAAAAATATATTCAAAGTTGATTTCGCCAGAGCTACTTGGTTCACCCCTATCAGGAACTTGGCTAACCTGAATATGACCTGGTAGAGTAATGAAAAAATTCATATAACAAAAAACTGCTATGACATCGATGCTAAATCAAGGGTGTACAATAAAATATATTACATCAAGTCTCTACATGCCTCCTACCTATAAATTGTATATTGTCCTTCAGAGTTTTTGTCAGATTTCCATGAGCTCTTTGAGCATGAAAAAAATCCTGGAATGGCAATTACTCAAATGAATTGAAAGAAAAGTAAGGAATATGTCTAAAAGGGTAAACTTACGAATTCTAATTTCACATTGTCACAATTCAACTTTTTCAATATTTCTATTCCTAGGAAAAATAAAGACGGTAAATTACATTGCACACAATTATAGGGAAAAAAGTTTCATCCTTGATAGTTACCCTGCATCGTATTAGTTAAGAAATACCCGGGTATTGTTGTTATTGGTTCAATCAAAATTTTTATTCCAACCTACAGGCAAATAACAATTATGTATTAAAACTAGGCGGACGACTAGGTCGATTTTACTGCACTTTCAGGAGCACCCTCACTTTCAGTTTTGCTTTTACGGTGCAGGATGGACAGCGAAGGCTCTAGGGCGACTGTTCTTACAGCTATACATCCTAAACAGGGCGCTTATACATAAACCCAGAGACCAGATCCCGAAATGACCGGCTTCATTGCTACGTCTCCACCCCTTCTTGAAAGGGCGTCTACATAAACGTAAAACGTAATATTACCGGCGATAGCAGGCTGTTGAGAACTTGCTTTCTTTGGACCCACCGTCAGAAACGGTCAGATCAAGGGCGCTGAGCCAACAACGTGGCTCAGGATTTGGGGCTACGTACTTGAACGTAGCAGTTAGACAATAACACATGCAAAAAATCCTAATGGAGTAATGCGCGCTGATTGGTAAATTGCACTTTTTAATTGATATCAACACATTTTCCCATCTTATCTCATTTAACAATAATATAGTCCCCAGTGCAATTACGGACATACATGCACCCATGGCAGTACCCTGGGTGTTTTACACTCGCACTTTCGGACTCGCGCTAATTTGTAGATCTCAAATCAGTACTCACTTCTCGAGGGCCCACAAAAAACATTTGCAGGCTAATGCCTAATAGGTTATAGCACCTCTTTTATATCCAGCTTACATTAGAAAAGTCCAAACGTCTATTCATCACATTCCGAGCGAACGTGATTAGACCTCACCTACCTTTCTTGCTTCTTCTGAACAGTGGCGTAAATTTCTTATATAAATGTCTTCATAACATGAATATGATACTTCCTCACTATCAACTGACGTCGTAACTCCTGAACAAACATGAATTCTATAAGTCACAGAAGAAGCTTTGTCAGAAGCGTCACACACTTTTCTAAAAACTCAAATGCTTAGTTTGATAGAATTTGTTGAAATTGTCTAGCTTACTTTCCACATTTCAACGCAAGTGCATATTCCAAAGATTTGGTGAATGATTGCCTGAATTCAACTTCTTTCCCAGGTATACCAATCACTGTATTTTGTGTACCTATGCAGAAGTTTACCCGTTAACATTTAAAATTTATTCACTCTCTGTATAAACTGCATTGCTTTCTATGCAGCTAATTGTATACAATTAAAATTTGTGCATTTAACCATTTTTTACTCTGAAATGCACAATCCTTTTTCCTTTAACTATGGTTGAAAGTGAACTATTTTTTTATACAACTGCCCCTTGGAAGTACTAACAAGTTTGCAAAGGTGTCTTATATTCTCAGTATATTCAACAATTAATTAGGTCAAAGAGACAGCAGACTAATCTTATATGTGGGCAAATTCTTAATTGGCTATAGATGTATTGGCTGTAAGACATAAACTGTAAATATATGAATTATGTAGCAAAATAATAATATAATTTTATGTATTTATGGAGTGCAATTTTTTTTTTGGAGGGGGTGGTTGAAAAGACAAACTTAGATTTTCCGGTTGCCTGACTTCTATGTACAAATTGACCAATTCTGAGCAATCTGGGGATGCTATAAATACCAATATAGTCTAAACCTAACTCATATGTACTGTAAACTATTATGTTGGGCATAACATGAGCGTTTTTAAATAAAGCTATTAAAATGTGAATATAACCTCCATATCCAACCATTACAATTTGTTGTACATTAGCTTCAGATTTTGCTTTTTTAATTTCATCAACTGCATACTGATAGACTTCATCTCCGGATTCTACAGCTTTAAAACCTGCAGATAAGAGAAATTTAAAAACATATAAGCCCATATACCGATATAGCATATTAATTAATTGAATGAGGGTGTCATGTTTTCTGTACAGTACAGGAATTTGTACAATGACAGTTCCTGTTTTGATATTGACAATAACCTGCTTCAGACGCCGCTTTGTATCTGTCAATAAAATTTGGCCATTCCTTGAACATAAAACTAATATTTGCATCAACTTTTAAACTCATTTTGAACGATTTACAAATTTTGTGTAATAAATTATAATATTCAAAATCTAATCAGAATCTAATTTAATTTTCGTGGAGTTTGCGTGAATATCGCGTGTAGTCTCGCGATCCATGGTTACAAAAACGACAACAGACGGACATAAGGAAAAATGACATGTTAAAATTCCATTGAAACTAGGCAATAAAAGGAATAAAAGGAACATTTTTGGAAGAATGGCTCTGCTAAACCGTCGCCTAAAAGAACGTGATATTGAGAGTTATCCTTTAGTTGAAGATAACGATAGGACTTACGGTGACTACGACGAGACTGACCAAGATACAGATTCCGATTTAGACGAACAATTCCAACATCACGGGATATCACTGTGGCTTTCAGATTCACTACTTATGCTCATTGAACATATTCAGATTTTCGCGGTATTCTTGGTACTGTCAGAGAGATGGAGCTGGCCTTTGGACTGGATTAGAGAGACATCATTTGTGCTTTTGATCAATCTTGATATTTGGGAATTCTGGAAGATAAATAATGATATTTATGACGGTGCTAGCGAGGCCCACGTCCCGTCCAGCGCTATGTTTAGTTACAAAACATATCTAATTTGTTGGACGGGTTTAACCTTGGCTTTTATTGCAAGCTATATTGCAATGTATCGATATTTAATTTGGAAAAGACCACTGTATTTGTTGCTGTACCTCACTAGAATGAAACGTGTTCTGTCGGTTGTTGCCCAAGTTGTCAGCATTCCAATCGGGCTAGTGGTTGTCAGGTTGCTGCAATGTCGTTCATCCTCAACATCATCAAACATAGGGTCATCAAAAATCATTATTTTAAATGTTGAAAATGATATAAAGTGTTGGAGTGAATCTCATCTTGTTTATGGATTTGTGTCATTAGGCTGGGTTTTATTGCTCATGGCCACGCTATTGTTTCTTGCTTATCCTATGTATCTCTGGTGGGTTACAAAGAGTGAGGTCTTCACCCATTCAAGCTCTCAACATGAAGGATATTTACAGCTAAAAGAAGCAGAATATCTGAAAGGGTTGGATATAGTCTGGGCTGTGGAACAGTTTTTCTTGTTCTCTTCCTATCGTCGACCATGGGTTCATTACCAGTCTGTCATGTACTTCATGCGGTTCTCAGTGGTTTTTGCATATGGTATATCACTTGATTACCAAATATACCCAATGGCGATTGTAACTATAATAATGTTTCTGCTAGCTTTGGTCATGATAGTGATTAAGCCATTTCGGGTGAATGCATTTAATGTGATGAAGGTTGCTTCGTTGTTGTGTAACTCATTAAATGCATTGATCGGACTTCTTTTGGAGTTGAAGGTTGAAAGTGCTATTTTAATTTATCCAAACATCAAATATGCACTGCTTAGCATTAATAGCTTTGTTATACTTGCTTTTGTCATATTTTTCTCATTCATTGTGTTGCGTCACTATGGCATTATAGCAAAGAAGCGACCACTCTGGCCAGCTTTATCAAAAGATCAAAATTCACAAGAATTGGACTTAGATACTAAGCGATACTTAAGAGCAGTACTACAAGGCAGGCAGGTGCTTGAAAGAGCTCTCTCCACTCCACCAATATTTGCACCAGTTCATGAAATTGAAAGACAAATACAGATTATCAATGCATATTGCCGGGAAGCTGAAATTACAGGAAACCAAACATTTGATACTCTTTGGGATTTGCTTGATGAACTTATTGAGGCACACAATGTCTTCAATGCCCAGTCATTATTTTCACAATCAAACAAGATAACTGTTCAAGATACAGCAAATGAACTGATGAAAATCATGCCAGCATTCAGAAAGAGAATGGATAAACGGGAGTATGACTTTATTCTTATGAATCCCGTAAAAAGAAGAATGCTTTTGAAAATGTATGCACTGGGGTTATTCCTTAATGGAAGAAGTACTAAAGTGCAAGAAGATGTTACAAGGAAATTAAGATTTGATAAAATGGCAAACAGATCATCAAGCGCTACTTGGAAAAGTAGTAGCATAGGATCACCAATGTATTCAAACAGTGAGAATACATCTGTACCTAACACTGCTGGAACACTGGATAAGTTGACAGATAGCATAGATGATTTACTTAAACAAGCAGACAATGTGACAAACAACAATGAAGACCCACAAGTATTGGTTGTGCAACATGAGAAAAGTATTTCAAACAATACAGGTCAGTAAATATGACATTCAGTTCAAGATATGACAAAAAAGATCATTAATATTGCTCTTCCTTTCTTATACAGAAGTTGCAAATAGTTCAAGTGTTTCACTTCCTGGTGCTGTTGCAGATGATCAGGATAATATTGATGTCGCACAAGTTGTATAGACTGTTCTATAGTGGTTACTTTATATTTAATGATAGTAGTATTTTGATGTTAGACAGTCATTCACCCACAAATAGAACTGTGCAATCCATTGATGAGTGATGCCAGGCAATTAATGACTTTTCATATGACCTTTATATATAACAGTGTCATCAGTACTGCTGCCTGCATAAATATATTGACTGCTTTGATTATAATGGTGCACCCACTGCTACAACTGTAATTTTTCACCATAGTTACTGTGGTGAATCCATGTAAGTGAGTTACTTGCACGTAAATAGACTTGTAATTTTTCTTTATAGTAAAGGAGTCACTTACATCAATAATCTTCTTCAATTCTATAGCTCAGTAGTTCAATATAGTTTATTAGAGGGCTTATTACGTATGCGTACCTTGGTCTGGTATCGTCATTAATATTCTGTGATATGCCTCCCCCCGCCCTTTCGAAACGTAACTAGAGGTAACACAGCAAAATTACCCTGGGTACGAGGTTGCTAGAAGTGATGTTTTATTTCTATCATTCGCACAAGTTTATACAGTCGCATTTCGTTTCCTTTTCTCATGAAAATTTTTTTATTATTATAAGTTCGGGTCAGGAATTCTTCGTTCATTTAATCATTTTTTGTACTGAAGGTAGGAGAGACCAAATCGTAGTAAAAGTTAAAAAATTGGCGTGTTTGCGAAAAACAGATTGAATGTGTACTATCAAATTTAGTTGGGCTATGAAGGCTTTTTACAATGTAAGGATGGCCAATGAATCATGATGTCCAAGCTTGTTCGGCGCGATCAAGTAATCCTTCTATTCCTGGACCAAATTATCCTTGATTTCACTGAGTTGCCCTTACACGGTCTTCAAGCATTTCTTTTTCGATAATCTCTTTGAGTACTTGTAAAAAAATCATGTCTCTAAACATGGATTTGCAGTCTTGGTAATATAAGCAGGCATTTTCAATATGAAGGATGGGCTGTCATATCAGAAATAGTTGCGTCAAGAAATCGTACAGTCGTACTGCAACTCTGCAAGATGATGCAAGGTTATTTCGAAAGAAATGACAGCTCCTATTGCTATTGGCTTTGGGATGATTTTGGACTACTTTGTGCGTCATTACACCGGTGCCTCAATGCAGTAAAAATATTCTGGAGTGGAAAAGGGAGAATAGATAAAACGACAAGTGGAATCGTTGCGGCATTATGTCCACGTTACTTGAAATGCAGGAAAAAAAGTACTGGAACTAGTTATCAAATAATAGTCTCATAATCTCGTTCCCGATCTGATAATAATAGTCTCATAAATTCATAATCTCGTTCCCCGACCTGATAATACAATCGGCCCCAGGGATTGCAAAGTCAAACCAGCCAGAGTTTCTCTATTCCTCGCACTATGCTTGCTGAATATAAAGCATGCACATTTGCGTTGCTGACAATAACGAAATTTAATCTTATTGCAAACTACTCAACCAAGAGCAAACCAAAGATTTTTGAAGCTTAATAAGGAAATGCTATTTGCATTTGTCTCAAATATCAAATATAAGCTGAGAAAATATTTTATTTATTCCGCTAATTGGAGTCGCTAAAATTTACCGACTGGTTGACGATTTGAATGACTTGAATCAACTTGAAAGAAAGACCCAGGCTTGATATTGTCACTATTTTATTCTGGTTATACCACATCTTGCGCAAAACCGAATGCAAAATTTAATTAAGATAATTCATTAATTGCTAATATATGTAACAACTAGGTAAGGTAATACGAATGGTAAATTTAAACATGTTTCTACTGAACATTTACTATGTCCACAGTTACAGGTATCACTGGACAGATATCGTGATATGCGCGCGCGAATAGAATAAATTAGTTAACACGTTATTTGTGTAAAAAGCGCAATTTGACGCACGCGATAAATAAGACATTATTACCCTTTGTTTTACACGCACCGCTTGCATGATTGAATAACAAAACAAGCACTTGTAGAGAATGGCTATTGAAGGTTATTTGGACGTTTGCAAGTGTGTTAGTAGCATGGAAAGTTAATGCATACCATTTAGAATTTGCTTATTAAAAATAATACATTGTACATATGGTACATACATTTTATCCACAGGTGCATCGTTACCGCAAGAGCGACGCGCAATAAAGCAATGTGTTTAATAATGGCGCGCGTTGTCTCATGCGGTTTGCCTATCGTCACGATGATCTAATTTTTGAAATGATGTCAGGATGTGAACAAGCGTTGGAAAACATTATCAGTTTTCACGAGCAACATGTTTAGATTTTAGCATGGCAATTGTCTTGTTACGATTATCTTTATTAGATCGACAGCTTGTTTTATTACTGTGGACTATATACAGCATCATATTGAGAACATTGTGTGTATTCAATGCCATACTGTGCGCTGTATGGAAACTGTTTATCCCATCTGCTATTTAAATATTCGCTGTCCATTGTGTCCATATCATGTAAGAGTTTGTCCAAGAACTGAATATATCTCATCGCAAGCCTTAAAATTTCATTTTTCGATAGTTTCTTATCGTATGGGTATGTAGGTAAGAGTTTTCTTAATTCACCAAAAGCATGATTAACATTCTTCTGTCTCCATCTTTCTCGTGTATTTGTGAACATTCTTTTAACAACTTTATTTTGTCGTTGTTCATCATGATAGGCCATGCTGATATGTGGGACTTTCTTGATCTCTCTTAACGGATAATAATCCGATATAATATCTTGTGAACACGGAGATGAATAAGCAAATGATTTCCATGAAGATGATTGTTTGCAATTTGTGGATGAACGATATAATTTTCCTTGAATACTACTAGCGCTCACCATATTGTGATATTCCCTCTTGGTCGCAATCAATGCAGACATAAAATGAGTGACTTTATCAAGCGTCGTAGATATATCTGACAAATGAATTACTTAACGAATTTTTCGTTATTGGATCTGCATTCTATCGTGAAGATCTAATAAAGCATGAAGAATTGTTCACAAGCTTTTAAAGTCCCGGCTGGCGCCGTTTGCGTCAGTAAATGCCAGAAAATGCGCTCTATTAGATCAAACATCAAGATAATGTCGAATGATAACTTGGATTGTTTACCTTGCGCATCCCTCGACCAATCAATGCGCACCATTTGTGATTATCATAAATTGATGTCAGCTTGTTTTAAAAGTGCAATTACTCAGTTAATTGCTTCCTTCAAACTCTCTTTATACTAGCTTACCTGGGAGGTCTAAACACAAACAATCTTATCTCTTTTATAGTTTCATGTTAGATTTATTAATTTGACATATTCTCAACGCAAATACTATCCCATATATACGCGCAATGTTATTTTATGACTTCAATTTTCTAAAGTGGCCAACCGCTAGGTTCGACAAGTTTTTAATTACTGGTCACATGTAAAATGTATCAAGGTTCAACATTCCTAATGTAAAACATTTAGCACGTTTACAAAATTAGGAAGATCAAATTAAATTAAAACAACGACCTGTTTATACTGCAGAATGGCGCTGAGTTTATGAAAAACAGATTAGAGAAATATCAAGAACAAACCATAAACCTACCCATAAAGTGGAATGTGGTGAATATACACTACCATAGGACTCAAGGCAACAGTGTGCAGTGTACAACGCTTCCGATACACGGCGCTCGGAATGGCACGAAGAAGTCGTAACCGCGCAAAATATTAAAATAAACATGCGCGTCTATACCATTAAAATCAAATAACAAATGTTGTCTCGCGTGGTACCGACAAGGCCAGAGTTCGGGACATGAAAGAATATAATTTCATAGTTTGAATACAACTGCGGTCTAAAATTTCACAACTACGTGATGAAACCAACACTATACTCTGACATGTAGGAACACAGCTTGTTTATAGTAGCCATTTTCCAACTTTAAACAAATAAAACCATCTAAACATATACATCAATATTGTGTTTGTCTGTAGTCGGTGATTTGAACATCTAATTACAGATGATGTGGAAGATAATGTTTCACGTTACGTCGCCTGTCGGGAATTATTTGTATACCGCGGCAATGCTCTTGCATTAATTTGCCCGAATTGCTTTGATTGTAGCGGCTCATTCGTCTTGTTTGGCAGCGCTTCAAGCTCTATGAATAACACCTTAAAATAGTCGTGAAAGAAACATCACCTTGAAATCACTTCCTTATTTTTAACCGATTAGAACTGATTGCATATAAAAAATGTTTTAAATTGACGGCAAATATTCCCTGCATGAAGCATTTATTCTGTGCATTAACCTACACACATGCATGGATGAGACATGCGTGCAACTACGGCGGCGGTCTGGTTTGTCTAGCGCTAACGAACGTCTAAACTCTAAAATTAAGTTACGTTGAAGACAGCGCCATTTGTGTGGTCCAATAAATTGTTACTGGCGGGATAGGAATTGATTTATGTACCACTGCAATTTCCTCTTGCAATATTTGAAATGAGTATCTACGCTATTAAGAAAGAGGATTATTGCGCAAATATGTTGCGTGCGACAATGATAGCTGAGCCATACCGTTTCATAACACAAGTCAAATCATTTTGTCAATCTTTCATATTATAATAAAGATATTACGCTTTAATTGGTGTTGAATGAATAACGGAAAAACACATACATTACGTATATAGGTCACTTGAAACGTGTCATAATCAACAAACTGTGAAGTGTACTTTCAATGGTATACCACTCTCAAATTGCAAAGCGCATTTTACTCCAAGCAAGCTGGTTAACCAAACTTCCAAAGAGCCCGACATTGATAGAGTATCTCGCAGCTATATACCTATGAGTTACGCGCATTGCAAATTTTTCAATTTCTCTCTATTTGGCCTCCAAAAATTTATCGATGCGCACATCATTCATGCACATTTGCTTTTATATAGTTGAGTATAAGTAAGACCTAGGCCTCTTATTCTGCGTCACATTAATTTTCGTGCGGGTATATGAAACAACGTCACGGCAGCTCATCAGTATATGCACTGACCATTATGGAGGAGGAGAAAGGGAAGAAGGGAAGAAGAGTCGGGGGGATGATTTGGAGAAATGTTTGCAGGGGAATTTACACTTTACAAGGGTATATTCCTGGGGTATATTCTCACGAGTATTTGGCTAAATTGCATATTCATTCTAAAAGAAAGTGAAAATCAGTCCCTATATATATGAATGATTTCTAACTCTTGTACCTATATCAGTACATGCAATGCATTAGATTAGAATTGCACAATATATATGTTCGTGTCTATAATGACCTTGAAGACACCAGCTTGATTCAGTCAGCCATAAAACGAAACCATTGTCAGCAGTCTCTAATTTGAGTATGAAATAGATTTCATTTATAATATTACCAAATAACAAGTAATAATTAGCTATTGAGAAAGAAATGCAAACTAAACAGTATCGTGCAAAATGAAAGAATACGACTCTAAGCTGAGTCATATGATGCATGTACTTGCTAAACCCAATTTAATTGTTGAGCTAATTATCCAACTCATTTCGTACAATATTAATCTGGATTTCCGTTTGTTTTTGGTACAACTGACAAAAACTCCGCCTATCGTCAGCCATTATACGTGGATGAGCTGCACTATTGCTTAGTTCTTTCCGCGTATATAGCGAGGTCGCGTATTATAGATATTTAAGAGGTATTAAGAAATCAATTGCATGGCTTTGCTTACACCCACGATTGATAACTAGAGACGGGACTCGTAAGCTGTGTTTACACCTTAAGCCTGCAACTTTGTCTTCGAGCTAGATTTTATATAGTGTGAACCAATTCGACCAGGCCGGATACAAGGGCTACCTTTTTTGGTATAGGCCAAACATGCATGCTTGGGATTTGGGATACTGACATACATATTTCTTTTCCATAGAGCTTATTCTCCCTATCCTTACAAAATTTCAACTTTCTACTTCGCTAAATGTACTGATGTTTTTTGTAACTGAATTCATTTGAAAAAGTATAAGCAGTCAAGCAATGTGGAAAATGCCCTTTTTCATCGTGCGAAAGCCATCTCAGGAACTTCGTAAATTAAAGAGCTGAATGATTAGGTTTAAGAGAAAGTTTTTTATCTACGACACATGATATATAGATACATATGGACGGTTTATGGTCTAATTCTATAAATAAAAATGATTAATCTAACACATATGATAAATTACCCATCCTTGATGATATCATGCACGAGGTTTTAAAATGCAAGATTGACGAGAATTTTTATTGCCAGACAGATAATGTATTTAAACAAACATTGCTCTTTACTGTGCCAGCTATTGTGCCAAAGTGTGCCAAAGTGTTCTATCCTAATAATCCTATGGTTCAATATAGCAACGAAAATTTAGAAAAATACAAACAATAAACTCGTCCCTGTGTAAACACGTGTACATTGTACACACAATCTGTTGCTGTACATGCAATTGTATCTTCATTTATGTTTATATACGTCTTTGACTTAGAAGTGAAACTTTGCAGAAACCACTTTGTTGATTGAATCTTCAGCATTCTAGTCTCGAGAATGTTCGAATTTCACTTTTGCGCGTCGCTTATCTTAAAAAAATGAGTAAGATTGGTAATACAATGTCCCAGCAAGATGACCAAATAATTCCTGTTCACAGTTTACTAATTAGTTTACCCGTCAAAATTGTAATAACATTAATACGTTAGGACTTAAATTTATCAATTTATAAAGTTCTAATTCCTTGTTCCAATCGTTGGGTAGAAAATGTTTTGAAACTAACAGGACCTACGGGCTACGGTACTCTATAATAATAAAAAAGCGTGTGAAAATACGCACAAACTATAATTCCTTTCCTGTCTGAGAACGGAAATTTATACAAGATGCTATCTCTTCTTAGTCTGAAAGTATTCCAGATGTTGATACTTTAAAACCTGAGAAAAACAGACAGATATATAGAGATAGTTATCATATTTCCTCGCAATCTTAGTGTCAGTCTCATACCCAAGGATTATTTTGAAAATTAACATATTCCGCGGCCAATGACAAAAAAAACAAGATGGCCGACCATCCAAGTTTGCTTTAATAACTCGACAAGGAGAAACTTTCAAAACTCCAGTAAAAACTTGGGCGTTATATAGGAAGCTAATTACGTCTAAAGCAAATGTTTTATGTCAATTAAGACGAAAACAACACATTCACGCTTTCTTAACTGTCTTATATAGACATTCCTTTTTATATATATCCGTCTCCTGCAGCTACTAAATCCGTCTTGTGCGTATGAACAAACTATGTGTAGAATGCACAGGAAATGAAGTGCGTGTTTACTTGAATAGGTTATATAGAAATGCGTTAACGTCGAAACGGTGGAGAAATAATTGTTTCGGTTCGCAGGCACATATAATTAATATAGGAGATGTATTGATGTAAATCACAATTTTACCGTTACAATTAATACCCTATTCGTAGTGGGATACTAGACCAAAATGAGTATAGAACAAAAATATTTTGGCATTATTTTAAGTCGATATAGTGCGTCAATGTTGAACGTAAGATGCACGCTCTGCCAAGACCAGCAAAATTGATGAATGATTGTCTGTTCAATTGCACATGCAATCTTTTAATAATATGTTGCTATTTCATCATGATCATGCAATTTTCAAGTGCTTGATTGAAATCTACATTCATTAGAATCCAGATTCCTTATACATATTACATTTGCCATCATAATACCCCTCATTTAACATATCTCTTGTGCATTTGCCTGAGATATCGTATATACTTCATGCTATATAGTTTGTACACTAAGTCTTACCTCATTTCCCCAACTAGTCCAGTTCGGAAGAAGATTACGAGCAAACAATTCAATGCATGCTGCATCTTTTGGTAAATACTCTCGAAAAATATCTAGAATACGATTGATTAACTTGATTAATGGTAGTTCACATACAAATCTTCAGAAACACAATACCAATATTCGCGTTTATAGTCACTATATAGAATTAGAAATGGGAAAATTATGTTACGTATATAGAGCTAATTTCATACCATTGAGTGGTGGTTTCCTAGAATGTAATGAACAAGGCACACTACAAATAATTCTATCATTGTCAATCCTGGTTTCAGATATTTCTCTATCAATCTTTGCGTTAACCTCCTTCTTGTTATTGTACTGTTTCTCGGCTTCCGAACAATCAGGCTCGTTATTGCTATCGGATATTACAAATCGTCCAATAATAATTGGTTCATAAGGCTTTTTGTGAGTCGAGTCTAAATCAAACACCATTTCGCCTTTTCTTGTCACCTGAGAGAACAAAAGAGACAGCTTGTAGGATTCCACAATTAGTAATGCACTCGAAAAAAAAGTAAAGTAAACTTTCGACTGATGCATCAATATTTCAAACATCGCTTTCATTCTGAATAACATAAATACTATGCTACCTTCACCCAGCACCGCTTTCCTATAAATTTACACGAAAAAATCTTTCACGACAACATTTACACGACAAACTCGCTGATACATCAATACTTCATCTCGGTTTTATTCGCAATAATATATAAATACTATACGCTACCTTCACCCAGTACCATTCTGCTATAAATTTACACGACCAACTTGGGAAAAGTTCATCAATGACAAATCTTCTGTATTTTTGTTTATTTGTCACCCAAACAATAACCAATGCTTTGTCACAAGCCAACTCAGGAATAGGTAGCCTCTTAATTTCCCAGAGTGGAAGGAATGAATATCTAAAAAAATATACAAAAAATTAGTTGTCGGGTGTTGGTGAAAACGACAGCCAAGTGAGCCAATAGGGATATTTGGTGATATTTGGTGATAACTGGTGATATTTTACAGTTTAGTGCAACATGTCTGTACATAGCATTTAGTGAGATGAAAAGAATGCATCCGTGTTATTATCGTCGCGCCATAAAATTGCTTCAATGTAAATAGTTTATTAAGACGACGAATGATAATATTTCAATATCTATGATCAATCCGCGGGAACTTTGCACTAAAAGCTATATCGCTTGCATGAATTTGCCATGCTTCTAACAAACCCATCCATAAGCGACCAGTTTAAAAACAAGAAGTGCATGCAGATTTAATATTCCTATATCATCGTCTTACTTAGATCCCCTTTTTGCTGATTTGTTCTCCCAAGGAGGATCAATAACGATCATGTTATACTTTGAATTACCTATAACATAGAGTGAGACATATAGAAACTGTGTAAAACATAGAAATATTGCACACAAAAACTGCTATGAAACCGGAGTGCTGGGAATAAAGAAAAATAAACGGGAAAAGGCTGAAAAAGGCTGCTCTCTTCATTAAAGAGGCCTATTAAACAATGTTTTAGATACCTGTATCTTTAGTGAAATCTTTGCAAAAATAAGAAACATCTGAAAGGACAAACTTGCTGTTTGCAGGAAGAATATATTTTGCATCACCAATTGACATCAACATAGAATCATCTTTTCCGTTTGTAACCAATCTGTTCACCACATCAGAATTATTGTAAGAAACATCTTCAGCTATAAAAATTAAACTAACTAAAATAGTTCACAAGACAATCGCTTATTACTAAGGTGATCAACAAACACATGCATGTTCTCAAACCAGCGCATGCGGCTATTCTGACGGATTTCGAAATAATTGACGAGACGAGATGACCTTATTTTACACTGAGCTAGCTGTAACACTGATATCATGACATGCAATCAAATGAACCACCTTTAATTTGCTGCAGCCCAAATCTACAGATGATTAGATATATTCTGGTGATAAATTTGTATTAAATACACCACGATAGAAGCTTAATCTTGTGCAGGAACACCTCTGAATATGAATAACATCATAAATAAAGCGATATTTGGCAAACTATACAAGTTACTGACCTGGGAATAATATAGAATGATGATGATTCAAAACTGTTTCACTAACAGCTTCGTTGAAGTCATTATAATGAAATAACGCTTGCAAACAACCGTTTTCTGCATTGGGATCTACATGATACACATAGAAAAAAATACAAAGTATTAGATGATATCTATTTACAAAATACAATATACAGTAATGCAAATATTACGATGGAACTCGGATCAGTAACTTGATAAGATCTCAGTAAAACACTGTTCTTGAAAAATATAACTAAAAATTGATTTAATATGGGTCACTTTAGGTCCGAATCATTCTTTGGAGGTAAGCCACTGGAAATATCTGAAGTTGTCTACAAGCCTGAAGAAGTCTTCTAGGTTTATTATCTATGTTTGATTACCTAATTTTTCTTTTTTGGTAGGCCAGCTTTCATTGAATAAGCTGTATGATTGATTTGATGAACAAACTGAAAGTACCGAGAGTCGTACCTCTTTCTGGAGGAGCATTTAGAGTAAAATAATTGCTCCATTCTTCGGACTTGGACAATGATTCGATTCCAGACAAAATCTTCCCTCTTATCTAACAATATAATATAAGAAATAGGTATACGCTAAAACTACAATCATCATAAATCCCATATGAATAAACACAAAGAGACAATGGTTGACTGGTTCTTTACACTGTGCTCAGTGGTTCTTTAGGGCTTTGTGCGGAAATTTTGAAGTCCTTTCCAAACTCGTACCCAGGACTCTAATGTGGCCTGCAACACGTCGGTACACGTCGGTTGGTTAATAGCAAGCTTGTCAGGATTTGTATTTTCAATTCTGGTTGAAGTCAGCTTTCTTGAGCAATCAGAGAGTGACATACTCTCTGGGTGTTCAGTGAATGATTGAGTTGAGTTCCCCAACACCTGCACTTCAGCAAGAATTCTGGTTTAGGCTAGTCACGAGACACATTTAAACCTGATTATTATTAATATGGTTTTATTTTTTTTCACACAGTTCAAGCTGAAATAGGTACAGATAGAGTTGATTTGAGCTTGAGTGAAATAAACCTTTGCCGCAGATCTGTACGACCGATATCTTCATTCTACGACGCATATGTGACCTAAGAACAGCCACCAATTTGCGAAATCCAGCCTTAATTTGTTTTACAGACGGCTTTCCATACGGCTCTGACTTTGTTTACCAAAAGGAGACTACTACAAAAGAAGTCGATCATTTTTATTCCTGTTGAGAAAATGTAGAAATAACGACAGTAGTACTTCATGTCCACGTCGTAGATTTGGTGCATCTTAAGGTCCCTATAATGCGTACAGGAATTCGTACCTCAACAATTAATATTTCCAGCCGTTCAACCTTTGAAACGCTCATTTTTATTAACTCTTTTGCTGTCGTAACTAACCAAATTGCCGTCGTGAAATTAAAAGACCAATTCGCGGCAGCAAAAAAAAGCGCTTTTTTGCTACCGTGAAAAATTGTGAATTTCAAGGGCTGGCTGGTACCCAAACATGACTCCTTCGCATTTTTAGGCTAATTTATTTACCACCTGAACTTTACAAATAAAAACATGTAAAAACATAATGATTTAATGTGTCACATGACCTGCTTGAACCAAGGTCTTTGCTGCAGGGTTATCTGCCTGGACCTGATTTCTTTTGAAATTAATTGTTTTATGGTCAGTGAACGTGAATATATGAATATCTCCCACAAACTTTTGGTGGCTATGCCACTGGTCAAGACTCAAGACATAGCCAAGGGTTGGAAACTTTGCTTACAAGTGTGGTTGATGAAGGCAATAGTAGTTCAAGGTTGGAAAAAGTTTTCTATTGAAGTGATGGTGTGGTAGCATTAAGGATGGTGTGGTAATGGTGTATATTGTATTTAGTAAATAGTAATGTATATTAATCAACCATTGCAAAATTTTAATTCTGCTCATGTTATTACTACCGTACTGTTGATGCAAAAAGTATATTTGAAAATTTTATGGCTGCAATAATTTGTACCTGTTCATGATGCTCCCAGGCTGCTATTTCTCCTGAATTGGGAGAGCGTTTTCTTTTACGCTTTTTCCTTTGCTAAAAAAAATCAGTACAGTGACAAATCAATGCAGAAGTTAGAACAGACTGTGAATGGTTGAATCTAGATATGACATAAAAACAGAACGAATTGCACAGTTCAGAGAAAGAATTTAACAATATAATGTCTGAAATCAAGATTTGCAAAAAATACAGAACAATTCTAACCCTCGAGTTTGGTGGACTGTCAATTGAGCATGTGGTAAAGTGGTTTATTGTATGCTTCTTCGTTTTTCCTTGCCCATATTGTTTATTTATATTGAATATATTTTCAACACTGGCGAATGGCAATGACCCACAAGATGTGGTAATTGATTGTTTGTGGTCAACAAGATAGCCTAGTGGACATTTGAATTTCACAGACATTTCTTCCAGGTAGTAAATTCACCATTTTTGTTGGAAAGAACGCCAATAGATGTGTACAACACAAAGTAAACGCGTATTGATCCAACTGACCAACTACAGGCGCAAATCTGATTGTCATTTTATAAATTATAATAGTTTATTAATGGAAGGTCTGGAAAATACAGTGCAAATACCATATAAAATGCTAGCATAAAGAATTAAAATACCGGGAGCAAACGGTGAAATCCTCATCTAATATGGCTGTCAATATGGAAATCCAGAAATTAGCTAATATAAATAGTAAAGAAAATACTGACAAATTTCAGCGTGAAATTTTTATTTGTCACCTCCCTCCAAACATTTTGTTGACAATTTTTCAATTCTTGGATCTCAAATCACTTTGCAAAAGCTCAAGAGTTTGTCGCTTATGGTATAATTATACAAACGATCCCAGCTTATGGAAAGTTATCGACCTTCGACCATATCAGATCAACTTGAGAGGCATGAAGAAAATTGTGAATAGGCGAGTTTCTGAATGCACAAAAGAACTTTATATCAAGGGACTAGTTACAGCTACAAAGAAAATAGAAAATTTATCAGGACCACTTCTGGAAGAAATTAGGAAAAGAGCAAACAATTTAGAATGTTTACGTCTATATAATTGCTACCTAAAAAATGTCGGGATTCAGTTATTACCAAGTTGTATTAATGAATTATCCTTAGCTGAATCTCTTGTGCCTCTGGGTTGGTTTGAACCACTAAAACAAAATAACTTGTTGCCGTCATTGGAACATTTATCTCTGGAATCATGTACTCGAATTTCAAGTGAAGATATTTCAAGCATTTGTGAACTCAAAACTCTAAAGACATTAATATTAAGAGGGTGCTATCGTATCATTGATGATGACTTAAAAACAATTTCAATGAATCTAAAAAAATTAACTCAGTTAGATCTTTGTGATTGTAAAAAGATAAAAGATGTTTCATTACATCACATTTCACATCATTTAAAAGACATCCAAATACTTTGCCTTTCCAGCTGCTACCATATTACACCTTTGGGAATTGCTGTTTTAAAAGATGGCAACTTGAATAAACTTGTTTCTCTTGACATCCTAGGATGCTCTCATGAAACACAACAGAAAGCTTTAAAGCTGTTTGCTGATAATCCAGATATCACTTTAAGAACTTTATTAGATTCTAGTCAAGATGATATCTAAATTATTTTGTGTTAGGTTAAAAACTTTGCTAATATCTTGTAAGGATTTGACTATAAATCTACATATATGCCATGTACATTAACTTATTATTTAAAACCTAGCCTTACAATTAAAATAACAAAGAGACTTGTTGCATTTACAGACGTTTATTTTCTTGCCTTTGATGCTGTAAGCCCTATTTATGTGTATAAATCTGTAATATTCACAAATCCCAGTCTCCTGTTCAGGTGCTTTATTGCAAACATGGGCATTCATAGGGTGGGTGGGGCTTGATGATCATTATCCTTCAGAACAGGCGTTCTCAGGCAGATAGTTGCCATTATTTGTAAAGGTAAAAAGTTTTTGCAAATTAAAAATTTCATATAGAACCCATTGCAAAAAGTTATTTTCACGCTACAGTCACCAATGGTGATAACAGATGAAAGATAATTGCTTAATTTGACAGCAGTGTATGGATATCTGGATTTTTATTTCATTCGACTTTTTTCACGATTTATCGTCGACGGTCGTCGGAATATATTTTTTTTCGAATCGATCTCAATACAACACAAAAATAGCGACAGTATACGTGATAAAAATAACTCAACGCGTTTTTTGCAACTCAACTGCGAAAATGTTACAAAATAAAATATTAGTTAATAATTGATACATTACTCATCGTACTTCGTAGATCATCGCTAATGGCCGGAATATTTTGTTGGCGCGCGGGACTCCGAAGAAGCACTCAATATGGCGGAAGGTAAACCGTAGAAAACATTTGTTTATAGTCATTTATGCTTTTGAATTATACTAAATTTTTCATATACCTTGGATCTTCATTTAAGGGTAAAGATTTGCATTGCAATCTGTCATTTTCTCGTTGTAGTAACATCCTCAGTTTCAACTAAAGGCTTTTCAACAGGTCAGTTTATATTGTTATGATGTCTTGTTCAGTCATTCTGATATTCTCCAACCTCCTGGATGAAATTTGAGGGGTTGAATTAGCATGAATACCTTTTATTTGACGGAAACCTAACTCCAATGTTTTAAACAGTGTCAACTAGCAGCACTGCTCCTGTTGTGGCTCCACCAAAATTCTTATTTGGTAGCGAGATGTCAAAACGTGTAAAGGTATATAAAAATCATAAATGTAGTCATTTTAGGAAAACGAGTCCAAAAATAATAGATTAGTAAATACCGCTCGTTGAAATGGTGTATTATTCAAAGTTTTGTATCAACTTTGAGAGCAAAAAGCATCCCATTCCATCCTAGAGTATTCTGTGGTAGAAATTTCTTTGGGGTGGTGGGCCGTTGTTGTGAAATCTGGGAAGCTTTTGCCTACCTCCTGGACTGAATTTCCCCCACTGTTTACATACAACCTATTTCTATATTGTCTTCTAAAGAGTTCACCGACACCTAAAATTTCAATGTTTGTCAACCGGGCAAAAATTGTGAGTACAGGTGTTCCTCCCATGCTTTATTGCGAAGACTCTGAGTCTCTGAGTTGTGTGTTGTCTGTTAAAATCAAACAGTTAAAAACTAAAATTAACATAAGAGCTTCAAACTTTCAAGAAGACCTCCTTTTTGGTAGTATAATAAATCAGGGTGATGAATAAATAGAAAAAGTAAGAATTTCTTCTATTTTTAAAGCAAAATTTGGATGATGGAAGTGACACATCTGATCATGAAGGTAATGAAGTTATTCATTTTCTTTTATATTACATAAATTTCACAAATTTCCAACTTCATTATTATCTGTAACACTTCACTAGCTTGTTTTATTGATAGGTTTTTAAATAAATAATATCTCATTTTGTACAATTCTACTAACCGGGAACATGTTGATCATCATTCAAGATTCTGTTCAGCATATTGCAGCATTAATTCACTATCATCCCTTTCATATCCTATTAGAAGAACAAATGCCAGCTGATATTGATTTCCTTGAATATGCATCTTCTGCATTGAAGGTACTTTTGTTTAACAGCATCAATTCACATGTTGGATAACTGTATCAATGAAACCACAATCTTTATTGCCTTGAAATTCAATTACAAAAATTATTCTAATTATCTGACACATTGCATGGGCATATACATTTACTATAAAGTTCAAAATATTATTTTTAATTAATGTTATAGCGGTCAGCAGACTCAGAAGATGATGAATCAGCAGACTTCAATTGCCCAGGTAACAAGCTTACATATCATTGTATGTTGCTAAAAATTGTCTTCTACAGTTTTCATCTGCTTCATCAGTTTAGAGACTTTGCACAACCATTACATGAATATTCAATTTCTAGTTTAATACCATATTCACTGTTTCAGATTTTTCATTCAATCCAAAGAAAATAAAAAAGAAAGATCCTACAGGTTAACATTATGATCATCTTTTTATTTTCAAATACCATCCATTGTTATTATGACCACCTTTTTTATTTTATTTGATAGAAAGTAAAAGTTCAAGTGTTCTTCGCCCATCAGCCTTATCTGCAATTGCTGAAAAACTTTCAAATCCAAAGCAAGAAGGTAAGTACTGTATATCTCTTTTGTGGCACTTATTTTTAGTGATGCTAACATATTTATTTTGACCTAACTCAGGCTGTTGCAAATATTGACACCTTTAATTTTCTCCTAAATTTCTTTGATTGAATATATGAGTGCATTGCATTCACCTGTTATTACCACTATCATTAAAAACTTTTAACAGATAGATACCTTCTCCTGCAAATAGTCCTGTCTTTAGAGGATATATAGTTGCCAGATTTCTAGTGTTATTTATAATTTTGGTGATTCTGGTGGCTAAAGATACAGAAATATGGCTAATCACTATAAATGCCCAGGAAACTAGTTGTACAGTAAACTTAAATATCTAAAATAATTAGGAAATACTTTATGTAAGCATACTGCATTTAAATAGTCCTGTATTGTACAACATTACTCTTGCAGATGAAATAAACCAAGATAAAGAACACGATCACTCAGCAAAGGTAATTTAGGCTGTTGCGGTATTGAAACATTTTGATATATTTTTGAATTACTGTAACTTGAATTATTGTGACTTACCTATTTTAATGTTATCACTGTAGACACATGGTGAATCATCAAACAGCAACACTTCTTCAGACAATTCAACAACAATATCACGACCTCATCTTATTGACACTCCAGCAGCTTTAAATGCAGGAGCTGAATCACAAAACTATTTTCAACAGTTCCTTTCCGGCTCATGGTAATAAATATTCATTTGATAATTTCTCGCATGTAATGGCATAAACATTCAAAAGGCTTACAGTTTATTTTATATTGTTAACCCTGGATACAGTTAACGAAACCGTGCACTAACACCGTCGCAAAACGATACCTTACCTCATGGTTAACATTGAAGTTGTAATTTTAGTTCGTCCTCGACTTCGGAGTCAAAAGGCTCTTTCGTATTTGGCCAAAATATCCGTGATCGCGTTAATGTAAGTTGTTGCCGTTATAAAAACTATGAATATTTACTTTTAACTGTTGTACTTGATTCAAATTAAAGACAGAATTCCATCTAGTCCCAGTTCCCACTTATCGTCAAACATACATTATATTATTCCTTACATCTGGTCTTGTGCTCTCACCCAATCATCCCATTAACTGCTCCGGACCCATCCCACTGCATACATGAGCACGCCGCAGACAACGATTTGCATAATAAATAATCGTGGAAGCAATGGTATCATCTCATCCAATCATTCAACCATGGTGTTGAAATACTAGTATGATATTTGTGCATGCATGGTGAAGCTAAATCTGAAATCATATCCTAGCTCAATAAAATTAAGTAACCTACTATAGATTTTTAGAAATAAATAAACCCAGTATTCTCGTCACACCTACTACTTGCTATACATATTTAGCAAATTCACTTGGTTTAGGTTGAAACGCCAAGTAAGGAAAATGAAGAGGTAGCAACTACAGTGAGTGAAAAAGGTTAGCCTCTATAATATAGACGAGTGACCTAAGATGAAATCACATTCTTGTTCACGAACCCGGATTTTTTCAAACATTTCCAGATCGACAAATTATAAGCTAAGATCATTCTATTATTCCAGTCACAAGTCCAAAATCATTAGCAGATGTTGCTGATACTGTAAGTACGACAGATACAGACACGGAGACCGCTGGCTCGTCGATTGCAGCTGCAGCGCAAAAATATGAAAGTGAGCATTCTCCGCCAAAGAAAAATCTCGCAGAAATAAACGTGATGACTGGAGAAGAAGATGAGAGAAACGTCATACAGGTTAGAATAATCCCCAGCATATGCAAAGAGTTCAGACTTATTACGATATTCTTAAATCCGAACTAATATTTTTATTGAAAGTTGATCAATATAATTATGCTCTTTGAAATAAAAGGGACTTCTACAATCTTTTCTAGTTGAGCTGTCGTTTGTTCGTGTTTTGTAAAGAATCTCACTCGTGGTTAGGTAGAGGCAGAGTCACGTTGAAATTAAATGATCATTGTGAACTAAATGCAGAAGGGACATTTCATTCAAGATTAGGTACTCTATGGTGTTTAGTTTTCCATTCATTTTTTAGTGAAACTGATGAAATACTAATTTGATCTCAAAATAATCTGCAATAAATATAATTTTGATTCAATCCAAGATGACGGGTATTCATTCGACTTAAATATGTTCATGCAGAGTTTACATCGTTCTTTTGTAGTTGCCAGAACACAAGGCAATTTAAGGCTGGTTTTAAATACTAAATTATGGCCAGACATGGTGGTGGAGAAGGCCTCAGATAAAGCTATCCGCGTTTCCGTTATGGAGGATGGCAACGTTAATTTATATCTTATTATGGTGAGTTAAAAACACGATGTTTTATTACGCCCCAGGTATGCAAACTTTATATCAAAGTAACTTGCCTGGCGTCGTGATTTATGCCTCGTGAACAAGTGAAGATGTAGAGCTAACGTCCGTGGTCGACATAGCAAAAATGTTGCAACGTCTGTGCACGTCAAACGAGACTGATTACCGAAGATGATCACAAATACGCAGCCGGACTATCCACATCAGTGGCGACAATTGTTTTGCTTGCTTAACGTTGAACAAATCGTTTGTCCTGATTTATTTAGGCAGCACCACGCGAGGCGCTTCAATTATACACTGCTATGGACAGAAGAATAGAGACATTGAAGCGAGAGAAAGTACATGAAAAGAAAACTGATGACGAGTCAGTCAAATCATGTGATGAAACATCAAGAAGGGAAAACTTGAAAGAAAACAAAGAAGAGGAAAATTTGTCAGATAAAAGTTTAGAAGTCGACAAGGAAGAAACAGCCAACACTGATACTGATAGCACACTTTCAACAGATCGCCAAATAGAAAGCCATGATATTGTGTGAACGATAGTTATCATCCTAATTTTGCATTTCGCGAATTAATTTCAAGAGCCTTTTAACAGGAAATTATTTTACAAATAATGCAAATTTTACTTGCATCGATTTTGATATAACTAGTTTAATCTAGTTTTAAAATATATGTTGAAGTCAGATATTACACGCAAGAACTATGTATTATACGTGGAGCCTTATCACAGTGGAAAAAGAGATTATTATGTGTAGTGGTAATTTTTTTACGTAAAAATATTTCCTTGAATTTATTAGATGGCAAAATGATATCAAACTTTTGGAAACACCCTGTTTTCAGTGCTTTGTGGTTTTTAAATTTCTTTTGCTCCGTGCTGATAATTACCGTGCTGATAATTAATTAATAGAATACAAGAAGTCACTTCTATTTTATTTATCGGTTGAGTAAAAGAAACATTTAAAGCTACTTTACAGAAATGAAAGCTTCAAAAGTAATAGGACATTAACATAAATTGTAAAAAGTCTGTGACTGTAGTCTGTAGTGTACTGTGTATAAGCAATAAAAGTCAAAATTCACAAACTTGTATTTTCACTGTTCAACTAGTTATACTAATAACCGAGAACAACTCATTAAAACTGTGTTATAATCACCGTCAGTCGGCGATGCATTGTTTCGTAACCGGGGAACCGAAGCAATTTTTTTAAATAAAGCACAGTTATTAACCAGTGACAAGTTAAAATATCCTTACCCATACTATCGATGACGTAAGGCTGAAACTCATTAAGGCTTTAGGCTTTGTGCAACGAGCGTCGTTTTCAAAATCCTTTTTGTCTATTTTATTGTTTTACGCCCTGTCCACACGATCCAAAGAAAAATATGCTTTATATTTTAAATTAGATGTTTGAAACCGCACAGTGTTTGAAACCGCACATAGCCTGAATCTTGTGATGTTCTACTATGATCATGATCTATGGTCGATCAATGAGGAGGATAATATTTTGGATAGACAAAGCATTTATGCATCTATTTGTCATAGTTGATGACTATGAGCTTGCTGTTGGTTTTTTTAAGTCTGGTTCTCATTGTATTGTTGGCGTTATTTAAAATAACAAATCAATTATAAAATGCTTTGTTATTTTGAATAATATTAATATATATTAATATAACCTTAATACATTTAGCTGTAAATATGAATAACATATACATAGTTGTGTTTTCACTCAAAACATACAGTTTAAAAGCTATCAAATTCTGTGATAACTTTATTATCAATGGGAGGGGCAAGGGATGGAAGGGAAAAAAGGCAGGGAAAGGGATAGAAGGGGGAGTTGGAGATATCATCATTCATAAAACATTTTCATCATTCACCACAATTGCTCATTGTAGATTTCCTTTGCTTACGATTTCGCTCGTAAGCTCTTAGTTCTTCAATTGACATTGGAGGTTTCTATTCAAGTAAATAGGTTTCCTTGAGATTTAGAACAGCAAGAGAAATAGTTTGCCTAGCAAACCTTTGCCATATACTCATAGTGACATCATACAAATACATGGCATATAAATGTCCTTTCGATAACTAATAGTATCATTTGGTTCAAATAAGCACAACAAATTTGATAAGAATAAAATATGCATAAAAAAGAAAAACATCAAGTAAAACTGCACTTTTGAGAATTACCAACAGTAAAGACTAAAAGCATTCACCAGTCACAAGGTACCTGATGCCTTTATTCCTACATGTTTATACTCTCATTTACCCACTTTATTCACTGTTTTTATGAAGTTTCCTAATTAATAAATGCATATCATTTCATTCAGCTATTCTCACTTACTTTGCTATTTTCATTAGGTGGATACAACTTTCCCTAAAATTAACCAGGATAAAATTAATCAATTTAGCTGAATGGTCACAAAATCCATAAAATAGATTCTTTGATCGTACCATAGTTGTCTGTACATATTCTTCATAAAAATTTGGCATGTTGAAATAGTAAAATACAGCCACAGGAAAGAAAACATAGATGGACATCTGAAAATGAAAATAAAAAAGGTTACAAAACATTTAAAGACCCTGACTGAGCAGGACTTGTGACAAGTGAAATACAAATTATCCAGTTCAAGACATGGGATACTAGTCACCAATTTTGGATAAACTGTGAGCAAGGAATGCAGTACAAATAATGTTAAAATTGGTAAAAAATAACAAGTCTCCCAATGAACAATGAGACTAAGAAGAGGGGGGCTTTGCTTTCTAATATGAGACTTTTAAAATAATACAGATATGCTAATCAAACAAAGACCTGTGCAGCTACAAAAATGGTTAGTAACATGAGTAGCAACATCATGGTAGTACCGTAGTCAGACTTGTCATGCTGGTAATGTGATTTGGTATAAAATAAAACTACTCATATTGTATGTCCTTCAAAGAAAACTAAAATTCTTTTAACAAGACAGAGACTTAAAAGAAAAGACTAAAACTTACCCGTAAAAGTTCAATCTTCGAACCCATCTCTTCAGGCTTCACTTTTTTCTATTTCAAATTTTTAAATACGAACACTCGCTAACATGACGTACGGTAGGCAAAATTCTGCTGACCACAGAGGCGCGATTTTAAATACTTGTGCAACAGCCCAAAAAAAGGCTGTAAAGGCAAAGGCTGGTTTCCAGTCACGAAAATTATCCATGAGAGTATGTTTCTTTTGTAGTTTTCGTTGAAAACACTTTCAAACAAAATTTTCCTGACAGAAACCTGTCTTTAGCAACCTTCCCGGCTCGTGATTTTCGTCTCGTATCTTCTGCGAGACAAAGAAGAAACAATACACTATTCATCCCAACTCCATTTATTAAAAATTCTGAAATTCTAGAATCCGTAGTAATTGACATCAAGGTAGCCAGTTAAATTGGTTGAAATTTCTCGTAAATTGGACCTTATAGCGTCAATCATTTCTGTGTTTTACCGAAGGGTTTTCTTATATGAAAACCTTAATGCAATCCGGACCCTATATTATAGTCATGTTGAATCGCTACATGATCGCTACACTGGAACTAAAGAGCCTTGTGCCCTTGTTAGTCTATACAAGACTCTGGCTGAAACACCCTTGCTGCTAGAAGGAACCTTCAACACTAAAGTAAATAATTCCTGAATAAATCAGTGAATCAGTCACAGTTTTGGTTAACCACCTGCGTTACGGAGGCTAGGCGCCAGGTAACAAAATATTCAACCAAAGTTACCAGACTCCTTGTGAGACAAGACGATATACGTTATTTTCCTTATATACATAATTTGTCACATTCAAAAAAACATATACCAGTAAATAGCATATACATGTGATACTATACAATATTACTACACGAAGAGGTATGAACTACACCACTGTATGTTTATCCGCATGATACCCTTTTATCCTCAGAGTCCTGGTATTATATAAGCCAAATTTTCCAGTATTTGAGCCTACAAGAACGTATTCATAAAACAGTGTTAGATCGCAGATATACGCAATTAGGAATTTATAAGAATAAGATTTTGTCTAGGGATTTGTGAAATCATAGACAATCCAGATGACATGTCTTCTGGATTGTCTATGGTGAAATACACCTGCTTCACCACACTCGAAAATAGTCGTTCATGTTACCTGAGTTTCATGAGAACACCCTGCCAGTTCAGGAATTTGAGACGTCAAACAGAATACTGGTACAATTGAACACAGTGCCGTATCAAGTAAAACTGATAGACTGCCATGGACTTCCATCTGGTCCTGAAAAATGAATGTGTAATTTATGTAATCAACAGCTGTTACAATAAAATACATTGTTTTTTGACTACACTTGGAAAAACGGCGATAATTCTAAAAGTCCCAAAGAGAAAAGCGCTTTTGACCCTTCGAAACATCATGTTATTATTAAACTAACGTTGTCACACATAGTGCAAATTGCAAAGTAAGAAAAAAAAGTAATACGCTCATAAGTTATCAAAACCAATCTATGAACATCATTGAGTTTTAGTTAGGGCAGCTGCGATACGGGCTTACTTGAATACCGCTTACAGTAAAGAACACGATGTTTGTGATAAACAAACCTGTCTTTTGAGACACATGCCAATAGAGCAAAGTGACTCTCCCAGCAATTTAAGATATGCGGCCATATCGATTGCTTCAGTTCCCGTGGATGAGGGAGGAACATCACTGAAATGTGACCAGTTATAAGAATCATATCTGCCTTTACGACTTCTTAGAAATGATCGAGTAGGATCCCGGCCATTTGGCATTCTCACTGCTCTCGCTTTTGCCTTCCAATACTAAGAAAAACAATCAAACTATGGTCAATAATTCGAACTACTAACTGGTTCAGTAAAGAGTAAAAATTGATCTAGTTGGTTAAAAATATATTACAGCTAATTTTGCATAGATAGACACTGATTTGTCTACGTACTTCTTGATCTGCAATAGGTAAATTCTTCCACATTTGTGCCAAGCGACGACTGGTACTTGCAAAGTCTAAATGATATTTTATCTAAATTGTATACTAGTTCTTTTTTGACACTACAGTGTGTGCATTATCTACAGTGTGTGCATTATCTTTAGGTAAAAAACTTACCTAAGTTTGGTTCTCTTTCCAGTAAACCTTTTCTTCTATTTTTAGTAAACAATGAATATGCTGAGACTGTTCTAGCTTTCATTGTTTTGTCCTTTTTCTAAACAAGAACGACAAACTTCTTACCATATTTTATTGTGTGAAAAGTTCATGAAATTCAATTGTGCCAAATGGCAAGAGACTTTATCCTTTTGATACATTTGTAAGGAAAGTATAGTCATGCAACCTATCATATACTTTGCAAGTACCAATCATTATCTGGCAGAAATATGGAAGAACCCTACCAATTACAATTGAGAACTTAAGTTACCACTGTGTGGTAGAATTATTAATTAAACACTGATCTACACTTTTTACAAACCTTTGTCTACACTAACTAGCAACTTGATTATAAGAACCTGTTTGAAGAGTTAGGCAAAATTTGAAATTGGTTGTATTACAAGCAAGGTCAAAAACTGATCTCAAGTTGCTTTTCCTACCACAACTTAAAGAAGTAATTTATACTGTTACCTTTCTAAAAGGCCTTGGTGGCAATGGTTTTACAGCAAGTGACTTGTATTTCTTTTTCGTAAGCTTCTTTTTCATGTTTTGTTTTGCTACTGGAACCTTTTCTTTGTTATCTTGGTCAACTTCATCAGGTAAATCAGTGGAAGGTTCAGACATATCTTGCATCATTACTTCTGCAATTTTTGCAGACTTGTTTGGACTTTTCTTTATGATTAACTTGACATGAGGGTGGGTGTCATCATCTGGTTCTTGTTTGATATTTAGTTTCATCTTTTTCACAGTCTTCTTAGCTGCGCCATTTGCTTTTACTTTCTTTGAGGCTTTGCTTGCTTCTGTTGATTTGCTCAGCTTTTTTACCACAGTCTCACTGAAAACAATATGTATTTGATTAAAAAAGAAATTTATATAGAGAATTTAAAGAGATACAGTTAGCAATTTATATGCACAGTAGGGAAACTCTTCCTTAGGGTTAATTCACCAAAAATAATTAATGAACATCATCATACAGATATAGTGAGTTATTATAATTATGATAAAAATCCTGTAATTAAGATAAATATAAAAAGTACTAGTTGCCTAGAACAGATTAATAGATATGCATCAAACTTTCTAATTAGACTAAATCTTTATGACCTTAATGTTTGATTCCTATGCCCTCACTCTCCCAAAAACTGTATTAGTATTGGAGGATTGATTTTAAATCTGATCAAATAAGAAATTGAACTATAATGAAGAGGTCTTACCCTTGTTTTGACTTTTTGTGTTTATGATGGTGATGATGTTTATGGTGAAGTTTTTCAGCCCCCTTTTTTGTTTTATCTTTATCTTTCTCATGAGGTATGTGTAGTTTTAACACAATGTGCTCTTCTTCAGTATTTTTTTTTGCTTTTTTTAGTCCATCTTTCTTCCCATTATTTTTCTTTGTTCCTTCAGTACTTTCCCTTTTTCGTTTCACGCCCTTCTTTTGACTTGGTATTTTTTCTTCTGGATGTTTCTCTTTTGAACTAGTGGCCAGATCTGATTGTTTTGCTAATAACAAAGTTTCTACTATCTTTTCAATTCTTTCTCTTCCTTTCTTCACAACTGTTTTCTTTTCTGTTTCAGATTGACTGCTTTTTGATGTGTCAACCTCTCTCTTTATATTAATATCTTCAATTATTTTCTTAACTTTTCCTGGACATGAATCAGACATTTTTTTATTTGGTTCATGCTTTTTCTTCCCTTTCTTCACATTAGATCTTTTTACAACAAGTGATGGTTTAGCTTTTGCTGTCTGATCATCCTTTGGCGTAATACTTTCTTTTTGCTTTCTTTTTTTTTCTTCAACAGGAATATGGTCAGGAGTAATTTTTTGTCTCTTTGCATCAGACTGTGACTCATCTTCAAGAAGTGAGAACTGGCGTTTGGGGATTCTTATTCGACCTGATGTCCTAGTAGGTGTGCCATCAATTTCATCTGACATAACATCTGATACCTCAACTTCATTGGTACTAAGTGGAGTTGATGTGGATTGTTCTTTTGCTCTTGTTCGGCTTCGACGTTGCTCTGCACTTTTACTTCTTTCATTTCCAGATACCTTCGTTTTTCCTCTCTTTGCACTACCTGCGCTATCATCTGCACCAACATCTTTCAGCTCATTACTAAAACCACTTCTACTTGGTGGTGTGCTCACAATTTGTTTGCTTGACAAACCAAAAGTTTTCTTAGGTCTTGTTGTCCGCGATGAAGCCTGAATTATTGACGATGCATTAGATGGTGAATCAGAGAGTTCCTTGTTTGCCTGTGGCTTTGATTGATCAATATTCTCGCGTGACTCAGATTTTACATTCACCCTGTTTTTTCTTCCAGAATTTTTTCTAGCTTGCCATTCAAGATGCTGCTGCTCTTCAGCAGATATTTTAGAAAAGTCACGGTTATATCCAAGCGTCTCTAGATAATTTTGAAACGATTTTCGTGTTTCACGACGAACACCAGTATTTCCAAGAGTGCTAACAAAGGACGCCTCTTCGGGGTCAGGCCCTGTATCAAAAACCGGCGTTTCAGTCATATATACTGTTGGTGTTGATTCATCTTCGTCTAGTGGTTCCTGTTTAATATTAATCCCAAGCACCATGTCCTCTTCAAAATCGTCGGACAGCTTTTTAGGTTTGGGTTTTCTGGAGGATCGTCGAACATTCAAACTTGACTGCTCGTCCTTTTTAACTTCCCGACTCAAACTCGCTGTCTGCTCAAATTGCATACCTTCGTTTGACTTGAAATTCTTCTTGCGTTTACTTCTAATTTGAACAGCCATATTTTCCACACTACAATTTTCTAATTTTATTATTTTTCTTTATCAAAATACACTAATTGCGTCAATTTCACCTCCTAAAATCTTCACAATTCCTCAAAGCTGTCCGCCATTTTGAACAAAAAAATATAAACGGAAAAAAAAATACCACAATGCTTCGCGATCACTAACCTGTTGAACTGCATTAGCAATCTGGATAATGAGCCTAAATGAGGGGCAGTCCATTGCAGTCATGATATCTATGACAATGGTTGCTGTGCAAGTGTGCAGTTTACATTTAGTTTCAAAATCTACAATTTTCAAATGTAACTTTAGCAAAGGTCCCCTTTTTTTAACTTAGAACATACTAGGACATGCCAATAATATACGAATATTATTACACTGTGTCCGTGAAGAAGTAACTCAGACATGCAAGGTTAGGCCAGGACTATGGAAGGGATGGATGGATTTGTGGCGTAAAAATGGTAAAATGAAGAGACAGCCGAAGGCTTTCTACCTTTTTCTACCAGGTATTAGGGCAGGTTTGTGCAGAATAAATTTCCGGGTAAATGTATAGAGTAAATCAAACAAACTGTGGTCTCAATTAAGTCTGATCTAGCTTGTAGTTACTGTTTGGGAAGAGAGTCTCGTGACTGGTAATGGTCAATTTCGAACAGAACTAAATCGCACTAACTCACCCATCGTTAATTTATAAGAATTAGTGGATTTTGTGTTGGCGATTAATTAATAGCAGTCAAGATGATTCACGCAAGAATTCAAACTCCAGTATTTTGTGATCGTTTTTAAAAACATCACAAATATTAAATGAAAAATGGCTTACTTTATACTAACTATATATATATACAGGACATATTTTACATCTTTTTACATCAATATTTGACGATTCATTTAAAATGTCTATACGACGAATGTTCTTTCTAGAAAATAGTCTTTAAATAAGATTACTGACACTTCGCCTCCTTAAGGCAAGCTGAATGACTTCCACATCTCGATGAAGAACCTACGTAATACGAAAAATTCATACTTCGTCAAAAATGCCCTTAGTCCTTCAAAGCGTATGTTGTATATGCCTTATATACCAGAACATACGCTGTTAACGATCTCCTTACAATTTTTGATAGTGTACAAGCAATTTAATTAAAGAGACACAAAAACGCTAGAAAATTTTATACCTTCTAATTCTATCATTATATAAATAATCTACTATGATATTTTACTTGAAATATTACTTCAAATTATTGTGTTGTTTTAAAAGAGCTTTCTTAATTTTTTGTGCATGTTCCCCTATTCTTTTTGTCTTTTTATTTGATAAATGATTTTCTTTAATAACTTCATCTTCGTGGTTTTCAGAATTTTGACTACTTGATCGTGAACCTTGGTTCCATGTTCGCCTTGGAGTTCTAGTAAAGGAATATTAAAATCAAGAACGACAACAAAGTGTTGCTTCGAGTCGTAGATTGAGATAAGAGGTTACTAGGCGCAAGGCTTGCAAAACGCTTGTGACCGGAAAAAGATCGGACAAATTTATTCGTTTCAAAAGTCCTAAAGCACCACAAAGTCGAATGATGCCCCAATATCATATCTTTCTCAAACGTATTTCTTGAAACAGGGCTTCTTTTTACAGCCTGTTTCAGCCACCGCTGTTTATTCTGGTAAAGAATGTGAGTTTATTTGTATTATAAATTACCAACTTTAAAAAACTTCTACTAACAAGCGAAATGAAGGAAATGGGTATTGCGAAAACAAATCATTATTGCAGAGGTAAATGGAATATTGTGAAAGAAAATCTCTTCACGCAGTTGATCCAACAAAGAGCCTGGAATGAACGACACGGAGGTCGTCACTAGCTCTAACCCCGGAGCTATACAAATATAATAAAATTCATACTCTTCAGCCAGATGTTCTGTCTTTGTTCTTAAATTTATTATACTGTACAGGTCCTCAGTACTTGGTGTTGTGACAGCTATTCTCTCATTTCTACGTTCGACACCGTTGTTGTTGCGCGGTGCTGCTGAATATACTGGGGTCTGGGTGGTAGTTCTCGGAAATTTAATTTCATCTTCTTCGCCTGGAACAAAGAGAAATATATTGTAATCGGAGGAAAAATCTAAATTTATTTTTCACTCCAGCTAAAACGAGAACCTAATACTTGATAATCTAAGCCTGGATCATATAGAGGTATAACAGAGTATAGAGGTACAACATAGAGAATAGAGGTATAGAGGTATAACATATAGAGTATAGAGGTATAACATAGAAAATAGAGGTATAACATATAGAGTATAGAGGTATAACAAAATAAAACTGAATAGCGAACATAAACTTAGCCTATGAATAGTAAATTGTCGTACTCACTTTTCCTTCTTGCGCGAAATTTCTCATTCTTTGGACTTGGAGAAGAGTTCAGTAACTGTTGCTTCAGGAAAATCGCTCTTTCCTCGTTAAAACGCTCTCTCTGTTTATTGAGTAAATCGATCCAAATTTTACCAGATAAAATATAGTTTGCATTATAAGTAAATTTAACATTGATTAATGTCGTGAAGTTGACACTAGCTTATGTTCAAAATACTGCATGAAATCACCCGACCCCGTCGAAGGTCTCGGTTTCACACGCGGGAGGAAACATGATAGCAGCTGGTACGTCGTTGTACTGTTTTGAAAATTAGGGCGGAAAATGTACGTTTAATGGGTTAAATACATACAATTATAGCATAGCAGAGATACTATAAAACTGTCAGGCTGTTGACATCACTGGATATAGTTTCTCTTTAGTCTTAGAGAAACAAGGAAATACTAAACGAGTAAAGGCTACAGTTATCCCAAGTTTTGTATATAGGAAACCAAACGCACCTCTTGACCTAATTTGATGGCTGCTTCTGTAAACTTTTTCCTTTCTTCGTCAAACGTTTTCTTTTCCTGTTTAAATAGTTTTATTTCTTCATCCACCTTTTCTTTCTCAGCGGTTACAACGGAATCATTCTGGAAACGTTGAATGAAAAGACGACTAATCAAAACAGGAATTTTGTTTAGAAGCAAAATTTGTTTTGGAATCGCTAACAAACTCAAAGATTCCAAACTCACAGGCTCAGGCACGCAAAACACCTATCATGTTGAATCTCGAATTCTCTCTGACGTCATTCAGTTTGACGAAAAACGGGCAATTCAATCGAAAGAGTTATATAGATATATGCAATCAGAATTAAACATGATAGGAAGTATTAGGAACGATTTGAAATAATCATACCAGAAAATCGGCCTTGGCACCCGTGTCGTCTTGGAGTCTCTAAAATAAAGGAAAAACAAATCAATATCAACCACGAGGTACCTGACCCTGGCCCAGTGCCCTGACCCCACTAGACAATTAAGGGGGAAATGCTTCAAAATAGAGTAAAACAAAAAATTGTGTGCATGCATTCTCATAGATCTTTTCATCTTTGACCAGTGTATATCGTCACCCCACAGGTACCAACCTGTATATGTTCTTCTTGTTGTAAAACGATATATTTGTATCTTTCCAATTCATTTTTTAGTTTATCAGCATCATTATCTGTATTACTCTCGTTATTTTTCTTGACGTCCTCTATGAAAAGATTTGAATATCAAGTATTCATGTTGTGAATTTAAATATTTTCCAATATATATATATCAAACCTGGTTTAGAACTGTCCATTCCTTCCTTCAACCTCTTCCACTTCTCACGAATGCTCCTTTCGATTCCTTGTAATAATGATAATGAGTTTTATTATTCATTATAATTATTTCCTGAATGCCGGTATTTTGGCTTTGCTTGGGTCATTAAATAGTAATTGGGGTTTTGTTGAGTACCAATGTTGAGTATCAACGATCATATAGGGTTCCCCTGCATAGATACAAATCATTGCTGCATACAACTGACGCAAGTGTTGTATCATAAAGATTCAAGAATTCGAGAACAACTACAAATTCATTGTCTCGAGCCGGCCTAGACTGCGCTATCAGTTTCCCTTCGAAGAGACATGCGGTGAAGATACTCAGTTTTTATAACTATCTAGGAATCACTAGATAATTAACTCAGTAAACAGTGTACGTTATAATTTCTTCTCATGACATTTATTTTCCTGAGTTCATTAACACGATACCTTCACGGACAAGTTCGAATGGCATTTGATATTGTCCTTCAGTGTGACTGCTCACAGATATTGAATCTTCGTCACTATCTTCTTCCTATACAAGATGTCGGATGATTATTTGTAATTTAAATATCTGTGATGCATGTATATATACCAGCTTTAATATAACGAGGATTTAAAAGAAAAAAAGCAGGACTAATATAGAAAGTTTTCTATGGTAACTGGACTTACCCCAGAATCCGTAGTGACATCCTGGTGTTCTTTGTTAAGAAGATTCACCAACTCGTTTTCAGTATGTTGCAATAACTCTCGTAAATCATTATTTTCTTCCATAAGTTCCTGAAAAAGAATACAAAAAATGTCGAAGACACAAGGGTTCGTCTATACACAAGAGGACAGTCATAGTTAATGGCTCAATAATCAATATTATACCCGACATATAAAACAAGTACAAGTACGCAAGTAATAACTACTCTTTTATAACTAGTTCGTTCGTATTACTTGTTTTCTTAGATACCATGCACCGAGTCTTTCCACCCATTCCTTCAATTTAACATCCAACCTATGTTTTAACTGAGTTTTACTCCAAATATTAAGTTTTCCTAAACAAAAACTCTTTTTCTTTCAAGATAAATAAAATACTCAGGATAATCCAGGCCTATAAAAGCATTTATAATACCTTTTGTTTATCTTCATAGCTGTTTACGACCAGTCGATACATTTCTTCATCGTGCCTGAAAACGTGCAATTGAAAGTGCTATATCGGAAGTCTGAAACCTACTGAAAAATTATTCTACTCTTGCATGAAATGAATGCCTTAGCGCTGTGATCAATCTGATGAAGTATAAACGACTGCTCAAAAGATTCCGCTAACCAGATTACAAGACCTATCTATACTTGCACTTGGATACTAACATTGTGCTCGATAACGTTATATAAAAAATGACATTGTTCTCCTTAACATTATTTTAATCAATAATAAATCACCCTACTTGTTTCCTGTGTTCCAAGTTCGCCTTTTTCCATCAGCTCTTTGTATGGAATTAAGCATATCAATCCCTATCGATTTCTCCTTCGTCTTGTAATTTAACGACTAAAGCAAAAATATACAATACAATACAGCAACAGTAAATTAATACGACCATTAAGCGAGCTCTGCCTTTGATCTAACGTTTAGACGTCTATCGATCGTGCAGGTTGGGCCAGGTCACGTTATTCGATGGTTGTTGCACCTTCCACAAGTTTTCGTCAGCCTTAATAGGTGTAATAAAATAACAGTCTCGTGGATTTCGTGAAAGATAGGCTAGTTTGATATCTTTTTGACTATGGCTACGGTTCAGCCTGAACACAGAATGTGTATTATTATCATCCATCTTTTATCTATGGCCTAGCTGAATCATTGAATGGGCTACCTAGGAAAATACCTGCACTAATTTTTCTTTAAGTTTCACCATTTCTCTTTCAACTTTCCTAATATCGTGTTCAAATTGTTTCTTAAGATGTTGTTGGTTTCCCTTCATTTTCTTTATTTCTTCTTTTTGCGATTTGACCAAGTTTTCCAATGATTTCTTTTTTTTCGACAGTTCAATTTGTTTTGAATTCAGCAGAGCAACTTCTCTTTGTGATAGATCAAATTCGTTCTGCACAAACAATCAAAATGTGAATTGTGGAAAAAAGATCATCCTGAATTTAGGAAAGATTTTTCAAATGCAAAAACACACAATGGCTAATTTTTCATATTTTGGAAACTTCATTGAGTTCATAAGTTTCTACAAACCTTCAGACGAGTTTGACTCTGAACTAAAAATTCATTATCGCAATCTGATCTCCGCTGCCTAGTGATCAAATGGAGAAAATAATGCTCATTACTGATTATGAGGCCCATATTATGAGTTGGAACTAAATATGGAGAACAGTATAGGTTATGTCTGATCATAGAACCCATCTAAAATGATGAGCATGGGATTTAGGTAAGAGACAATTATGAATTATTTCACAGAAGTTCAAAAATATTCTACAACCTGGTTGCCAGAAATATTTACCTTGCTTCCAATTCATCTTTGACTTGATTATTTTTTATTTGGAGTTGAAGAAGCTCGTATAGATTATTAATCAATCGCACAACACTATATCCATTTCTCTCAGAATTTTTATATAGTGAAAAGAATCCTAGTGTGACCAATTCCTTGAAAAAAAGTTTAAAGACATTAATAAACACTTTAGAATTGTCCTAGAAAAAAAGGTTAAAACACTAATAAACACTTTAGAATTGTCCTAGAAAAAAAGGTCAAAACATTAATAGACACTTTAGAATTGTCCTAGAGAAAAAAAGACATTAATGAACACTTTTGAATTATCAGAGAATATTTTAAAAGAAAGAATTTTTTAAATAATTTATTTGGTTTTCTTTCATGTACCAAAAGTTTGTATTTCAGATACAACCATAAACATTCCTAACGTAATGGACTCATTTCCAAATCTTAATAATAATTGTTCCATGCAAAATGCCAACAGAAAAAGAATATGTAGACTACTTAAAAAGTGATTTAAATTAAACCCTTAAAGTATTTATCACCTACTTTAATATTACAGATGATTTTTAAAGTCATTTACGTCTTGTTATAAAAAGGTTGCATTTCTTACTCTCTGTTTAAATATCTTACGTAGAGGCTGATTTTAATTCATATGTAGCAAGCTCACATTTTATATATGCCACCTGCTGACTAAAAAATGGGCTCTCTCTCATAAGATGTAAAAGCACAAGTCATGTTAGTAGGCTTATATTATCTAGCCTTTCAACAACTAATAATCAAAAATTGTATACATGTTGACAGATGTGTTAGACATTTTTCATACCAGGCATCTGTGGCTATATACATGCTATCACATGAAATAATAACCACTCCATGATATTGTGTAAAAATTGATATTATATGCACAAAGGAGATTGATTCGGCAATATATCTGAATAGCTTGGCACTCATGCAAGGGATGACAGCCAATATTGTAAATACAGCAGTATCTCCTAGATTAAATATGCCATTACTAGAAACAATCATAAATTATGTACAGTGTTTTTATTAATAATAAAATACCACTTTTATCTGAAACGTTATCTAAAATGTAGAAAGTACTGTTTGACGTTTCTTAAATCCTTTTCATTATTTCGTTGCATGATAAACCACAAGTGTACTATACACTTGAGAACGATTCTGATACGGTTTTGGATCTTGGCAAAAACATTCGATAAGGGAAAACGAGAGTTAAAACATTAAAGTTACAGCGCGTTTTTCTTAAACGACATTAAATTTATATTTTGAAATTAGCTGAACAATATATTTCTTAAACATGCTACTTTCTAGTGTCTGTCTAGTGTCCACAACTTGACATAAACGATTTAATATCTGCCTACACTACAGTGACTACACACGAGACTATATTTTAAATAACAGTATTAAAAAGTCAGCTTAAAACTCAGAAGCACGTCATGTTGCTTAACAACTACAAACCTGATTCAGATATGCAATGCATTGTTCGACATTATTCTCTGTACAAAAAGCTTTCTCGTGAGTACGATGACCAAAATCTGGCGAAATAGAAAATCTCTCATTGTCGGGACTTGTATGTGACTGTGTCATATATCTCTCAAATAGATCAGGCGATCTTGATGTCATTTTGTACTTCTCCAATTGTACAAGAGTTCAATCTTCGCGACAAAAAAAATATTTATTTTGAGCATATGTACATTCTCATTTTCCCTCCATTACAAAATTCAAAACAAATGCAAATGTTTAAATAATATTCTCTTTACGCATGCATTCTTACCGAAACCACTGACCAACAAGTACGCAAAAGGCGTATTCCAATTTCTAAGAAAGAGAAAGAGGCAAATAAGAGGTCCCTCACTCCCCTCCCCCTCCCCTCTTCTCGGTGTATGACATGCCTCGGATAAACCCAAGGTAGGAAGTTGGTTGCAAAGGACCTATATTTTTAGCCGGTTTTAAAATTTCAAATGTCTTACGCTCTTAGCTAGCTGGAACATAAATTATAGGTGTCCGCGCTATTACACGTATCGGCCTAACTTTCAAATATATACATTGACAATCTCGTTTCCCGAGGTTTGATTCAACGACCAAGATGAAATTTCAACTTATGTATAACAGCGCACGAAATTCGGTTAGGTAAAATATTGAAACGCAGACATGCCCGAGCATAACGGAGCAGGTCTCATTTCAACAAACCCAAATCTATTGCAGGCTCGGTAAACGAGATTTCCCCCAACCCCAACCAAAATCGATATGTACACCCCAGTAAAACCTCAAATAAGTAAAGCCTTATTTAAGTACCTATTAATTACTTTTCTGTATTTTAAAGTACAATTAAAACCAATCCCATAACCAGAAGTTTATTGATTAGTTGCATACCAAAGTCACAGTCAATCAAGCAGTTGTTCCATCGCTGTCTCTATTGACCTGAGGCGGAGGAGTTTCAGATCTTGAGAACAAATATGCCAGTTTTTCTCGTCTGTCTTCAAGAGTTTGATCAATCGCTGAAGCAAGGTTTGAAGTATCAGGCGGACTTGTATCCTCGAGTCTTTCGTAATCTTCATTGTCAGTTGAGGTATTAGCTCTGTTTTTAACAAATGCGACTAGCTTAATCATAACAAGAATGAGGGTATACAGCCACATGAGAATAACGATAGCCAAGTTTGTCCTGTCCCGATCGTTATCTGCAATATCCATCATTTGAAAGACACCCAGTGCTGACAACACGAATAAGAATATCATCTCTGAAAAATTTGCCCGTGTTTCTTCATATGGCTGGAAGTAACAGTGGATAGTCAAAATAAATGTTGTCGCGATTACCAAAGCAACCTAAACAGAAGAGAACCGGTAAAAATTGTGCGCTGAAGTCGCCGTTGTGAGTTGCGTTTCTTCAACTCTCTATTTAAACAGACAGAACACGATCATTCTTTTTCTTTAGATTATGTCATAAATCCTAGAATTATATCTTTCTATCTAAACGTATATACCTGTTTATGCTTCCAGATGTGCATGAAGTCGCCCAACGCAACGATGAGAAGGCGCCGCAATAGGTCCACACTCCACCAAAACACACATCGCTCTTTTAGATTGTTTGTTAATGTGTCCAGGTAATGTGGAGCAATGTTTAGACGATTTGTCGTGGTGAGAACAAGAATCAGTATTGGTATTATAACTCCAAGTATCAAAATGGTATAGGCAACAATTGACAAAACTAAGTGCTTGCCTTTGTAACAAATCACCGACGCTTGTGCGAAAAGACGCAACTTTCCTTGGATTGAAGCACAGTCGACAATGTTTAACGATGTGTTCATAAGGCTGGAGTACATCAATATCAACAAAACCCAGAAACATTGTACAGCGTTTTTTCTTCTTATCAGAATAACACGTTTATAGCTGAGAAAGAATGCGACAAGAGAGACAAGCAGAGCTATGACCGAGGAACTATAGCTCCAAGCCAGCATGTCCAAATTATCCTGATCATTTAGAATATAGCATTGAGAAAATAAATAACCAAAGAAAGGGATTGTAAAATCGAATATGGAGGACAAGAAGAAAACAAAGTTGTAAACATTGATAGTCCCTTTCGTTGTATACTGAGTAGGAGGGAAAAATAACGGTAGAACTTGAAAGAAGAATAGTGGACCTCGAAGCTCATTATCTAATCCTGGATTGAAGTAAAGAATGATAATGCAGAACATAATTGTGAAAATAAATGAAAAAACGTTGGTCCATTGACATGATGTATTTCCATGTTTTGGAACGCAACGAAATGTTTGTATTCCAACCGTGTAATTTTCTTGGCAATCACCACAAAGCTTGCCGTTGCGATTATTAGCACAAACATCAGTCTCGGTCCCGTTCACAACATTGAAAAAACAACCGCTTACTTCGGTGCCACTTTGTCTTGAAGTATCGGGGCAGGAACAATAGCCATAAGGACATGGAAATACTGTAAAAACACCATTAATCACACCAACCCAGTAGCCTTCCTCATATTGGACAAAGTGCCCATCCTCAGTACATCTATAACGAAAAACGTTAACGATAAAATATTTTGTAAGATGAGGTAACCCTAAAACTAAATACATGAATGTCATTTAAGCCTTTTTAAAACGATAGATTTTTATTTCATTTCATGCCATGAATGTTATTTTAAAGAATAAATCCACTGGTCGCACCATTAGATTTTCAATAACTAGTATTCAAACACTCACCCCAAAATCCCAGTCTTATTTTTATCACATACACACAACTCGTTTTCCTGAACGAATCCAGGCCGACATGCTTGAGGGCGAAGACTAAAGTGAACGAACACTCGACCATTTGAAAATATGTCATAATAATACACCTCAGCGGCTGTGTTCATTGGAATTTCAAAACTTGAATTGTAAGTGTACTTGAATTTTACGGTGTTACTTGCTCGCGAGAGGGGAGTGAATGTTTCGGGTGACTGAAGCCAACGAGACTGAGAACTATCAGAGTTAGATACTTTGTCAGCAACGATTGAAAAAACGGAATTATTCAGTTCATCTCTCGCAACCATTTCCAGCGACATTACTTCACCAGGGCATGTCTAAAACATCAAGTAAATTATGTCAATGCAGCGGCTAGAGGAAATCTCTTCAGTTATCAGTTTGCCAGTAATTGCCGACCACTGAAATTATCCCCACGCGCCTTGGTGGGGTCAAAAAATGCTGACAAATAAAGGATTGCCAGAAGGAAGAAAAAGGTGGCTCGAGAAGACGACTGCCCGAAATCGTAGCTTCCAAACGTCTCCGAATGCACAAAACTGGAATTATCACCTAACATGAAAAAACGAGCCTACCGAATAGGTTTAAAGTGAATAAACGATACGGATGAAAGCTACCTTAATTGTTTCTATTCCATTTTTTTCTTCGAGACTGGAAACATATGTAGAGATAGCTTCGGTTCCATTGGCCCTAGCGTAACATAGTTCAAAAATGTCTGAACTTGGACACAAAGCATTGCCTTCATAGTAAAACGTTGGCTTCCATTTCAACGTTTTCTTAAAGTCCAGTTTCTGGGAATACGAATCCCAGGCGCACATCATTAACGAATCAATACAAATTGCTGGACCCCGTAACGTCGCACTATTGTTGATGAAACTTATATTTACCTAAAACGAAAAAAGCGAAACACAAAATGTCAATGGCCTTTTCACTGGACTTTATGCAATGTGCCATGGTTTTTGATTATCGAATTCACATAGAGTTTAGGAGCGATTTACTGTAGTTTGTAGAGAAACCTTTCCAATTTTTTTTATTTTGGCTTTGCTGCACACTCGCCTCTCTCCTGAACAAGGATAATCACAACTCAAATTGACTTTGATAATAAACTATCTTCACGCATATAGCGCGCTTGAAAGGTAAAAAGGGAAGGGCGGAGAGCTAAAAAAAGTACTTATCTAAATGATATGTGTCCATGAGTGATTCAGTGCATGTGTAAAAACGACGATGCGAACTGATACTTACATTCCATTCGTTAGGACTGATGGCCATATTTGAATAAACCAGAAAACAAAACGGATTATTTTTTACGCCAACATGATAAGCCACATTTGTAACAACATTGATTGCACCACCTCCAAATGAAGCGAAGTTATCTTGAAACAGAAGATCCGAGCCTGGGTGTACAACTATTTGAGAATTTTGCGATGAAATTGCACCGCCTTGTAAGCCCATGTTTCTCAGAAAATGCAGCTTGCCATAGACCTGAATGAGGGAATTACTAAAATACGCCGCACCAAAGAAACTGTTGCCAATAAATGTGTTTGAGCCATTTAAAACAATATTGACGCGATCGATAATAAACGAAGGCAAATACGCATAACCATTCAAAGCCGAGTTTATGTTATTAATAAACAAACAATTTTCAAAGACAGGAATCTGATTTGATGAACGAGGACCATATAGATGCGACGCAATTTTTACAGCAGAGCCAACTGGTCCAGAGTTGCGAGCAATATTTAGATATTTAAATAATAATATCTCTTCACTTTCTTGGGGTGAACTGTAGTAAGATTGAAGGAAAACATATATAGCGCTACCACTCTTAGACAAGTTTTCTTCAAAGAGACTGTTGACCATTTTCAGTCGTGTTTTAGCCGAATAATCCCAGAATGAAAGAAGAAATGCTCCGCCCGCCTGGGCGCCGTAATTTCTAATAAATTGATTTGAAGAAATGAATATTTCGTTGTACAACGTAGCGCCAAAAAGTTCAATCAATAAAGCACCTCCGAATGTGGCATTATTTCCTTCGAAACGACATGATGTAATGTTTATTGTTGTCCAAGAGCTTGATTTGTCAATGAATGTAACGTGAATTGCCCCACCATTTTTTACAGCGTTCTCCTGCTTATGGGCAACGTAATACTTGCTACCGTCTGCATGCACACTATTGTTAATAAATGTAGTGTGAAATACATTAACTGACATATTTTTTCGGGATCCATTTGGAAACAATATGCCTATTCCCCCACTAAATGCACTCATATTGGAGCGGAACAAGTGTTTGCTATAAATAAACTTATTCGTATTTCTTACAAATCGGCAGTATTCTATGTGGACATTGGAATTTTCAACAAAGAGAGCACTGCAATTATTATCTTGAAAAGCACAGGAATAGAATGATACTTTATTAGTATCAGTGACTGTTATTGCCGGCATAACCTCTGCATATTTCGCCCAAGCGTTCCTGCCACAGTTCTCGAAGGTGATATTATAAAACTCCAAGAACAAGTTTCGTCCGAACACGTTGAAAATTCTGCGGGCAACATCGGTGCAAGTGAAACGAATAGTGGGCTGTTTAGAAAACAACCTAAGAAGCAAGGATCGGTTTTCGTCCGTGTGAATTTGAAGAGGTTCATCGATTAAATACTGCGATTCTTCAATATGAATATCGACCGAAGTTTCGACTGACCCAAGAACATAGTTCAATGCAAATTTCAATGTTCGACATGGAGTGGTAAAATTATTTGACAAACACTTAGTATTATTGCCATTCGTGGGTGCCACAGTGATGCTAAGATGGCATTCAGATCTTTGAATGAGATCACAAAATGTGATAGTTAATAACAGACAGTACCAGCGAATTCCCATTGCAGCTGCTCATTCCAGATGAATGACTTTGATTATATTTCTACTGCGGACTATGCTCAAATCCAGAAATTGAAACGCTTCGCCTTCGGCTTCGCCAAAAGTAATCGTGTCAGACACACACAAGAGGTTACCAAAATTGAGATACGTACAGACATCAAAGATTACAGTGGGTCAAAGTCCTAAATTTTGGTACGAATTCTTTACATTTGCTCGACAGGACAGAGTCAAAGGTCATAACGAAAGTGGTGGATCATATTACTTCCAGGTTCTACTGCCACATGAACATGCCACATGAACATGCCACATGGCTTTATTCATATACTTGCCCCCGTGAATTTTTTACCTCTTTGGTAATTAGAGTATTCAAACTTGAAAATTTTCATAAAAAAAGGTTTGAAACTCGTCAACGAAAGGAATATATAAATACCGGTGACAGCCGACAGGACTTCGGATATCAGAACAATACAACCAGGAAAAAAGGACAAATTTTGGCCAATCCCAATTTCGTCCGGGCCTGTGTAAACGTAGCCTTTAATTAGGTTAGGCTTAAAAGCGTTTAACACAAAACAGATGACAGATTGTGTGGCAAGGGCAAAAAAAATTAAGTATAAGTATAAGTACACAAGAAATGAAGCATCGCTTTTGTGCTTTTCCACAGGCTACCTCGTAAGGCCTGGTTTATACGTCGCATTTTGGTCGCGTCAAATTCTATTCAAACAATAGATAATAATATGACAAGATTTAGCCTATTTGTTTGATTTGCATTTGACGCCACAAAAAGCATGTACTGGAGAGCCTGTGGATGAGTCTGAACTAGGCCTACAGTAACTCCGACTCCTAGTTCCAAGCAGGGCGCTTGTTCCAAGGTTATGCCTATGCAGAGGCAGCCCGGTCAATGCGGTTACGTCATACTATCTTATGTCATTATGTACATAGTATGATGTAACCGCATTGACCGGCTGCCTATGGGCTATGCTTACTTAATATTGGTCGTTGTTCTAAAATTGGCAATATACGAAAAGTATATGACACATAATTTAATCATATATTTACCTTTCAAACTTTCACAATATATATTACAGACAAATACAAGAATGACAGGTTAATGTGCGTATATTATATTCTATATTATTAGAACTTTATAGGTTCATATTACGATAACGAAATTTACACCGAACATGTCGGGCATAGCTAGCTATGAGACCAGCTGAACAACTTTTCTCCAAAACATTTTAATATAATACGTTAAAGGTGTAACAATAATATATAGTAAAAATCAATCGTTTCTGTAATGGAAAAACGTTGTCCAACTGGTCTAGAAAAAACATGCAAGGTCTGCATAAAAACATTAGTGCTTTAACCTTACAGAATTCTTAAAATATCAGAAGTAAAAACCGGAATGTTATAAAAGTTTTAGGAATTATTACAGAAAGATAAATTAGACTATTAGTAGAATTCTAATAGAAATTTATGATCTCAGACTGGGCAATATATAAATCTAACAGTATACTACGTTATAATTATCATAATTAGGTGAGTTAATATTGTACGTTTTTGTCTTCAACACTGCAACAATACTTGTATTATTTTCTATATGTTACACAATCAAGTGTTTATGTGACTTTCGATTTCCTTTGTTTTTCAACTCTAAACAGCGCTAAAATCTGCATGCTTGTGTCCATTCAAAAAACACAGAGAAGATGGCGGGCGTACATTTACTAATATTGCATGTCGTAGGAAATAATCTGAAAAAGGATAATGACCTCATTTGAGGAAAACATAAAATGAAAGGTTATTTTCTTTGTTGTGTTAAAATTGCAATGAACATCCTCTATCTTCTCATACTTTTCATTCGTCGTCACTCTTTAACGTTTATTCGTCGCGTTATTAATGAATTATCACGAATCTAACTAGTTTGTTCAGTCTTATTAACACTTTTGAAGGAAATCTAAGTCATATAAACAGTCATGATTGGGTATCTCACAATTATAAACGCCAATTAAACGGCGTTATTCTATTGGTTGATACATTAGTCTGCCCTTAAAGGCTCATGCGTTAGTCTAATGCTACGTTGAATCACGTGACATGACACGTCACAGACGTCACACGACAGATTACGGGACAAGTGTGAACACGTAAACTCAAAGAAGTTCCCCATGCACCCTTGTATGTACCCCCAACGAGGGTAGAAACGGGATTGTACACCCCACATCCACCATCTACATCTAGGTCCCTGAAGAAAGAAAAAGTAAACGAACTGTAAAAATCTGTTCATGATATGAGGAAATTCTCCAGACTTCTCTCCATCAATCTTGCAATAGTAAAATCTTGGAATGCGAAATGATCTTCCAAGCTTCCAAGTCGCGTCTAAACTTACCCCCAGCATGCAATTCCTTCCCAGGTTGCCTATAGACTGTAGCCATCGGTAAGTCGTTGCTGAAGAGGCGGTGGAAACTGATCAAAGAACTTCTTCCAACTTTCAGCTCCAACTTCAGACTTAAAACCATGAAGAATCTAGCAACATAAAAAATTTCTATCAATACCTCAATTGACATGAAGGAATCCCCCGTAATACGCCTTAATTTCACAAACGGGGTGTTGTCTTTCTTGAAGAACCCTTAAATTATTCTTCTTTAGCTAATACACAATTTTACCCTTCTTAACGTAACAGCGATCGATACAAAAATCGCAGAAACAGTGTTTTCAAAACTTGCTTAGCAAGTATAAAATATGTTGTCGACATTTCGAGTTCGCGTCAGCGAATAACATAAAAAGGGTTTATTTGGCAATTGATGAATAATTTTGTACTTAAAGAAGGTTCCACACCACTACCTATTTTGTACAAGTAAAAAGGAGAACATCCTCTCTGGTAACTACTGTAAATGTTTTTTCCTTTTTACAAGATTTTACTTTTAAGTTCAAAATATGGTCAATAAAGAATAAACAAGGATTACAAGGGATAATCAAAGACGATTAAACCAACAGAATTCCAAAACACCACATTCCATCAAATTTTACAACAATTAAGAAATGACTACAATGCAAACAAACCTTGTGAAAAGTTTCTTTTAAATCCGGTTTTGGACTTATCCAGGACGCTACAGCATCGCAGAAGAAAATGAAATCCTGAAATACAAAGTATATATATCCTATAATAAAATATGGGCGGTTAAATCTTACAAGTGATTGAAAATTACATAGCATCGATCCGAGAGATTTTTTTTCAACATCGTCAAAACGCTGGCTAATATATATTATCACATCTTTATAGCAGAATATGCTGCCGAGGGAAATGTACCTGAGCAACCCCACCAGGATTAACATTGATCATGTTGCAAATTCCACGAAATGCTGAGTCCTTCTCCTCGTTGTCACGGATGTTGCGTAGTGACGTGCACCTTGAGAAAACAACGTTTTCATAAAAATTACAAAACAATCAACATTTACAAACACGAATGACTGGGTGAAAGCAAGTTGTCTAAATGAAGAGAACGACACATTAGATACAGTAACACATTTGATACAAACATACAATAAAAAGGTGACAATCAAGAAAGGCAATGGAACCCGGGACAAAGCGTTATTACAGAGATAGTCAGGATATGGAATCAAACACGCCTGAACACAAGTCAACATATTCAGCGAGAGTTAACCAGAAACCGTCTTTGTTCTAAATAGACCACCATCATGAAAGTCGGACTCATTGCACTCAAGATGATGACAAACATCATGATTGCGTTGTTAAAAAACACGAATAACACAAATTAGTTCCGGTAGAAAACATTTTCCAGAATAAATAGCATTATATATATAACCCAATAGGTCTTTCAGTGTAATAAATTTCAACCAGACAAACGTGATGTTTTTTGGGCTATCTATAAACAGATTGCTCATATATAGATCGCTTCTAGGATTGCTTACGTGAATTACCAATATAATCAGTTTCACGATTAGGGTCATTTTTATCAACAAAAGAAACTAAACAATATTACATGAGAAATAAAGAAAAAATGGACGTTAGTAAGGCGGAAATGATAAAATAAAAGAATACACACCAGGGTCTGACAAAGTGCGCTAACATGGGAGCCACTTCTTGAGGACAAACTAAACCCAATCTGCCGATCGTGATTGCTAAGACGTAAAGTAAACACAATACCAAAAGAAAACAAGTTAAACAAAACAACTAAACAAGAAAACAAACAACACAGTAAGTACAAACAAACAAACACAAACACGCCTGGAATGGAGAAGCTTAAACCGCTCTTTTCTCGTTTAAAAAATTTTGTAACATGAATACCCATGATATATTATTCGTACAGTATTGACATGCAGAATTACATTATTTATTATAGGTTATCTATTTTATGTATAGTCAAGAGAAACTGAATAGTAACGTAGGGAGGTAAAAATCAGATGTGTTCTTTCATTTGTGATAGTTCAATGACGGTGATAGCTCATGTGCACGTGCAGGTTATCCGGAGGAGGTTCAGAACATAAATACTGCTTCATTATTTTCGATACATACCTGTGTTTTCCAGAAGAGTTTTCGGAGTGTGTGTTCGATTAATGATATCGATCAATGACGAGAGAACGAGAGTGACGTACGGTTTCGTTTCCTCTCCTATCAAGTCAAAGCATGCATTGTTCAAGATTTATAAGATTGGGGTCATGCAGGAAAACAAATCTAAATGTCTAGAAATTACTACCATTTGTGTTCTAGTATTAAACGTACTTTTTGCATACTTTTTATCCATTGTTTTTAAGGCTAATCGACTTCTTTGTTATAAAGGCGGACAAATAATCCCAAATTTGCAATTTTTACTAACATCGTGAGAGTTCACGCTTCGTATGCTTGAACACAAATGGTATAAATCGATTTGTATTTGCTATCATGACGGATATTCTTCCACAGATCTATCTAGATGGAAGAGTATAGGTACTAACCTAACTGGATGGATATTTCACCAATAGCCCAGGTCGCATTATTGCACACCGAGATGAATTCAGGATTCAAATTTCGTCCGAGTACAGGCATAAGATCAACTGAAATTATGAATACAAATTTTCAAAACAAAAAGCGAACCAAGACCCTGGGTACGAGGTTGACGGCGAACATCACAGCGATTAAACGTAACATAACATTTTAGTTATTGTAAAGCATTACAATGATATTTGGCAAATAATTGCAAAATCAAGTTTATCATGTTTTCCTGATAAAAGTTAAATTACAGAGCGAACAAGACGTTGCCTTACCGATGCATGGCTTGACATGTTTGAAACAGGCTTTAGCAAGATCTCCAAGCAGTGCAAAAGAACTTTGGCGAACTTCTGGCATATCATCCTGAAATATCATCATAGTTTTTATTTTGCTTTTATCAGAAAAAATCGAATATATACAGCGATATAGAACTTCATGGATTCTTCGGTAAATTTCATTGAAATATACAGAAAATACAACGAGTAGTAGCGTAGCATTTCAGTGTGGACAAAACATGGGACAAATTGATAGCCTGGTCAGATAATTTTCCTACCTGCAAAAATACAAATAAAGCTTATCCTAAAGTTTTATTGGTATTTCCTGAAAAGCCTACAGTCTAACCTTTAATAAAGATAACACTAACACTGGCAACCATCGAAAACTAATCGAGTAGTCTTATTTTCATGAGCTATGGCAATTATTATGAGATTACCTCAGGCAAAACATAAGGAAGTTATATGGACTTACCTGCATACACTGATATAAAAGAGTTAAAATATTACTCCGAACTACAAATTGTTCGATATTATTTTCTAGTCCTTCGGCTAAACCACTTAATAAATCTAAAGCAACAATCATAAAGTCTTTATCTGGAGCATCCACTTGGCCGGGGTTTGCCGCACTCGCCTGAAATCAAAGACGATCAACAAACATCAAGAAGAACACTGTTGAAGATGAACTAGGCAGTGGAAACACGGCTCTTAAAGACGCACTTTTAATGGAATATTTAGCTAATAAAGAAACAAACTTTCGAGTCGATATTTTTAAAGATCAAGAGGATAATATTGACAGCAAAAATTTGCGATTTGTTTCCTCCCATAGTATTGCGATTTAGCTTTTGTAGCGATCAAGCTTTTGTAAATATATTATTGTAAATAAATTGATCCCTAATTCATCAGAAAATAAACCCTTCGTCCATGGTTAGTTAATGAAACGTCAATAGGCTGAAATTCGGCAAATCAATGGCCAATCTCAACGCCATCTGGATTTTTAGGCATATACTGGTATACACCACACATTTATTTGACACTACTGGTACTGGTTACACCATACACTAATAGTGATACACTTACCAAACTCTGTGCTAAAGTTTTATCGACCAACGAGACACAGCGTTGAAATACAGGCTCAGCATAGGGAAGAAACCCAGAATGTAAGGCTGTAGCAACTGACGACAAGCATTCCAGTAAAGGAAAGAGATCTTTATCTTCATCTTTCAGTTCATTCCATTTTTGAATAAGCGGAGGCATTAATAACTCGATAAATTCTTGTTTATTGAGATGATGACCAACAGAATCAGCCAATGTCCCAATTGCGTCGTACAATATAAGTAAATTTTTATGCTGAAAAATATATTTCAAGAGAATCAAATGACGTCAAGAACAGGGGCGTCGCAGAAGATGGGTTTAGGGGTGGGGCAGAGGCAAGACCAGGTTTTCCACAATGAAAGGTAATTTCCTTCAAAATGTATGCGCCTGGATGGCAGAACCTGAATTTTTATAAATACTTTAAAATCACAATGCAGCACATGCAGTTGAGCTCGCGTACATGAATAATCCAGGCGTAGATTATGCTAATCGTATATAACGTAATCAACGGTTATTACCTGGTATTTCCCGAAAGCAAATACCAATGTTTGTAGTATATATCCAAGGTAAGGAACTAGTTCAGTACAAGCTTCTTCTTCCAATGTGGCGAATGCACTACGTTAAAATAAAACGAATTTTATCAGGGTCGTTAATGCATCTCTCTTTTGCCAAATAATTACACGCTTCACAAAGTTCGCATGCGAGTTTATCAAAATTAGCTTGTACATAGGTACAACACGTACGTATTAAACACTTAAATAATACATGCAGTATTAATTACTTACGTGGCGTACCTGAAAACTAATTTACTTACAAAGGAATCTTCTCGGAATTACCTGCATGCCGCTTCTTGTACTCTTTTATTGCTGTCCAAAATCCTCTTAAGAAGCTAAATAAATAGAAATGTTATAAACCCTACTAGGAAGAGTTAGAGTAACGATACCTGGTATGAAGGAAAATAACACAAATAAATGCAAAATTGCAGGTAACTAAAAGGCATTTTATTATATATGCAATATACTATCCATTGTCTTTTAGAAGCAATATCTGAAATATTATATTTTACTTTGCTGTATAACTATTGCTTTCATTTGTAAAACAATATCATACCTCGCTCATAAGTCTCTGGAAATACAATTCATGCGGTTGATTGACAACCCAATGTGCGTAGCGACTTAGTGTCCAGCACGTTATTGAACGCACAAGGGCCTAAATATGAAGAAGAGAAAAATGCATTTTATAAGTTAAACGAAACATTCCTGAAGCGCTAACAGTGTAAATGAATAGTATTTACAAGTGGACTGTATCGCACCTTCTTTTCAGAGAGACAGTTGATGAGAAATGGAAGTAGTTCTGGAAGATGAGGTGTCATACCATTTACACAGCCTAAAATTTTAGAGTGAAATTGTTTGCGTCTGAGATCAAACCTTGTTGGAAATGTAAAGAAGATTTCTACGTCTTCATGAAACGTCCTTCATAACAAATGGTCTTTTTTCGATGTTTGCGATACATTTTGCGAGTACTGTGTAAATGATTAAATTATAAAAGCTACCTTCAGCAATCGCCCCAAGCACAAGAATACCAGATTCCCTCACTTCCCATTCAGCATGAAATAACGTTTCCTTTAATATGGTCAACAGGACAGGCAACAATTCATCACGGAATACATTTGCCAAAACGTCCAGTCCAGCTGCTGAACACTTTCCTAAGCATACAGAAGGCAAAGTGTAAAACTTTTCGTCAGGGCAACGAACGTTTGATGTTCTTTACCGCAAGATGGCATTGCCTTTAAAAAGTTTTTGAGGTTATCAAATAGTTTCAACTGAGCTGCTATGACAAAACGGAGGGAGACATACAAATAAGAAGGTACTAGATTGAGATCCAAAATATCAAATATTGGAAACCGCAATTTGACCTAGGAACACGGTTGGAAGAGCATTGGGATAGAAAACCAAAGGAAACAAGTTAGATTGCAAGAGTGAGACAGTTTTCTTACTCAGATTCCAGTCAGATAAGGTATCATCATCAATATCATCATCTTCATCATCAGAGACCTCACCATCTTCTCTTTTCAAACTGTGTGTTTTAGATTTATGAAATCGAGGCTTGATATCTTGTTCACTGTCAGGAACACTTTCATCTTCCTCAACATCTCCCTGCCATTAAACAATTGCCTTTATAATATGACATTTATAGTACCTGCATAATGATTGGTCGAGAAGCGTGTTTCTATAACTGTATAGAAACACAGAATGTGTTTTCTATTTCTTAATTATTAAATCCAAACAATTTTTATTAATACTTTGACAATTCCAGTCACATCAAGGAAAACCAACCTTTAATAGAATTATATCAATCTCAGAATATTTCATTCCATTCACTAAAATAGGAACCAATCTAAAAAAGTAGCACGTATGATAGAAATATATTAAAAAGAGTAGAGAAATGCAGCAATTGATCCATTTTCATCAGTAGCATACCGACTAAGATATGGTGCAAGGCATTCTTTACAGATTGATTGCTCAGCTAGTGCAAGCCAAAATTCACACGCTTCCAAAGCAACATTCTCATCACTGTCTTGAGTCCGAATTAACATATACTACAGTAAAAAAAGGTACAGTATAACTGAATATACCTTGACGACATAAATTGCAGGCAATGTAATCTTATGCACTTTTTTAATAAGTGGCTATTTATAGTTGGCTATTTAGGCTTTGATTTAACTTACTACGCTATCTTAGGATATCTGAAGAATATCAATACTTTAAAATAAAAAATTATCATTACTAGTGAGATGATATTTTAGAGATACTGTAGATTGGTTTGCTAATTCTAGTGTGGGTTGACAAAAGACTCCAATACACTACCTCTATAATGTTGTTCATATGAGGTAGTAACTGATCACTGCGAACTTCTAACAGCATGACCAGCGCTCGACAGACATTTTTCCTTACTTCAGGGTCTTCATCAGCAGCTAATGCAAATAGATTCTGAAGACAATGCAAGAGCATTTCAGAGGTTAGTTTGCCATTTTCTTATATAGATCAGTGTCAATTTATAGTGTAAACATATACTAAACAAATATTTAGATACCTCAACAAATGATGTAATATGAACCATTAATGCTTGAGACCGTCCGATTATAAACTGGTTTGTACAGGCAATAGCATGAGATCTGAAAGAAACAAAATAATTTCTGTATGTTTGAAAACCACCTTACCAAGACAAATTGCATTTTGCCTTAACCAAGACAAAAAACAAAATTGCATAAATTAGAGTGCAACAGGTGCTATGCACATGTAATGTTTATACAAAGGTCACATGAAGAAGCCAAAATTCTTTTTACTTACCTTATTTTAGAACTTGCATGTTTAAAAAATTGTAAGAATTTTGGAATTAAAACATTTAGTGGCCTATTCAGGGCATCACTATCCAACTGTTCAGAAGAGTCTTCACATATTTTTTGCAAAGCACCAAAGGCACCCTAAATTTCAAATTTAGTATTATTAACAACCTTGATGTTCTTTGTTTGGGGAATGTTTTTGGATAAGATGATGTTCAAAAATTGTTTCAAAAATAATTCAATTGTTGTGGTGAAATATAATGGCTGCAACAGCTTTCAGCTGTGTGAATGAAACAGATTTTTGCTGCAGAATGAGGGACAGTTCACAGGGATTTATTGATTGTTAGCACTCATCGATTCACTAATATACAGAAAAACTGCCAAGTCATTATTCTTAAATTAATTTATATTGATTGGATATATACTTTTTTGCAAGTGAAAAATTGTCATACAGCTTTTTGGGATAATATTTTACACAGTTATTAAAATGACATAAAAATATATAAGTGACAATCAAAGGATAATCACAGCTCACAAAAAAAATTGTATACATTTACAAAATATGAGCACAAAAATGATAAGAATTTTCATGTAAATTATTATACTTCACATACTTTACATTTGTACATGCATTAAATTTTCATATCAGTTACTATATGGATCTTTAAATGAAATATGAAATGACCTACCTCACAGACACTGTAATCTTCACTATCCAGAAGTTGACAGAGTGATGGCAATAACTGTGGCCAATGAATAAGTTCTCCTTTTTGAGCAATTGTTGTGATCAAAATACCAATAGTGGCTCTTATTAAAGGTGATGGATCACCAATGGCCTGAAGACACTCAGTTTTTACAAATTCTTTGACATTATCAGGGAATAGGTGGTAGTTGGATTTCACATTGTTTTTTACAATAAGACCTGCTAGGGACCTGGTTGGCTCATCTTAATAAAAACAAGAAAAAATAATGAAAGTTTGATTACCATTATGCACAATGTACAGTAAATTCTTGTCTCTCACCAAGATCACTATATAAAAGTTATTGATAATATTGATTTCTATCAGTATTGCACAATATTTAATTTAATTTAATATATACCTTCAGTTTTAAGCTTGGTTAACACAAAAATTAGATAATTGTTGAAGTCCGGGAATTGATTGAGTGACTCCAATTTCTTAAATAAACTGTTAAGTAGACAACATATTCACAGGAAGAAATAAAATTACATGTATGACAAAGCATACGACACAATGACCACGTGTAAGGTATCTTCATTCCTGGCCAGAAAAATTTTACGCGCTTAGATTTACTTTGTATGACCACAATATAACAATGAATTATCTAATAACGTCAAAGCTACATAGAGGAGAGGATACTTGTTGAACAGCCCGTTGAATCGCATTGTCAGGACTTTGACTTTCTTTCAAAAGGTCCAAAATTTGCTTCAAACCATGTTCATCTGGTTGCCACGCCATCTTGCTTTCTTCAGACTCGAAAATGCGTGGGCGATCATAAGCGATTAGTTTGTTTCCCGCGCGACGCACACGACCAGAAGGCTAAGGTTTCCCAACATTTCCCATTTTTATGAAATTAGTATTTTATTATTTTTATGAGATCGTGCAATTAGCCTATAACTGAGAAGATAAAGTGCCTGTACCATGGTTGCGGTTGTAATACATTTTGTTATCGAAAATTTTTTTCTTAAATTTACCGGACATGACGTCAATCCGACAAATAGGGAATTTCGTGCAACTTAAACAAAAAAAAACTGATTTGCAATTCCCGATTTGACGTCATGACCGGTAACTTTGATAAATCCATCAAAATTTTCCAATAACAAAATGTATTGCAAAGTTCTTTAAAATACCTCAAAATTTTGATATATTCAAAATCCACAACCCTGGTATAGGCACTATAAGTCTATAACAAAACCTTTTCTTTTTTACCTTTCAAACGCGCAATACCAGCAAAGCATACATTGAAATCATTATTTAGTGTTACGAAACGAGTCAAACGACAGAATACGCTTTATTCCTTAAAGTATCAGGCTCTACACTCTACCAATCATTCCCTTCTCTCTATCTAATATATAAAATCCTATATAATATGGTTTTTATACATTACTGTAAGTAGCACGCGCCACGCGCACGCGCCAAAAAAATATGACATCCATGAACATCAGTGGCAAGAATTCACTGAGTCACTGCATGACTGTGTATATGAACATACTATACTAAGTATACTACTAGGTATTCATCCGCACTGCAGGGCTATATTTACTAGGTATTCATCCGTCTACAACTCCAAATCCGCCGAATTGTACAAGAAATACGCAATCACATTATAGTTCAAGAATCAAATGATTGGATGGACAATGGATTCTTCGTTTGATTTGTTCATAGATTTTAACAGGCTTTTAGGAACTCTCGAACATGACGGTTGACAACATCAGGTTTATCTTGTTGCACCCAATGAGTTGCTCCTTCAACAATCCTATGACACACGTTAGGTCACATCAATCATGCTAGTATGATGCGGAGTATGTTGTGTCCCCGTTTAGAGTCCTGCACAACCAGTATTGTAGTATATATATAGTCGAATAACGCGGCAAAACACTGAGTACAGGCAGCAGTTGAGGACCCACGGCAGTCTATGACTCTATGGTCCAGAAAACATACTTTCTAATTCGTTTGGTTTCAGTGCTTGAGTGATATACGATATATACTTTACTTACCTTACAGTCAGATTTTTGACGTAATGATCCAGATCATTTAACAAAGATATATCAAGAGCTTTATCCTTGTCTCCCTGCAGAAGATAATAGGAAGTAATAGTTCAACTCTACCTGAACAATTATTACAAGTTGTGAAGGATTTTAGTTGCCCAATATAAATGATTCTCGCATTTGTTCCTTCTCTAAGCCAGAAATTTTTTATTTAGACGTGCAAAATATTATTAATATAGCAGTGAATATACCCAAACAACCAGTGTTGGCATCGATATGGTTTTCTCTAACTTTCTTTTCCATGGTTGCGGTTCATCTCCATACAAGAGGGAACAACGATAGTAATTGACTCCAGCAGTCGAAGCGCCAGGTTTGGAAAAAGAATACTTAAAAGCATCTTTGATTTCATCTGTCCACTACATTTACAAAGAAAAGTTTAGAATCATATGCTTAGAATCAACTGTCGTTGACCTGAGTTGTTTATTAAGTCAACTGAACTAAGAATAGCTGGAAGATAAGCCCAGGCACTTTCACAGAAAAAAAGGATGGTTGTTTCAGCCGACGGTTCACTGTAGTGTATAGCCAAAACTTTCACTTCCATCACTTGACAGAAGAAGAACTTCTGGGCTGACACGCAGCTGTGCAACTATATTCCTTATTTTATAGTTCTATAATATCCTAACCTTACAAAGTGATTATGACTTACTGCTTCACCAACAAATATATCGTCCATAAAGACGCAGTCATTGTAGGAATATAAGACTTCAGGCAGGTACGGAAGTACATTAAGGAAAATGTACTGAAAGAAAAGAACACATTTGATTTAAGAGAAACAAATTTTCCTACGACTTTATAATGTATAGAAAATGTTCCAACAAACCCAGCTCCTGAAGAATTGGCTCCAATTTGATCGCAAATATTTTAAAAATATTCTGAAACAAAATGGCATTTCTAATTTAACTCTGTGCACATGCAAGCCACAATGTAGCCACCATCCGCATGCACAAACAGCATATATTCATAACTCACATTGGATGCGGTGAATTCATAATGACAAGTTTATCAACGATTTCAGAATATCTTTGTACGAAGTTCCTAGAAGAGACTTTGGTTACTATTATAATTCTGCATTGCATCCAGTTTGGCTAAGACTGAAGTGAACAATTATGATATACGATAAGTGCTACATACCAAGCAATAACTCCCCCCCAGTCATGACCAAGAAGAACGCAAGATGAATATCCAAGGGCCTCAATCTAGTACATAACGATACATGTTTCTAAAGCTCGACGATCTTTAAAAGTAACTGGGTACAGAAAACATATTTTAAACTTTTATGACGTACTCTTTCCCCTGCTATCCCGATAGAAGCCTACATGATTTTTTCATAGCGACACATACACGCCAAAATGGTCTAAATCCATTCATTTCCATGTTGTCTCAAAAATTTGTTTTTCTCCGGAGAACGAAGGCAGAAACACAATCAGATTAGAGACTAAACCGGTAACGTTCGGAAAAATGCAACTTCGGTCCGAAGTAATCGAACCTACACCTCTGCAATTCCGGTTTTAAGCTTTTACCGTGCGTGTATGTACGTGCAATTGCAAAAAACGTAACAGTGGAAAGCAGCCCTACGCCTCTAAAACGAACAGATAAAAAGTAGGAAGCGATTCTACTTTTTCGCGGCGCGTCGCGCGAATAAATTCGCCTAGTGGAAAACCGGCTTAACCTATGGAGAACGTCGCTTGTGGGAGGGAGGTGTCAAATGTCAATTACGTAATAAATTGGTAGATGCATTTCTTTCGTCTGCATCACATAAATTAAATGTTGACGATTTTTGCGTGCATATATGATGAAAATTATGGAAATGATATATAACAAAATTTTATATTTTTTACAATTTCTTTGGATAATTTTGTATGACTTTAATAAAACAACTTACAACTTCTTCAACATCCTGAACAAGCAGATGCTGAGCATAATTTGATATCCCTTTTGGTTGATAACTATCACCATAACCTCTGTAATTATAGGGGTTAAAATCTTGTACAATATCATAACCTCATGAAAACATGCAACACACAGACAATAAGATGACAGTGGAATGATCTTAATAAGTACACCTATGCAAGCCCCTGCTCTCTCAATTACCTCAGGTCAAGGGCCACAACCCTGTAATCATCACAAAACTCTTTCAGTTGAAATCTCCAACTGAACCAAAACTAGAAACAATAAAAAATTAAAATATTTTAAGATATAAAGAACCAATGCCACAAATCATCTAGCCAAAATGTTACCTATGCTGAGACAAATTCATAATATAATAAATAGTCATAACAGTTAATCACAATTTTATAAAAACGCATGTATAAGACGTTGTACTTCAGGAAATCCATGCAGACACAACATCAAAGGTTTTCCCGGGTTTCCTTTGGCAACATAATGAAATTTATGCCCTGATTTAGTTGTGATGTAATGATGATCCCCAAGAGAAGAATCTTGAAGACATGCTGGAACTATATAATATAGATCAGAACAGATAGTCTTATTAATATGTGCTGGTTGAATTACGCTCCTCATACCAGGACCTGCATCCTCAGTGTAACCATACATGAAATAATAGTAGGGTATGAATAAACACAAATAAAGCAAAACATTGTACACATTGCAGGCTATACCAATAACCAATTATAATACCTTGTGTTCCTTGTCTTTTCTTAAAAAATGACATTCGTAATTGACATAATTTTCCAAGCAAGAACAGTGATACAAAAAATCCATAAAATCCTGCTAAGGAATACAGCACAGCAAATTTTATGAATCTGAATACCAAGTTTGCCATGGTTCTGTGTTGCACTACAAAATTGAAAAAATATTGCATGGAACTTGGAAACACTGATTTCAACAGTTTTAAACTCAAACTTTCACTCAATGTTATAATACATTCTGTGCGCATGTTGGCAGATGTTCTATTTATTAATATAATATGGTTTTCCAGAGCACGGTTGTCAAAATAGCCAGTATTCCAGTAACAGCCTTTTTCTTGTGGCTGCACTGCTGTACTCTGCTGTGCATGATTATAGATGTACATTTCAAACAACCAAGTTTTTAAATTTTGATATTTTTAACAGGCAAATATCGATAGTCGAAATTATGTATTAAAGACTTCGCAATTTGCAAATTCTGAGAAATTTATATCATACTTCCGTAATCAAATCGATCTTAGTATTATTAAAACTAAAACTTTATATTTTTTTATATACCTTTTCTAGTTTTCTTGCAGCAAAAATCTTTATATTTCTTCAAATTTACAAATTACGATTTGCGAAAAGCATACATGTACGCGTTCCACTATAATCCAAGATGACACCGCTGGCTGACTGGCTTAAAAGTCCAAAGTCCAAAATTAAAGGGGAATGAAGGATATCCGACTCCGATGTCTTTAGCGACTGAATAACTTGGGAACAACTGTAATAAACAATATCGTTATGGCCTTACCATGGGTTAACTGTATGCAACGGTGCCGTCTGTCTGTGTGGTGCAATTAGGGGTGTTGACCATGCTAAAATATGAGGGACCCCTATTTAATTCCCCTATTATAGGCACAAATGTTCTTACCACTTTTCACATATATATTTGAATCACAAAATGAAATTACTTTATCAAACATGTTATCAAACATAAAATTCCAGTGATAATTATATATTTGTCCCTCCCACAGTCCCACCTCAAAAACTGGGACACCCCCCATCTTATCACTCAAGACCTGATGCCTATGGGTGCATTAATTGCTATTGCACTAGTATAGCTATGAGCTATATTTCTGTTTTTATTCACCATTGTTTTTATTCTACTTCAGAATTATATGTCAGGGTGATCTCTAAACATTATAAATCATGCACATAATAACTCATTATCCCTATGCATTGTCCATTCAATAGTCACATCATCTGATCTATCCTGAGAATTACAGACAATTTAGGGGCACATACACAGCAGTGATTTTATTTTTTGGTTCACCTAATGGTGGCATGTCTTCCCAAATTTGGTTTTCAAGATCCAAACATTCCACTGAATTAAGATATCCATTCTCGAAATTGAAACCGCCCATAACATAAATCTTATTCTCAAAGATAGCTGCTGCACATTCTGCCCTTCTGCTCTTCATGTTAGGCAGCCATTCACATGTGCATTTCTTGTAGTTGTACTTGAAAACTGAATTTAAAATTTCATTCCTTTGATTTCTACCTCCAATGATCACAATATCATCTCCATGTTTTACAGTTGCCATATCCATGATGGGAAAGGGTAAGGCTTGAACTCTTTGGATTTTGTTCTTTGTTGTGCTGTATAGAGAAACATCATCAACTGCATCATTATGATACCCAGATGTTGAACCACCAAGGATTACAATGTCAACATCAAAGACTTCTATCCCATGGTAAGCAAGTGGTTGCTGTAACTCGCACATAAGCTTCGAGGTGTATGGTCGAGTTAGCATCATCACATAAACTGTATTTGAACAAGGTTGCCGATCTAGCATTCCTCCTATAACCCACAGATGATCATTGAGAATGAACGATTTATGTCCATGGCATTTGACTGGAAGTTCATGTGGAAAAGGGAACCATTGGCCTTGGCTAAGATCCATGTACTCTAAGCTTCCCATAGCTGTTCCATCACAATGCCCACCTGTGACTAAAATTTTGCCTTTAAAAAAATGAGCAGTCGAAGAAACTCTGCATTTTATTGTTGGCTGAAGGTTCACCCAGGTTGCACAGCTATTAGAGTACATTTCAACAGAATTTAAAGACATCTTGTTATTCCCACCTAAAACCAAAATGCTATTGAAAATTTCCACACTGTTCAAAGGAATTGATTGTGTTTGTGAGGAAGATTTTCCTCCTTTATCTCCTTTGTGAGTTGCCATCATTAATTCATTTAACTTGCTGTTTAGTTTAGTAACCTCATCTTTCATTTCTGACAGCATTGCTTTCATTTCTTTTATTTCATTACTCAATATACATGTATGTTTTCCATGCTTCTTTGCAGACATTTCCTTATCACATTCCTCACAGTATACCAGTCTATATATGCAGCGTTCTTTCTTGTGTTGTTCTAGATCTTCCATGTTCACTGTCATCCCACACCTTCTATCAGGGCAAGTTGCTGGTCGAAAGTTGCAGACTAGGGTGTGATTGCTAAGATTTTCGAGTTCCATTACGTTCTGGCAGCCTCTCTCAGTATGATCACAATTGATTATCAAGCTATTTAAATAATCACTAACAATTCTCGGTGGTACAATAAGACTCTCCTCCGTCAGTTGCTCAACACATATAGGACAGGTCCTGGCATTCTTTAGATGTTGTCTAATGCAGGCCTTGCAGAAGTAGTGTTGGTTGTGACATTGTACTGGGTCTCTCAGAACATCTGTACAAATTGGACAGAAGAAATTCTTGTCTACTGGATCCCGAAAACGCTCCTGTGGATAACCACCAACGTAACATTCCATGTTATGCGCAAAATGTCACATGATTATAAACTCCGCACTGTAGATCATGTAGAATTTATATACAATCATAACGAGGCGCTATAAAGTATTAAGTATAAAACACAACCATGTAGTCAATCATCAATGGTCATATGATCATTTATATAACCGAGGGTACAGGGCGGAGAGCGGGGAGCAGGGGGGTGGCTGCCTCAGAAACATTTTGACCGGTACGCCTATCACTCGCCCTATATGTAAGACGATTAAAAATACATGGGAGTGTGAAAATTTTCAAAATTTACACACGTTTTGAAAATTTAAAAAAAAATTAAAAAACACTAGTGTACATGTAAAAAATTTTAGAAAGTTTTAAATATTTTGAAAATTTTAAAGGTTTTCAAAAAATAACATATCAACCCAGCCACCCTCTTTCTTGAATCGCACAACTTAAGTGGCACATTGCCAGTGGACAACACTAGTCAAAGAAAAGATTAAGGATTTTTACAGTTCCTACAGTTCGGACCACTGATGACTGATTTGATATACTGCAAAATACCACGAAATTCAGTCCTTGAGTGCAAGGTGATTTATTTAATAAACGAATTGATTGATTGTATATATAACTAATATAAGACGTTTTGAAATGCTTTTTTGTCTATAGACACTGGTACTGCACTACTGCTGGTGGTACCATAGGTGGTACCTGGTCTGTGACCTGGTAGAGCTCAACAATAGATATAACCTTGTAACCTAACTCAACCCACTGAGCTATATAGCTCAACGGCTCAACCCGAAACTTTGAACTTTGCTAGTGTGCTGTATGGCTGAAATGAAAATCTAAAGTATGTTTTTGAAAGCTGCTGGGGTTCGTCAAAGTCTGAGATTAGTTGCTGAAGGTAAGAAAACTTATTAATTTGTACACACGCGAGGCCGGCGAGGGTATGCGAGGTTTAAATTCTCTGTATACTCCCAGGGATCCTAATGGGGTAGGGGTGCAACCGCACCGGATAGTGACTTTTACTATTTAACCTATGATTTAACCGAACTTGTAAGATATCTAAAATATATTTGGTACTGGATGCTTGATATTTCATGACTCATTCAATTTGTTTCTATCATATGTTGGCCTCAGTGAAGTTATTTGCATTTGCTAATACCTTTTTCCACTATTACCGAGCTAGCTACTGTATTCAACGTACACCTTGTAAAATGTGGAGTATTTTACTTATATATTTATGTATTTTACCTATATCTTATCTCTCAGAGTTGTGCATGTATAGATAAATACAATTTTCACCTGCAAGAAAGTGACACTATATGTATTGTAATTGTTACTTGCTCTATACAGGTGCAAAAAAACTGAGAACTGTTGAGATATCAAGGATGTTCAGCACACAAGAGTATAAATTTGAAACCCTTGATGTAACAAAACCAAGAGACCATGTTTATCAAGTTAATATCAACAGGCCTGAGAAGAGAAATGCAATGAATCAAGCTTTTTGGAGGTGTATAATCAAACAAAAATGAATTTCTTTGGAATTGGGTGTAATAAGGCGAAATATTAAAAATATATTATTAAACTAGCATACAGTTATATACAGTTATATACCGCATACAGTCATATATGGGTGATATAGTCATTAATATCTATAAACAACCATGCATGTTTTACATTTATATGTTATAATATAACATCTCTCTTTATATGTAGTTCCTTTGTAAGTGGACAACGGCATAAAAAATATAAATATCTGAAATTACTTAATATATATAAATTCAGTTTCCAGATCACTTTACTTACATACAGCTCTCTATTTTCAGTGAGATGATCATATGTTTTAATAAGATTTCTAAGGATAATGAATGCAGAGCTGTTGTGTTATCTGGTGCTGGGAAAATTTTCACTGCAGGTACAAAAATGTCTGCATGTCTAAATTAATGACTACCAGTTACTCATGCACCTAGCTATCTTTTTTGTAAGTTACAAAATGTAATTTATATAATAATTGCTCTTTAAAAATGTGTCACTCCCCAATGTCTAACTCAACTTTTGATATGTACATTTTGGTGTTTATTGGTGGCCAGTGAAATGCAAGAAGTGAATAATGATAAAAGTTTGCACAGCATGCAGATCAAATGGATATATCACATCATGCATGCATGCATGGACATGCATTAATTTTTAAGTAATGTTGACTCACTTGACTGAGAGAACTGTTCTTTTAAACATTTATAAGCCATCATCACTATTATTTTATTGATTTTATTTTAAAAATATTGATTATAAATTGTTTTATATTACACATTTCAGGATTAGATTTAATGGATTTTGCCTCACTGTTTATGTCACAAGATGGTCAAGATGTTTCCCGAAAAGCTTACAACTTGAGAAATTCAATATTGAAATTTCAAGAATCATTTTCAGTGATAGAGAAATGTCCTCAGCCAGTAATTGCTGCTATTCACTCAGCATGTGTTGGAGGGGGCGTGGATATGGTCTGTGCATGTGATATACGCTGGTGTACATCTGATGCCTGGTTTCAAGTGAAGGTGAACAATCCTACTGTCAATTTAGTATGTGTTTCCTATGTTCGGAACTTTTTCTACCGCTCTACCTTTATTTAGGAAGTTGAGCTTGGACTAGCTGCTGATGTTGGCACACTACAGCGATTGCCCAAGATTGTTGGAAATGAAAGGTCTATACTGTTGCCTTATTTTTATAAAAAAATTATGGTATACATTTTCTGCTTCCATATTTTTAATGTACCTATATATGGGGTGTCTCTAATTTTCCTTGGCTATTAAGGTCCCACTTCAGGAATCACATCATAGTTAATATTAACTAAATTAAAAAATGTTAATATTTTCCCCCTACAAAGTCTGGTCAGAGAGTTGTGTTATACATGCCGGAAGTTTATGGCTGAAGAAGCAAAAAGCTTTGGTCTGGTGAGGTATGTGAAGAGGAATAATACAGAAGCTATAGGACTATCCACATTTGTGTCTGTTAATTGAAGATTGTACACAGTGTATTTGCCATATATGCTAGGTCATGCAAATACTTCGACTTCAGTTGTAATTTGCTATTTTTTTAGCCGTATATTTCAAGATAAGGAAAGTTTGATAGAAGGGGCCCTAGATTTAGCAAGTCATATTGCAAAAATGAGTCCAATTGCTGTGTCTGGAACTAAACACAATTTGAACTACTCAAGAGATCACCCTGTTGATGAAAGTTTGAAATATATAGTAAGTTTAATAAAATCACTGCAATTAGAATTTAGTTATAATGCCTCTCTTACAAATAAATCATCATTTGAATACCAAGGTTCTTCATTGACAATCAATCTTATCTGATCCGTTTAGGCAAGCTGGAACATGAGCATGTTACAGACAGAAGACATCATAAAAGCTGTTCAGGCAGGGATGAATAAGGAAGAGGCAACCTTTTCAAAACTCTGAATTTAAATTAAAACATTGTAATTTTTATACAATTGCAAAATTCTATATACATGTATGTATATGTCATTAATATAAATACTTGCATTATTTATAACAAAGTGTTTGATAATATTTTAGCCAAGATCAAATTTTTTTGTCATAATTATCTATATCCCATGATCATGTTCATGATATTTTACTACAGATGAAGATGGCAATAAATTGCTTGAATTTTGCTTCTAGTCATGGTTCATATATTATATTACTTTCTGACAAAGCATTTACAGTAATGACCACGTACCGGAAATGTTATATTTTATAACCAGGCTCTATAAAGGGTTAAAGACCATAGTACACAAAAAATTGTCATGAACGTGGCACTTGAATTTCATTATACTCCAGCATGTGTATCAATAACTTGAACATTCTTTAAGTAGCCAGTTAATTGCAGTGTGAATGCCTTCTAATGTTTCAACCACAACTTGGGTAACCTATAATATACATGGGTGTATTACCACTATGAACCGAAGTAGTTTTGCAAAATAAGTATTAGATTGATATGTAATAAAAATAAATAGCCTGGTTAATATTCATATCATAACCAAAAACAATATCTAAGGCTATTTACTACTGCATATGAAAAATATGTTCCTATCAATTAATTTCTAAATGTTTACCTGCCAATGTCTGTTCATCTTGCTAAGTTCAAGTCCTTCAACAACATCAACACAGGTTAACATTGATTTGTCCAGCACTGCATCTTTAGCACAGGATAATACTAATAATGGTGCTTTTTTACTTGTCCATCTTTCATCCATCATTGAAAGAAGTAAATCCTTACTTTTAGATACTACATAAAACAAAAATATATGACTATATATGAATACTAATAAATATATAAATAAATACTAATAACTATAGATTAACCAAATCACCTATACATAAACTATATATATACACATGACCTAGCAAATATTATAAGTTTAATAATATTATTAGATGTAAATGAAAATAATTAAATTATATACGAGTACAAGAAATAAAGCTGACATATTATATTATTGATTTAAAAAAACAAATTGTTACCTTTTTCTTTACTGGTTGAAGAATCAACAACAAAAATGAACGCATCAATTGTTTTGCATAACTGGCGAACAGAATGATTAACTTCGTGCACTAATAATTTATCGTCTTCATCCAGTAACATTTTATTTTTGACCGGGGAACCATCCTTGGCAGCTGCCTCTCTTTCTTTTCTAAGTAGATTTTTAAAATTCAAAGGAATAATTACAACCACATATTATGAATGTTTTTCCAGCAAATAGAGATCAATCATAAATTGCAGTGTTCAAGCAAAAAAAGTCATTTTTGATTTAATTAAAGACAAGTACTCTATATGATAGTAATGGGCTGATTTATATCAATTAATTAAGGTATGCATGTAATGTACTTCCAGCTAAAATGAGCAAATTAACTTACTTTGTGGAAGAATATGTGATTATTAAATTTACAATTTCAGATTCATTATACTTCAAGGACAATCCACTGCCAACTCCTAACAAATAGGAAAAAGAATAGAGATCCTAAAGTTATGTATTGAATAATGAATATATGGAATTAAAACTAATGGAAGTTAAACAGAGTTAGGTAGAATGCATTCTTTCATGAAAACAAAACATTTGAACACATAAAATCATACTTTTATGAATTTTAAAATTTCAGGCAAATCGGCAGATGTGGAGTTGGACCACGTCCTCCCCACACCTTTCCTCAGTTTTGGCACAGTTAGAAATTTGGGCTGACATTGTGGCCCCATCCTATACGGCTTATTCTGCTAGGTAATCCATAAAATAATAAATGCCAAACACATTAATCATCAAAAGTCATATTAATTGCCAACATACCATCCTCCAATCCAGAAAACATGTCCTGGACACAAAATGGAGAAATCTCATTCCATAATAACTTGTGCACTAATCCACTTGTACTTGCTTCTAAACCTGGCCCAAACATTTGCACTCTAGGAGGAGTCTTTTGATAAAATGGTGCAAATTTTAAAAGTTTTGTCAAGAATGATTCATCAGCAGGTTTGTAGTTTTTCGTTTTTTCATTGCCAGAGTAACATCTAGCATATCTAACAAAGAAAAATCCAAAATCATCAGCAAATAATATAGTTTACAGACTATTTCATTTTTGCCAGTAGATAATTATATAACCTATAAATTTCTATTGATATTTTTGTACGAAAATAATGCAACACTCTTATTTTCAAACTATATATATTATATATATAGTGGCATATACAAACTTTTATTCTATCACCTACATTTGTTTAGTTTCCAGATCTGCACCAGCATCAAGAAATATTTGAGGATATGACTGATAATTAAGTAGTGTCCATGTCCTTAAATCTCGTTTTAAAATCTTCTCCCATAATAAATGATCACTGGCCACATTATTTAGCAATTTACATGTTTGGGAAACTTGACATAAGCTGTGTACATCAAGATAGGATAACAGCAAAAGTTGCAACGATGACTATAAAATAACACATATGACAAATCAATATTAAATTGCAGCAAATTATTTTTCAACAATTCAGAATTATAAAACCATATTCTGCTATGCAAGAAGCTAACCAGGATTTAACCTGGCTCTATTATGCAAGTAAGGATAATTTTAAACCCAGGTGACTTTTCCGGATAAAAATAGGCTAGATCTGGATTAGTTTGCCAAACACATCATGGAAGCAGGACTTATAATTTATAAACTAACCTGGATCAATCATGATGGTTTGAGTTAGCTTTAAATAAATGTCAGGCAAAGCAGCGAAAGCGGTGTACACTGTACAGTGGTCATCAAAGAATCCAAATAACGCGAACTTTCGAAGGTAAATGACTGGTTAACATATTTATTATTAAATAATCTCTACTGTTGTGTCTCAATTACATAACTTACTGGTAATTCCAAAATATTTAACATCTCCTCTTCTTGCTCGCGTATCACAGTCGACGTTTTATAGTCTAGCCTTCCTTTCGATGCAGCAATCGTAAGTTGCCGTCGTTCTTGCAAAGAAATATTACTTCTGTAAAACTTTACAAAACTTTCCAAACTATTGGAAAACACACATTCTAGGTTGACTGACGTTGCCTTCCCATATTTATCAGAATTAGTTTGCCCCTTGTTCGCAATAACAGTCATCGTGGATCAAGATATCTTGAACCTGTAGCTTCATGATGAGCTACAATTATTTAGAAGTATTTATATGCGGTGTTTTGTTTACACCGGACGTGACAACACAGTTTCAGTTAAATTGTTGACCATGTTTTGTGTCAAGCGTCAAAAATGCCAACGTGGATTTTGCAAAATCAGCCAAAATCAATGACGTAAGATTTATCATAAACACTCTCGGCCCAGACCAGTGTGGCCCAGTCGCGACACGGCGTCAGCGCTAAAAACAACCAAAAACAATCAAAAGCCAATCAAAACCAATCGTCTAATCCTAAACTTTTCTCTTTTTCTACTTTCCGTTTTGTATCAAAGGTTTTGTATTTAACTTTCGTATTTTTAGTATACACTTCTCAATTCTTTTCATGTAAGTAATCGGACGTAACATGAGGTTTTCTTTCCGCACGCCAGAATTATCCCACAGTTCCCTCTTTTGCTTCACAAGATCAATAATACAAAACATAAAATACCAAAAAGAATACATCAAGAATATAACTTCCTGTACCATTAGCATTGGAAGAACAGTACCAATCAGATGCCTAAGCTATTTTGCAATGAGATCATTGAGATGCTCAATAGATCTAAACCTTGAGTTTAGATCTCGCTAATTACTGTGAGCTACAGTACACTTGAATTCTGCTATACCCAGCAGCTGCTGACTCGAACTACCATATATCGATAACCCCTTCATTTTAGCGGTGAATAACTGTCTTCGCCCAATTTATCCATCCACCAACGTTCATCTTGGTCTTCTTCAATAGGCACAGGTAACAAGAAAGCAACTGAGAGCATGATGGTAACATGCCAGATACAGTGAACATAGTAATAGTTTTCTGGTTCCGAAATTACCAAATTGATTATAGCTCCAGTCATAGCCAGTGAATAACCAGGAAGCAGGTTGAATATCCACCTAGATATAGATAGAATGTAAGAGAAAATTAAGAAACGATTTGTGACGGCTAATAATAGGTATGATACAATACTTTAAAGTTATTCTCAATCGCTGTTTACGTTAGAAATATTAACGCCATAAAGTATAGATATAATAGTGGTAATCAATTCAATACACTACATTGCCGAAATGAATTTTGGGTTATGAGAACTGCACCGAAAAAAGTAAAATGTCGAAAAAGTAAATTATATATGCATGTAATATGGTGACAATGAATGCCATTTTGTATACGTAATTTTCACGGTAACAAAATTTGGTTTTGGTATAGGCCAAATCTGGTATCCAAGCTAAATGAATCGGATTTTAAAATATTCTTTCATTTTTATGCATGGCTCATGCATTGACTTTTTCCGGGTTTCAATTCCTGACCATTTTTAAACAAATAAGTTAGCTTTGCTACCCCATACACCACCCTATTCGTCTTAAAATGGATACGATATAAACTTTGTTCTAATACTGTACCTTTTTGGACTAGGATAGATTCTTCCGTATTTCACTGTTCGGGAAATCTGTTAATCATGATATATATCAGAGCTAATAATAGTGCTTATGGCTTGAAATAAATGGAGGTATGAGTTGGGCCAGGTGCTCGCGTACTCAAATCGGCGTTCAAAGATATGTATATGATCGTCGGCAGACCTAATAAGGTAGCACGTATACGTTTAAAACCTTCCGTAAATTGTTATATAATTAATTGCGTTGCAGAAAAAACACCAAATCTTCAACATGCAGAATCCAACCCTATATGCGTCGATCCAACCCTCAATCGTAGATTTTATAAGTATCATTTAAGTGATTTTAAACTTTTACGTGCGTGTACGTACATGCAAAAAACGGAGCAGTGGGAAGCATCCCTCACGTGGCGATCCACTGTGGGCGTGAAAAACCCCGCATGGCACCGGGGAGGGGAGGGGGGAAATTTGCATTAACTACTGCATAAACTGTAGCTACTTACATATTGAAAACAAACATATAGCAAAGCTGGTCCTGACAAAATAAGATTTATGTAGAAGTGGTAGTTTGAGTTAAACGTTTCCGTGACGGCAAACTGTAGCAAGATTGCAATCGTCAGAAATACAAGATGAATCATCGGTGGCTTCATTCGTGTCATTGTCCAGATTGTTGCTATTATTGAGAAATCAGAGACATAATAGTCGCTGAAGTGAAGGCGTGAATATTGTTTAAAACAATGCAGCTCCGCTTCACACAAGTGATACATCTGTTTGAAGAGGTAAAAAAGTGTTAGTTCATAAGTCGTAAATTTAAACTATTTCTTTGTGAGGGAATTGCCCACAACGAAACGGTACTACGAGAATTACCGATACTTACCAATGATAATGCAGTGGTTAAAACGTAAATAATTGCTTGGGCATAAAAACGTCGTTTTAAAGCAAGGATAACGGCAGGCAGGAGAGCAAGATTTGTTATCACTCGAAACCACCTGAATACGAGAGGATCGTATGGACTAGACACTTCCACGGAAAGTGCTGTTGTGTTGAAGGTATTTGGCAGATAAATTGTCAGATACCAAGGTCCACAGTCGTTAGGCATACCGTAGATATTACCTTCGTTCATCTCTAGTGTTCTAGTATGATTGACCCATTCGCATTTCGTTTCTAAACTCGTGTCTGACAACTCTGCGACACATGTCATAAACGAGAGAGGTTTTGTAACACCTTTCAATCGTAGGAAAAACATTTCACAATTTCCAACATTCTTGCGAATTAAAACGATGTGTAAAGGTGAAGTGCCAGATATATTGAACACGGTGATTGTATGACCAGTCGGGTCCCAAACCAGGCGATTGTAATGAATATCTCCTTTGGCTAGGTTTTCAACGTCGGAATCTGTATCAAAAGGGAGATTTGCGCTGTTTGATTGGCATTCTAAAAATTGTTGAACAAGAGACAAAATAATTTACGATCCTGGTAGCATTGTTGGATATTATAGCGCTGACTGCGCTGTCGTGCAAGAAATTCAACTCACACAGATGAAAAAAATATATTTGGTCAGAGTAGTTTTTTCTTTTTTTCAGTTCTCTCGCGCAAGATTAATATATACATTCATTTTGAAGACAGGGGAGTGAGGGGACAGCACGGGAAATTAAGGAAGGCAGAGGAGAAGAAGATACCGATAAATATGACTGCAGACTGCAGTGAACAAGTCATTTTCACCGATGAGAAATTATGTATTCAAATCGTCATTGTTGACTGCACACAAATAGAAGTATTCCATCACATCAACCACCTTGACATGTTTACGACAAATACGATTAAATGGAAACCCATGGAAATAACCATGCAGGCTTTAGGGGTTAGGGTTGTTTTCTAAAGAAACGGTCTCTTTCAGTTTAACGTAATTTAGAGGGTTATTCTCTGGGGATTGTTTCTCGTCACAGGATTTCCGGCTGAGTTGAACAGTTGCTCAGGTAATTCAACCTGATGAAAATGTCTTTTGTTTAGTGGTTTTCATCTCGTCAGCTGTGAAATATATCCTACAAACTTCAAAGCACGCGCAGGGATGATAATACTAATATAATTTCCTGTGCATATTCTTACCAGCAAACACAGCATGTAAGGCCACGAAACACCATAAGTAAAACACCGACTTTGGACTTTTGATCAACATGTTGTCCCGCAGGATTTAGCCTGTACCTGTAACGGCATAATGAAGATTTGTTGCACCTCGTCTGTGATTTTGTTATTGAAGAGACTCGGTCACGGTGTATTGTTTAAAATTTCTAACATCTCATTATACGTTACAGCTCTTGATTTGTGCACGATAAAGCCTTCATTTCCAATTCCTAGCTCATTAATTTTGAAAGCCTTGGTATATGAAAACCTATGACAGTATATGCCTAATTCCAAAACCACATCCGCATAATCCGTATGCGAGAACGTCCTACAGTATTTATAATAATGACAACTTCAACGTATATAATAAAGCCAAGGATATAGGCCGAAGAGGGGAATATAAGGGCTTGTTTTCTTAAAGAATTCTCAGCTTTGTTACTCACTCTAACAGGAAAAATGGCGATTTGGAGGCTTCAATAATATTCTGTATCTATGACAAGGCGATATTGAAATAATAGCCAGATCTAGCGTAGGTTTAGTCGTAATCAAGATGTTGCTATAACTTGTACCGGTCTATGAGCATGCTTCATGATCAACTGACACAACTAAATTGCGAGTTGCCGTTAAGTCGAATTGTAGACTTCTGTAGACCATATTTGCACTATTACTACAGTTGACCATATACAATATAATTATATAATTGGAAAAATCTTTCATTTATGTAAAATATACCGTACCTGACTGACTGCGGTTGAAGTCTTGAAGACACACCTCAAATTGTTATACAAACCCAATATAATACGATTCGATGTTTCGTCTGCTAAACGTTTTATCTTTCGAGAATATATGTAGATGTTTATAGTGTGAGCACCTAAGCGAGACTGGAGTCACTGGCTCACTGGACAAATAACAAATTAACACCGACAATATGCATATCCATAAATTAGCTAATTAGCAATAAAAATTTGTGAATTATTCCAGTCCAGTTGCACGAAAGATCTTTGACTTTGCAAGTGTCTGGATTACTTATTGGGGATTATGAAAACAACCGTTGGCCGTCGTTTAAATTAACTTTTCATTTTCTATTCATATCTAAGAATATCACTAAATAATTAACGCGTCGGGAATTTGATGATCCAAAATACGGAAAGTAATACAAAAAAGAGGGTAACGAGGGTAATGAAAACTCTGAGCCTGAAGAAGAGGTTGATGAAAACTCTAGGCCTGACCACCCTTGCCCAAAAGCCACTTTATACAGACAAGTATTATAATTTTTTTCGTGACAAACTTTCTACGACGGCAACTTTTAAAACAAGCTCTCAGCTAGAACTAGCTCTTCCAGTCTCGACATATGCATTGCATTACATAAACCTGGTTTTTATTTAATCGTTAATTGTCGAGTCATTTTTACCGATGTCGATGAGGAATAGTCTGGTTGTAAATTTGTATTTTTTTTTATTCAAATCGGTCATTGTTAACTGCACATGCCACACAAAATCACAAATAGAAATATTTTACACGTCAGCCACCTTGACATGTTCACGAGTCAAGCATACGCATATAACAAACAACCCCAGACTGCACGAGATGCAGTCGTTTATTGCCGTTGTCTTACATGACCATTCCCGGTCTTTCCTGGGGCAGCACAGTATGAAAATATGGTCACAATCATTCCGCAAAGACAAACGTTTAGGCTCCAAAGCCTACGAATAGCTGCACTACGTGTTTGGTATAATGGTTACGACACTTACGAAGATGTAAACCAGACATTAGTTAATGAAAATTTGCTTACACTTTGGTCACAGGGAGAAACTCTGTTCGGGGATGGATTCTCCTTGGTTAGAATAATTTAATTTAAATTTACTACTTTAGATCAATTTTATATCGACAACGAAAATACCCTCTCCTGCATGTGTAAATGTATGAATTGTGTAACGATTTATGAAAAATTGCAACAGGTTACATTGTCTACCGTTTGCAAGGCGAAAGCGCGTTTCGCAAGTCCCTTGTTTACATTAACTATTATTTAACTATTATATGTAGAACATCAGGCATTTTAACTCCCAAAGGAAAAAAGCTTTATGTTTTATAGGTTCATAACCTATTCAACGTATTTACAATTAAGAAATTATTTAAGTCTGGTTTACAATCGGTGAATCGGCAGCAGAGTCAAAACTGCGATCCTTTGTCTGTGCCCAAGCTGGACCATTTAGGGATCTGATCCTTGTGAGGATCATGGTTTTAAAACCACCTTGTCTCACTGTTGGAGACAATACAGGCAGACTCTTTGTCTTTCAATGGGAGAGGCTGGTGTCCAGAAATTTCCTTAAAAAGTTCAATGTCTTGCCATTTAATAATGAACAAAGTATTGATTTTCAAAAGCAATAATAACCTACAGAAGCAGTTGTAAAAAATGAGTCTTAACTTTATAGGTAATTCAGTGTGAATTTTCTTGAATATGCTATCTATAACAAATTGAACACCTATACCTGTGATTTTATAAATTAATAAAAACATAAATCATAAAATGTTGGCTGGAAGAAAGTGGTATTACCTTTAGGCTAAATAACTTTGAGAAAAAATTGGTTTGATTAAAATGTGGAAATTATTAAAATTAATCACCTTTTACTTTTTCTCCTTATCCATCAATGGTGTGCATATTTTCTTTTTTGGTATCTGGTCAGATGCTGAGGCTGAGGACTTTCGTTTGCTTGTGTATCCCCGTGGTTGCCATGGTATTCCTGATGTTTGAGGATCAAGCTCAAATATTTTTTGCACAAACCTGTATTGAGAAAAAAGAATTGGAAGTTGGATGTTTGTAATGACATTTAATCTTGTTGAAGTACATCTAAAAAATTTCCACACAAACCTCTTGTAATCTTTCTCAAGAATTTTAACTTTTTCTTCAAATTCTTTAACTTTCCTTTCAGGGTACTGGTGTTGCCGAGCACCAGATAATTGCTACTGACAATTAAACAAATAAATTACCACAAGCTTGGCAACCAAATAGGAAAGTAGAAAAGTAGAAGAGTAGGAAAGAACAATGATAGGAAACCTTTTTCCATTGGAAAGAATGTGTATTAAGGAGATAGTTCCATGCATAGTTTTTAGTTCAAAATACACTTACTTCAAGACAATAATCTAATTCCCTTTTAATTCCTGGAATCCAATTCTTGATCTCTTGCACAGAATGTAAGGAACACTAAAAAACCAAGATTTTGTAGTACTTCACATCTTAATAGCTTATGGTATTTTCTTACTACTTTTTTACTCTATTAGCAGTAAACATGGACCATTTATTTAAACATTATTTTATTAAAATTATAAAACTCACAAGTGGAGGTCGAGAAGGATTTTTTATTTTTTCGTCTACAACAATATTTAGAAGAAAATTAATGAGAAGAAAATGGAAATGAATAGCATGATACCAATAAATGTATTAGAGAGCATTTCAAACAAAATTATTTTAAACCTTCTTGTTGCTTTTTGATGTACATTCGATTCAAACCGATCAACTTCTTTTCACAATTACGCGCCATCTTGGATTTTGTGGTAACACTGCTGACCATGATATCCCAGATTCAGTTTGTTTTCGTTCTTTTTGTGAGGCTTTTGCGATCATGGTGAGTTTTCTCTCGAAAACCATAACAATCTTATCAATTTTTCGCTGATCCTTTGCTAAAACAAAACTGTTTGAAAGCGAATGATATTTTTAAAGCCTTTTTCATCCAGTAAGGACTTTATTTCACGTTGGAATTTCGTTTTATTGGACTAATTTTGAAGGAATATTAACACGACTATTTTCAATTGAATACTTTAAAAATGATGAAATGTTGCATAGGCTCTGCCATAAAGTTCAGTCATTTCCAATCCTTTTCAGTTGAAGTACTATCAGCTACGTAACTAATCTAGTACGCCCCGTTTTTACCACCAAGGTGCACTACACCCCGTACATTAAATCATCCATCTGAGCTAGGGTATTTTGCCCTGCTCTATATATTGCTAATTTGCCCTTCTCTATATTGCTAAATTTCGGTCTGACGATAAAATTTTGTTCACCCTAGCCGAGATACAGAATTTAACTAAAACCAATCATACCATTATGAGCTATTACTTTGTATTGTTGGTCAATAGGGTGCATGCAAGCAGTTGTGTAAATTATCTGCTATTGGAACCTGGTTGTGTAAGGGGTGTTTACTACAGCATATATTGTTTAGTACTGACTATTTACAAACTTATTTCACAACTTGTAATATTCACTAGTAATTTAATTATTTGAACATAAAATGTGTTTTAGACAAAAGGTACCTCAAGTTTTGGTAAACGTCACAACAAAAGTCACACACTATGTGTGCGATGTGGAAGGTCATCTTTCCACATTCAAAAGAAGAGGTGTTCACAGTGTGCTTATCCAAAACAAAGGATGAGAAAATGTAAGAAATATATTTCTTATTACTCCATTATAGCTTATTTTTAAATCCTTACAACTTGGGGATCTATACTTAGTAAGCAACCATCTCATCTAGATAACTGGAGTGTGAAAGCCCAGCGTCGCCGAACAACTGGCACAGGCAGAATGAAACATCTGAAAATTGTGCAACGAAGATTTAAGAATGGTTTTAGAGAAGGTGTTCAAGCCAAGTCGAAGAAAAGTCGTATTGCTGCACCAGCACCTGCTTCCAGTTAAATATGAAACTGTTTTGTGAAGACATTAAAATTTACAAACTGTATTGTTGTTTGAGTTTAATTATCTTGCATTAACTACCAATAACCAGCTCCATATTGCCATCTTATAGATTGCCTCTCATGGTGAGAAAGCAAAGTGAGAAAACAATTTAAACCATAGGCAGCCCAGTCAATGAGGTTACATCATACTATCTTTTGTATATAAGTACCTAGGATAGTGTGATGTAACCGCATTCACCGGGCTGCCTATATTTAAACTGATGGTAACATGTCTTCATTACATATTGCATTGACAATAAGTTGACACGGGGTAAAAAGCCAGTATATGTAGGGGTGACAACAGTTTCACAGGATTAATCTTGTTTGAGCTAAATTTCATTCATCAAACCATGGGTATAAGGGAAAACAAATGACTACATATTCTACTTCTTATCTCACTTTTCCATTGCTTTATAACTCCTTACTTTTAAGAAATTATTAATATCAATCATTATTTACAATTGTACACTTGAAGTATACATAAAAACAACATAATATGAACTCTTAATTATTACATATTATAAACTTTAAATACTTCAGATACTATACTATCATAGGTAAAAAGTTTCTTCCAAAGACAAAATAAATAAAGGTCATAAACTCTCTTTGAGAGGTATTATAGCACAACCATATTGTAACGAAATCAAAAATTGTTCATCTTCGGCTAGACTATTAAAGTGGTTGAAACAAATGAACAAATGGATAAGATTAATTCGCTTTATTATCCATGGCTAGCCAAAACCCAATATGCGCATTTTTCAATACCAGGAAAGCCTGGATTGCGGGATGTTGAAATACAGCGTATGAATCAGGCCTTGTTTGAGAAAGATTTAAACAGTTAAGGTGAAAGATTGCGTGTTAAGTATCAAGAAAATGATTTTGCGTTTTTGAATGAGTTAATGAAAGAATGAAGGTTGTACCGTAGATCGATTTAAAAATGTCTATAATGTTTCGTTTTTAACCAGGGACGCGGGTAACAAACGCAAAACTACGGGGGTAGCAAAGGCAGCTGCTTCTTTTTGTCTTCACAAAAGCAAAGGCGAGTGGCCCTCTCCGAAGTTTTTTAAATACTTTCTAGTGTCCGTCACTATAGAATTTCCCTTTCACGAAAACCGCCTTGCCTCCCCATCGAACGAACGTTTTCCTTCTTTTTAAATTACCAAAGTCCAAGAAAAGTGCCTATGATTCAAAAGTCACAAAGTTCAGGTTTACCTTCAACAGTTTGACACAGTCAGTGAACTGGTTGACATGACCTTCTAGGCCGTGATGCTATAAGATATTATGCATTATTTCATCTGCAGACTCTCGTGAAGACAGGATGCTTCAAAAGTTCAACAGCTGCAGAGCGCTCTTGAGGATTTGTATCTAAACATCTTAATATCAGGTCTCGGAAACCTGGATTAACTCCATCAGGAATGTCTGGTGGTCCTCTTGAGCAAGCAATCTGAAAATTAGAAGCCCTATACATTAGTGTGCGGAACTCATGCAGTGACATGAATGACCGAGTAAGAGTATCTACGCTTAACAAGTGTATAAACAATGTGCATGTTTACCTTGAAAATCAAGGCGAGATGGTTGGAATGTTGGTTAGCATTCCACGGTGGTTTACCAGTCATCATTTCAATCACAACACAACCAATACTCCATACGTCACATTTACGACCGTAACTTTCACCTCGTAACACCTTACAATGTACGTAATACCTTACAGTAAATACACTGGTAAAAAAGTAACGACTGTTTTAAGTTAAACGTAAAACTAACATTAAAAAGCATACATCGATACAGTACTTACTTCTGGGGCCATAAATGCAATCGTTCCTAGCAACTGGCCTTGGAATTCTCCAGAAAATGTCTTCTCAGTTTTCAGCCGAGCGACAGCTCCAAAATCTGCCACTTTAACCACATGACCAGTAGAATCAAGTAAAATGTTGGCCCCTAACGTGAGAAATTGATTTTATATTACAATACCTTTCCATACTCTTCCAATGCTTTAAGAGTGGAGCATGACAGAATATATCACTTTTGCTGAGGGAAAAATTAAGAAGGTAACTACCCTCACCTTTTATATCCCGATGTATAACATGATGTTCATGAAGGTAAGCCACTCCTCGGGTTATTTGCTGAGTATAGCTTACGGCAACCTTTTCTTCTAAAGGCCCATGAGTTGATAGCAGTTTGGCTAGGGATCCACCTAAAGAAAAATCAACCTTCCTATTTAGACCCATCGGACAAAATTTCATGCCCTCCTCCGGGGGCGCAACTTTTGTATGTTGCATTGCTATGAAAATTGTGTTCAACCAACCTGCCATCCATTCTAAGAAAATATTGAAGTGCCCAGCATGGCGAGTAACACCAAGACATGTTGTCAGGTTTGGATGCTGGACTTTTGACATGATCGATATCTCCTCCATTATTGTATCTGTAACTTTCTGTTGTTCGTCTGAGGAATTTCGACAGAATGAAACCTTTAAAATAACGAAACATTACAGACAATTATATAGATATTGGTAATTCAGTAAACATTTAAAGATTTTATACATCATTTCATTGTTCTCAAAATGGGACAGAAAAAAATTCTTTTTAACGTATTGGTGTAATTTAAATGTACAGACACAACGCCTCAGTTAATGATACAAAGATTACAGTTGATAAACTAAATCAGGGCAAGCTACATATTTTCACTATTTTCGTTACTATTCCATCCTTGTGCTGTTTTCATTACAGCCTATGCTAAATAACCGAATACTAGCTGCTGTATTACCTGTTTAACTGCCATTAGAGTTCCACGGCTTTTATCACGGGCGGCATAACAAGATGAAAACGCGCCAGTTCCCAATAATTCCGTCTTTGTCCAATGAACACCCTCTAAGTACACATGTTTATCATTACTGTCTTTTCCATCCGCTTCATCACCCTTCTGAAGAAAAAAGCATAATTAAGGACATAATGATAGTAAACCAGCCAAGCAAATTACATTCATACAAGACATGAACCTTTCGACAATAACATATACTGGGACTCAGGCGGGCAGCCTCGTTCTTAGAGTCTATTGACTCGGGAACGAAGTTAGACTCCGGAGTCCGGATCTATTACACCTTGATCAGGGTTTACTTTGTTATATGACAATACAGTTATGTCGTTAGTCACTGGAAATTTCCTATCAATTCGCTATTTTGCATGACAATCCTTCAAATTGAAATTACTTTTCATAAAACACTACATTACCTCAGGCTGTACTCGAACAACAATCTCCTCGCTATCGTCAGCAACAAGTTTCTCGATTGGAGGCGGAACCAACGGTTGCAGAGTTGATGCCTCAATTGCGATCGCTAAAGCTTCCGCCTCCTCTTCTTCGATCTTCTTTTGACATTTCGTCGTGGTAAGTGGCACGTCTATAGGAGGTAGACTCGGTGATAATGCATTCTGTCTTTTATCTTCGTCTTGACCTGGTGACCCTGGAGGCGTCAATGGAAATGAACGATCGCTACTATCATCCAATTCAACAAGTGAACGAAAGTTTTCCAACTCTGACATTTGAATATCAACGTCATCATTGCTTAAGTCTGGAATACCATCAAGGGAATTACCATCACCATCTGACAGACTGACGGTGTGAGCTGACGTCTCTGGTAGATTTTGAGTGTTCTCAGCACTGCCACTGCAGTAAGCTGAATCTACAGACACACCTCTCTGTGGTGCCTGTCTGTGCTTAAGCTGTCTTTGCAAAGCATTTCTATCACTTTTTTTCAACTCACTCAAACAGGTCTTCACTTCTATAAAAGCACTATGAACTTTTGAAGCCAACTTGAGACATCTTGTCAAAATTCTCAAAGCTATTTTGTTTCCTTTACTATGCGGACAGCTTGTGGCTTTAATGGCAAAATGAACTATGAACATAAGACGGGAGAAGTTATTCTCCCACTGGTTGGTGTTCTCTGGTAATCTATTAGGCGATGAAGGAAGTCTTATACTCATAGAAACCTTCTTGTAATCTACAGTTTCGGTTTCAATTCGAAAATAATCCGGAGATTCTTCTAAAAGTTTAACTAAAAGATACAGACGACCAAGCCACCAAGGCCACGTAACATTCTCGGGTGAGCGAACAACTGTTCTTGATAAAACATAGTTTATTCCACCAAGACTTTGATTGCCCTCTGCAGAAGACGATAAAGCTGCACCCAATGCCATGTCCCCGCTCTCGTCTTTACACAACTCAACGAGAGTCTTTGTTGACAATGAACTAACCCTCCTGGAAATGAAGATACTAAGTATGTTTTCACTGAGTAAAAACAAAATATAATGGACATGTTCCTCTGATTACACAGCCGGGAATAACCTTTGGATAATTTCCACAAGTAGTACATAAGAATACATACCGATTCGAATCAGCGCACTTCATGATAATCGCTTCCAATACAGGTGAAAGTTCCCTTTGCAACACCCCCTTCTCTGCAGTTGACCGGCACGACATGTACGCTAATAGAACCCGTAGTGCTCGCTAAGGTAAGAAAGAATTATCAACGAAGTTAAATTTGAACTAACAAGAATGTAACACAAACCTAAGAATTATTTCATTGAAGATGAAAACGTAGTACTCACCACAGCATGAACATAAACAGGATACACTGGATCTGCACACATCATTGCAATGATCTTACAACAACTTGATAAAAGTCTTTCTGTAAATAAACTTGAGTTCTCATTTGTTAAAATACTTTTCATTTCTTTGCAAAGATGTTGTAATCCTTTTTCCCGATAGTTCCATTCTTTGGAGTACAAACAGCAAACTAAGTCTTCACCAAACATCTAAAAAGAAATTTTTGAAAAGGCTTAAAGTAACAGGCAGCAATCTATGTAGAATTTATTTCTTATGTTTTTACATCAGGCAACTTCACTTGTAGCAACCAAAAAATCAAATTAGTAGAAATGCCTATTGATTGAGTGGGGAGACATGCTTACATGAGGTAAACTTTGTAGCATACCTTTTTGAAATGCAATGATGTAAAAACTGCTTGGGTACAATCCAAATATAAACAAAATCAACAAAATTTTTGCAGTGAAACATACCTCAACCCATGGTTTGGAATGTTCAATGTGTTCAGATGGTATTGGATCACAATGTGGTAATATTGATTCATTGTCAAGAGGGATGGCATCAACTTGACTTGTTGTAGATGGTAAATCAGGTTCCACTACACTTGGTCTATTGCAAACAAGAAATGATAATGAGTTAGTGTGACCCTTCTTAATATCATGCTTCACCTAGCTCTTTAAATGTTGAATATCTATTACAAAATCATTATAAAATATACCTGGTTTCTTCATTTTTTCCCACATTCTTTGTTTTATTAGCCCAAATTTTGCGACATAAAGGACAAACCAGAGCCTCTTTCTGCCTCTTACATTCAGCAGCCCCTATAAACAAAGTGTAGTTTGCATTAAATATTTAACAATGAATTATTCACTAGTTATATGAAATTGAAGGATTAAACCACTTAATTATAAACTCATTAACTAACAGTACATTACTGTAATCGCCACTGATGAGTTAACTATCTAAAGTTAATCCGATTATCAGAACAAGGGAAACAGTAAAATAGAAAATCTGGGTGTACAAAGGTGTATGTACCATACAAACTAACATTGATATAAAATAAATATAAATAAACCATACAATAATTGATTTCAGCTTGCAAGCACTTACAAATTGCCATACAGTGTTGATGAAGGGTATTGCTACAACCATCACAGATAGTCAGACTTTCTCCATCTACCATTTCCAACAAACATATTGGACACTGAACTTCAAATTCATCACTTCTTGGAGATGACCCTGCCAATCCACTTCCCGCTGACCCATGTTGAACATGTGAATCTGTCACACCACGACGAGGAGTCTGTTTACTTTTAGTAACTGATTTCGTTTTACTTCCTATTCTTGAGCTGACTGAGGCATGAAACTTATGGAACAGCATTTCAACCTATAAATTGCAAAGGCATTTTCAGCTTAGAGACTCACACTACTTGATATGCTAGTTGAAGCAATTAACCTTTGCCCAATTTTTGGAACAATAATTGCAAATATATACCACCCTCAAACTGTAAATATATATGTGAAAAATATACCTCATAATTTTTAAGCTGTTTCTCCCATAGAAGTGGATCATTATCCTTCAATTTGAATACTCGTAACATAACAAACAGCAAATGAACACAGAATGGACCTTTGCTACAACTGCATGTCTAAAGAAAATACAAAACCATTATACACAAACATGCAAATGGCATATAAGCAGTCTTGTCCCAACATACCTCACACTTATCCCAATGGCAAGTCAAAAAAATCTATATGAGCAATACCTGAGGACCAATCATAACACGAAACTTATGACTTGGCGAGTCTCCCCCAATAAGAAATGAGTTTGGTCCAGTTTGCTGTAACAGATATAGTCTAACTTTCATTGCTTTTTCAACTCTATGCTGGTTTTCAGTTGCCATTTGTTGTACATCAAATAAAAGTGTTGGGGAAGCACTTCTTGGTGTGCTTGGTCCAGGTGATCCAGATGGAGAACTTGATGGAGTCTTTCTGCGATGGGGTGGTGATGATGGACGTAGGTTCTGCAAAAAATAACAATTAATGCAGTTGTGACAAATCACAGAATAGTAAAGATAATTACTTTACAAGCACCTATAATAAAAACATAATATACCAATAATATGTCATACTGATTCACATTAACTATATACCAAAATTTTTTAGAGGATATTAGCTAAATGATTTCTTATGCTGAAGAATATTTTTTAGTTTCACGAGGAGGTAGAAAATCAAAAGTTTTAAAAGCTGTACAATGAGCAGTACTAACCTGGGACGAAGCTACAGTGTAGTTGACTTGCTTTGCACCAACACTTGATGCTGATGTACTAAAGTTGGGTGATGGTGGCCTCACAACCTGCAAGAATATATGTTATAGATGCTGTTTAATTTGGTAATTTAGTAATGACCTTCCACTAACAATGGTTATGAACTATGAAAATATTACATACTCACAACAAATAAATAAGAGGCAATTAATAGATACATAGCACTAGTGTATATAAATGTGGTACAAAACATAATAATAGTAAAGGTAGATTACTTTATGACTTCATATTCCTCTAGTTTTACAGTAAAGCACATAGTGAGAAGAGTTACAATTCAACTATGAGGTTGAACACACACATCCCACATTTTTGAATAAATATATCTAATAAAAAATATGGTCATATCCTATTACTTTGGAACAAGGCTTTCGACTAGTTTTCTGCTTTGCATCTCTGTGTTCCCAATATTGAACCATAAAAAAAATGTTACCATGTTGATCCTTCCTGCACGGACATTTGCCAATCTATATTTTATCCAATGTTACAAACATCTTAATTATATACTGTTCAAAATGAACTGAGTAAATCAAGTAAAATTATAAATTGAAAATAAATTACTCCATGCTTTAGTTTCTTTAGTTTTGCTTCCCATAGTTCAACCAGAAAAAGTGTTGATACATTTGAAAAATCCATCAAGATTGTAGCTTAACCCAACAAGACTTTATACATTGCAACCGTTGAATACGACTGATAGGTACATTGCAAGCTCTTTGTTGCAAGAAGCTGAAATGATGTAAATGCCTTCTCAATGTTTACTATGCATACTTCCATAATAACCTTATATGGAGTGAAAATACAACCATGTAACGTCAGGGGAAAGTCATTATTATTAAAATTAGCATACGCCTATTAACATTTGCATTGCAGCTGCACTGTCGATGATACTGATAACAACATACTGTAATGATGGCTCACAAAAAAATATTATATTTTCTTCTTTAATTTTCATTGATGCCCATTAGCAGAATCTGCCAGAATGTATTTATAATTTCTACTTCTTTTATTCCAGTCAAGTACGTCTACCGATTCAATTTGTATCTGCCTTTTTATTACAGACGATCCAAGATCACCCGAGCACAACAGAACATAGCATCATCAGCACTGACTGACAGTATGTACAAAACTGATTATTGTAGAATTCTAACCACAACACACCTTTTTAATATTTCAAATGATCATGTTTACAAATTATTATTTTAATGCTTACCACAATACGAGTGATTGAAGTTCTAATTTCCTAGCTGGAACATACCCGGCAAATTTGGATAATACTTATCACACTCGTGGTTTTTAATATAAGTTATGATGTATTTTGAAGCGACAATATACTCAGACTTCAAGGTAGAAAACATTAATACGAAATTAAATATTAAATCACTGTGTGTTCCTCTCGGCAAAGGCTGTCATTTTTTACCGGTAGGGGGTTTCAGTGTTTGGCCTCAAACACGCGTGCGACAAAGTACTTCCCTGGGCCACGCGAACGCGGTGCACTTGCAAAGGTTGTCGACCACAACTAAATTTGCCTCCCTCTTGCAAGTGAATATATTGGAAAAAGTACATTTACTGTAATATTATTAATTAGTTATTGAGTTAAGGCGCTTGCGAAGTAGTTAAATAATATATAGTTGAATAGTATATATAAAATGCATACGTGCTATTTATAAGCTAGTATTCATACATAGAATATGCAGCTCACTTACTACAGGCTGGAGTTTTTTCTTTGGTATTGAGTCTTTTTTCCATGCTGGGGTTGATTTCAATTTTTCCCTAAGGAGTGCTTGTTCCTCTAGTATCGGCCTACAAATAACAGAAATGTCAACGTACAGTGCAGTGTCGTATAATAAACATTTCCATATCAACACCTCTCTATAGTTCTTTACAACACAGGCTGACACGAGTATGTGTATAAACTAACATTGTAAATGAAGGAATACCTTGCCGAATCAGAGATTTTGGTCGGTTTAGCTTTTCTTTCTTCGTCTTCAGGTCTCTGTTCTTTCATTTTTCCGTTTGATTTCCTTGTTATATTGTCAAAATTTCCCTGCGAGGCCATTTCTTAGGAAAATGTGGCCGGCATAAACATTTTGCACAGAAATATTATCAACAATCGTACATATTTCTTTGTCCGACAACTTCCGACCTTGTTTCCGATCTTGTAACGAAGCCTAAAATTATCCAATAGTATGAAATCGTTTGCAATCGTAGGTTGTCGGATTACTGACATCCTATTTTTAACTATGTGGTCACAACAAGGAGACTAATTTGCAATTCTGGCGGGAAAAAAATGCAAGTCATGCAAATGATTTACTAATGTCGCAAAATAAATGAAAATTTTTTTTGTTAATTAATTAATGCATATTAAGCTTTACTAATCCTATTCTTATAATGCATTCAAAAATACATCATTTCGAAACGTTTTGGCAGCTTGTAAGTTCATTTTATCGCTGAATCGCCTGAATTATCAACTTATGCTAGCTCTGCTTTTTGAATATCGGATACCTGAAACACGTACCAAAAACTCGTACAATAATCGGAGAACTGGACATTTCAATTCCTTCGTGATAGTATTTAGTGTTGGGTTCGTTTGACTGCAGTTTTTACAAACCAGGTATTACAAGTCGATATTGTTATTATATTAAAACTTCTAAGCACAGAGTTGGTTCAGCAGTATGGATCATATAATGGATCTAAAGAAAATTTTGAAACATCTACGGGGAAGAAAAGAGTCGATTAGCTTAAGTAAAGCGTTTTGCTCCCGCGGTTGTCTAGGTAACCTATATCAGTACTTGCGTAGGACAATATGCGGAAATGTGACTGATCCTCCGATCAAATCATATCTTGCCCCAGCAAAACCGATGCTTGATAACCTGTCTACGTAGGATTACATGGGGCCGGGGCGTAGGCCAACGCTGGGTAATAAAAACGAGCTTATACCTGTACCGTACTTGATGCTGTTTTAAGTTGGATATAGATTAATGAAATATGATTAATTACCATTACAATGCCAACAGCTTTGGATTGTTTAGGACCTTGGCTTATATTGAAATCAGACCTCAGTAGCGTTATTTGATTCACACACTCAGAGTGTAGAATTTGATCTTGCGAATATTAGGAGGAATGAAAAGGAAATGAATCATGCCAATCTCGGTAAAATATAGATTCTAATGGTGGTTTTCTAAAGGTGGTTACCCGGTCTTCTTATAAAATCTCGGTGAATAGAATATAACATTTGCATGCTACTAATTCGGCCGGGTAGAAAATTTCGCCTTCTCATGATGAATCTCATGTAACCCAGCGGCTTTTCAACTTTAGACAAACGTTGCGAATTGGGAACAGTGTCAGAAGTACGACTCTCGTTGTTAATTTCAGTACTGGTGAAGCTCGAACCTGGAACACCATATGAAATTGAAGAAAATTAGCTGAAGAAGATTGAGAATTTAATGCTCATCCAAAGCAATTGCAAAATCTCTGCACAAAAAAGGGCACAGCAACGCGATAAATATTCTAGAGGGCAATGCATTGCATGTATTTTACTGACGCGATACCAATAGAACCGCTGTGTTGGGAAGAACAGTTGAATTCCAGACAGGTTAGTATATGCTATCAGTCACTGACAACTCGTATTACTTGTTTTCAACCGTCCACTGGACAAATATGCAACTGATATTAACTTTTTCGGTATGAAATAAACTTTTTAGTAATACTAAAGAAACGTAATTATCGTGGTTTAAAGACAACCATGTCCATGATATTATAATGATACGTTATCCTGATACGATTTGTCAGACTGAATTTAGCTTTTGCTAGACATAGCACATCGCAGTATAAAGGCTAATTTCCACTCCGGAAAACGAGCAGCGGATCGGATTTTTTTCCGAGCTGGTCCAATCCATGAAGTGATTTCGGATCGGATAAAAAAAAATTTAAAACTATTTGAACTTTTTTTATTTCGTCTCGGACGCTTTCGGATCAATATAAGCCAAAAATTTCAACAGACGGCGCACGCGCGGATTATCTTTCGTTCCGATCCGCTGCTCGTTTTCCGGAGTGGAAATTAGCCTTAATACACATACACCACGAGCGAGTTGAAAAAAATAGAAAATAATCAAACTTTTTTCAACAATATATTCTCCCCACGTCAAAGCATAAGGGTAAAACCGCATACTTTAAGCACTATTATTCTAACTTATGCAGGTAAAGTTGCTAAAGCAGAGCAAACATACAATGCCTACAAAAGTACCAACGCAGTCTGGTGAGGTATGTCCCGGTTCGATGAAAGAAAACCAACATCGTCATCATTAAGATCTTCCATCAGCTGATAGATAAAATGATATCCTTTTTATATATGTAGATTCACCCTGTTGTATTTCACGAGAAAAAATCAGTTGAAGAAATGCTTAAGAAACAAAAAGTGGGTTTCCATTTATCTTCCTGTCACCTTCCTGATTTAAAGACTAAAAAAGGTCCGGAAAAGTATCTATCGGGTGGTAAAGGTAGAAAGAAGATGATGGCACACAAAAAATCGCCGTTGAACAACCAGCTAGAGTTAAAAGGCAGCGGACTCAAAAATTTTAATTATACAAACACGTTCGTAAACGGTAACTGGAAATTTCCAGAACAACTTGATGTTGGTGCAAAATTTCATTCGGAGAGGTATAAAGGTAAAGATTTTTGCAATCAAGCTAAGGATTCAAGTCTTCATTCACATTGTTCATCAATAGACATATCTCGTGTTGACGATACTCAAATGGAAAGGAAGACTTTGTGCGGTACAAATCAATATGTTGAAATACCTGTCTCCTTACCAAATCCCGCTCTTACCGATGAATCCTGTTCAATAATCAGTGATGGACGAGATTTGAACAGCGAGATAATGTCTTTTGATAAAAAATCTGATACTGAATTCAATAAAACCTCAAGTGGAACAAAATCTGCTGAGAATGACGTACAAGATAAATCCTCGGAAAATACAGACGAACAAAGGGTGAGAAAATCCGTTAATCAAGTCACAGTGCCTGTAGGAATCGCAGATGATGATTTTGAATTGACAAAAAAGGAGTGTTTCACAGGTGCGGGTTACAGCACATCAAGAGAAAGCCGTATGAGTCGACAGTCATCTCGTCTCACTTATACACCATCAACCCCACCAGTGTTTTTAAGTAATGATATTCCTGAGTTTCCTAAGGGTGTTTCGCCGTCCAAGGCATTGTTGGAACTACGCCAAACATTTTGTGAAAATATAAGAAAAGAAACAGAACAGTTGGAGTTTGATTTACAAGAACTTTGCTTAAAAAAACAACTTCATGATAGAAATAGCACGAAGTAATGCAACAATATCAATAAAAATGAATTTACTACAAAGAAACTCTAATTCTGTTTTCAACTGTGTTCACGTGACGCCTATGTACGCCTATGCACACCTTCATTAGACAAAAACTGCAAAACGTTGGTTACGATATATGGCAATGGCTTCAAAATCAAGTCATCTATCATTCAGTGACTAATACTAAATTACTAATGTTAATTAGTTAATGATTCATTTACATTATTTGATTCGGCACATGAAAAGTTCGACGTCTGATTGGGTGCAGGGTTCGTTTTCAGATAATGCCATATCTATGGATGATGTGTTGCACTTGAAGTTCGCTGTACTTCCCTCCGCAAAAGATCGGAGCAACTCTTTGGCTAATATTTGGAATGTTGTTTTAAAACTGTTAACTGCTCGTAATTATTATGATAATATGACCTTATAGACGGGGGGTGGGAGGGGGTAATGAAATTGGTGGTTCACGTTTCAGTACGAATTTTAATACGTTACATCACAGGTTACATGATTGTGTCATGTTGCATATTATTCTGCTGAATCATTCATTGTGTTGTACCAAAGATCGACTTTAGAGTCCCCTTTTAATCAATTTGAAATGATCATGGCTGCTCGTGCTTTAAACATCTGTGCATCATCAGCTATTTTAGCTCTGAATAGAGCAATGCTTTCCCGTGCAGTAAGTGGGAAAGTTGCAACATTCGACTTGACTTCTACTAGGAAATTTTCAACAAACAGGTAAAATTAAAATTACTAAGCACGTGGTCATGGTATCCGTTCTAGTGTTAGTAGACTTGTTTAATTCCGCATGGGGATCCATACTTAGTGTACGAAAATTTTGGTGATAGACGGTTAATATTGATAAAGCGCTATAAGACAAACAGATTTCGTTATACAGTCACACTCATACTTATGCTGTAACAGCAAATACTGCAAGTTGGTTATTGGATTGGGTCAACCTTTCCTCATGTCGTTTATTGACAGCACTGCACGAACACCAAGCCTGCTACTCACTGCTAGGGAGAAAGTTTGAATAATTTTAACAATAATCTAAAATGTTAATTTTGGAGCATATACTTTCATTTGTGGATTCAAAAGCTTTTAATGACAGAAGCTGTCAGCCAGGCCCAGAATAATATTCATGATGACCAGTTTACTAAATTAAAGTATGAAGAAACCATTATCAAGAATCCTATTAAAATAAAAAGTAAAAATTTGACATATAAGTACAGTGCTTACAGCAGAATGTATTTTTATGTTTGCCTCCATAAAAATATAAATACAACATACAGGCAAATGTTTACAGTCATGCTTTTTCATTGAGATCACTTTCACAATAAGTCTTTACTGTACAGAATATTAATAATTTTATGGTGTGAATATAGACTGCCTTACCTTTTGACAATAGTAGGAGATGTGATCCCATATTGCACCAGGGCACAGAATACCTAACAGAAGTGGAACTCCTGTACTTTTTTCGTAAGTGTGATTCGTCACTTAGCAAGTGCATTTTTTTTAGGTAGTCACCCCCCTGCCAACACTAAAAATGCGCTAATTTTAGACATTGGCAGGGGGGTGACTGCCTCAAAAAAATGCACTTGCTAAGTGACGAATCATGACGAATCACACTTACGAAAAAATAGTATAGAGTTCCACTTCTGTTAGGTATTCTGTGACCAGGGGGAAGTTAACAGTGTCTAAAAAGTACCAGGCCCCTTTTTCCCATCCTGCCTCAATTTGGAATGAAGAGAAGAATAATTGAATAAAGCAATAATATTCAGTTTTTTTCATTGTCTGCAAGCAGTCCATTCTTGAGAGCTAATGGTCAGCACATACTGAATAGGAAATTAGAATAATCTTATTTACAGACAAGGGGGTAGCAGGGTAGATCAACCAAAAATTATTATAGTGTTATTGAGCCTTTACAAAGAAGTTGTAATTTCAGTCTGATTTAACTAGAAGACTCAAAATGTTACACCAAAACACCTATAATTCAACACTATACATACAAAATGCCTGCAAGGGCAATAAACCCTAAAACTTAAATAAAGAAATGAGGGAAACAATAATATATAACAAACGAAACAATATATCAAATGTTTAATGTTTTAACACAAATACAAGCAATGCATCCTGACTTACTAACCCAATTCACTTTCTCAACATTGCATTCATTTACTCAAAAGTGATTTTAAGGATGACCTGGGGGACACCACTTAGTTCCTAGCAGGGAAGCAAGATGGCATTGCACAGTTTTTGATGTCACAAATATTATGTTACAGTGACCAACATTTTTAGAAATAACTATCTAAAACCTTGGTAGGAGCTTGCATTAGGGCCTTCAATGTTTGTGGCCAAGTAAATGACATTTTCTTTCTGGCCAATAAACAAGTTGTACAAAGGCCCTACAAACATACCTAGGTCAATATGGCCTGTCTCACAATATAGGAGTAATGCTATAATTGCAGTAAAACAAGTATGATCAAATTAATTTTACCACATGCCTTCTTTTGTGTTAGAGTTCAAATATTGATATTACTAGTAAACGTTGCTAAATGTCTTGCGGTGTTTAAGTCGTTTTTCTGGGCTCTTATAATTAGGACTACGCTTTTGGCCAGGCGGATCTAGTGCTACTTTAATTTTATGCTTGAATTTTACTTTAAACTGCCTCATCCACAGATCCACTTTATGAAGAATATTAATTAATCCACGAATAGTGCCACGTCCATGTTCACTTTAAATTGCCAGGTTCATATTCAAATTGACGTATTGAGTGGGTGGGTGAAAACTATTAACTACATTGTTGTGACGTATTGGACGTGCAATTAATATAAAAATTAATATAAAAATTACCAGATCTTCGGCATTGACAAATGGCAAAATAACGATAACCCTAACCTTAATCCTATGAATCACGATACCTTCAAGGCATTTACTTAAAACACAAAATAGTTTACGTGCCACGTTGCAAGTTTTTAGGTGGGTGGAATTTAAATTTAAGTCGTCGATTGGCGTTCTGCGTGGCAAGTTGAAGTGGGCGTTGCTCGCTTACCGCATTAATTAATTCCTACCAGATTCCTACTAAAAAGCCCCATTTACACAACGCGTAATTTTTGGTACAGGCTGAGGCTAGACGGTGAAAATTTCATCCGTACTAATTTTTTCCGTTCTAAACCTAAAATTCGCGATGTAGATGGGGCGTAAACAGTCAATAATAGCAACCCACGGAGCCGCTGAAAGTAATATCAATGAAATAATTCAATCGAATACAAAAAGTTTCCTCCAGCTGTGACGTACTATAATGGCCCTATAATGACAATGCCGTCACCACCAGTTCGATTCCGGTTTATAAGAACGGAGTCAACGGACAGCGTTATTTTATTACATCATTTTTTGGTTGTTATGTAACATGCTTAATAAAAAAATTCCTAATTTGCCTTGCAAGACTCTAGTCTACTGGGATAAGTTGCCTCATTAGGAAACCTAGGCGTAGAATGACAACCAAAATGCCTGATAAAAAAATTATATGTATATATATATATATATATATATATATATATATATATATATATATATATATATATATATATATATATATATATATATATATATATATAGACGGAGCCATAACCTTTCTATTATCTCATGATACTTAGCATCATGCATAATGAATGTTCATTGTAAATATTAATTCTCACCGATGTTACCAGGCATTCATTATCTATTTATGTTAATGTCGCATCCACTCATGTATGTTCTTTCTTCTGCCATGTGTTTAATCTGAACTTAATCTCAATCCTAATCCCTAAGAATAGAACTCCCTCCAGCAATTATGCGTTATTTTTTATAGGGGTAAATCTGTTTGTATTTAAATTTTAAAGTATTATCCGCTCCCGCACGTGTACATTTTGATTTTTTGTTGTATTTTATGTAATAACTTCAGTCCTGCAACTGAGCGTAGGTGTGTTTACCTAATAATTTCAAATATTACAATTCGTGCTTGATTTGTACAAACTTTTTAAAATGAATTAATAAAACCTGTATTACAGTCATGCTCTGTGTATTATTGTTCGGCATTTGTAAATAACGCCGAGAGGCGACAGCTGTAATACTGCTATAAATACGTACATTCTTCGGTGCTTTGAAAATTTTTTTGATGTGTTTTCAGAGTCATCATGAGTAAAGCGTTCGTTCAAAAGCCTGCCCCAGCGTTTAGCGCCAAGGCCGTTGATCAAGATGGAGAATTTGTTGATATAAAGCTATCAGATTACAAAGGTACAACATAACTTCATGGTTCAAACTTCAACTTCCTTTGCCGACCTTATAATTCGTCAGTTCGTCTTAAAACAGATGCCATACGGTATCTTACGAGCATATGTTTCAATTTTTATAGGAAAATATTTGGTCCTCTTCTTCTATCCTCTAGACTTGTGAGTATATAAAATGCATTTTGTGTTTTACTGTGTTTGCCAGTATGTGTGTTGTTTGTCAAACATCACACTGAACATAACCTTTTTGGGTTCAAGAATAGACATAAGTGATATTGTTCACTCACTATGTGTTCTATTATGACTGTACATAAAAGGTAATCACTATGCACTACAAGTCAAAGCTCAGTTTATTTAGTTGGTGTAGACTGAAACAATAGCTAGAGAGGGGTGATAGACTGTGTCAATAGTTACATAATGTATCCTGGCAAACCAAGTAACTTTTTTTCTGTTGTGTTTTGGCATTGCCACACATTTGGGCATTCCAAGGTGTTAGGACTAATTCTGTCCTCATCTTGTGCAAAATTACTGTGTCACAATATAACAAATGTAAAATGCTATATCAAAAATTTACCCATGCAATACAACCTTGCTCTCAGGGTTTTTAGTAATTACCTTACAAGTATATTTTTTAGTTTTAGTTTAGTATGTTTTGCTTGATAATTTGTATCTACTGCAAAAAACTACTGAACTAGGCAAGCAAATACAAAATTAGTGGTGTTCACTTTTCAGATCTTTTATGATTTAAAATACGCTTGCTTACAGTCTTTTGCATACCAACACTGGAGCCTATTCTGTTTTTAGTACATTTGTATGTCCAACTGAAATAATTGCATTCAGCGACCGAGCAGAAGAGTTCCGTGCAATTAATTGTGAAGTGGTAGCATGTTCAGTTGATTCACATTTCTGCCATTTAGCATGGTATGTGATTGTTTCCATTTTAAATGTTAGTTCCAGTATAAATATATATTACTACATAACTGAATAACAATTATCAAGAGAACTCGAGATATTACTAGCATTAGCAACTTGGACAATATCAAGTAAAAAGGTCGAGAAAACTGTTTAAGACCAATTGATATTTTATATCAGGATTTTACAACATCCCACATCTTCATATATTTCATATGTACTAAAAAACATGTGCATGCAGCCACTTTTGATGTGACTCGCCACATATATTTTTGATTGAAGCGAAATTCGCTTTGGGCGTTGTGTTTAGTTTTTGGAACAGCATCTCGTCCACAAAAGGACGATTGTCTTTATGGCCGTAGGGGGCAGAGATTTAAGTCTATATGGCCTTATGGGCCTTCACCACACGAGTCTATATGGATGGTATGCTGTCTATTGTATGTAGGACTTCCCAACCGCGAAAAAAGGGTGGTCTTGGTCAGATGGATATACCTATTTTGTCAGACATCACCAAGCAAATTTCAAAAGACTATGGAGTATTATTGGAGGATCAAGGCATTTCATTGCGGTAATTTTAGCTTCGTATTTTGAAGTTTAACGTCTTTGACTTGTGCAATTAAGTTACACGTGTACTGATTATTGCTTGAAATTAACGAAAATGCTTTAAAACTTTAGCGGTTTATTTATTGTGGATGACAAAGGTATCCTGCGACAGATCACCGTCAATGACTTGCCTGTTGGAAGATCTGTGGATGAAACTTTACGTCTTGTTCAAGCATTTCAATTTACCGACAAACATGGTGAAGGTAAATGTTGAACCACTGCCACTGGTTGGAACCAAATTAAAATCTCGTTTCCATGAAAACAAAATTTTATAACTGGTGGTTTATCGGGTGTCAGAACTCTATTCTACTTATGACTTGAAAGTTCATGAAATGCCAGCATATTTTGCTGGACTGCGGCTGGATTTCCGGATTGTACTAGAACACGGCGGACACAATAAAAACCCCTCATATATATATAAGACGAAGTTAAACACGATGTATTCACACTTTTCACACCCTCCAAGGCAAGAAAGCAATTTTAATTCAACCTTGATTTCCACATTAGTTAAACCAATACGAGTTAAAAAAATTTTTCGCTCGAGTCTCGTTCTAACTTGTGTAATTATATGTTCTATAGTTTGTCCGGCGGGTTGGAAACCAGGCAGTGACACTGTAAGTATACATAACTTCATCTCGAACATTATCCATAGTTTCCAATAGTTATGCACCGGGTACAATACCCACCCACCGGGTAATATGCCCCACTATTTATGCACCCTGAGTTTATGCCCGTGCCTAATTTTTCCTATCTATAGATATTTTGAAACTTCACGGGGTAACAACCTTTCACATGAAAATTATATATTTTCTAGATTAAACCAGATGTTAAGAAAGGCCTGGAATACTTTTCAAAGCAAGTAGATCAAAATGGCAGATGAAGTTTGAAGACGTCATGCGTGTTGTGTGTGTACAGTGAACAAGTATATGTTGTACTTTGTTCAAATTTATCGAGACGTTTAGAATAACGCATAAAGTACAGTGTATATGTTAAATAATAAAACTATAGCATTTATTTAAAAAATAGTCTTGGTCATGTAATTTTGTGTCTTTGGCCCACATTTATCTACCTTTTTAAATACTAGTATTCAGCTGTGTTTTTTCAGACATGCAATCAGTGTTATCAGAATATTACCTGTTCTGATAAGCCTAGATTTCCTGATCAAAGTTCGCGTTCACAACACACTATTTCATTTATCAAATACACGTATGCGGTTGATTCTCGTCAATCGATTTTTATATGAACAAATAATGATGACGGGAAAAGCGACTTGGTTCCACGTCCATTTAACGAGATTTGACGAAAACCTAAACCCAATGTTAAAAAATTACCAGTTGCCAACTTTGAAAATCCAAATTTCCTGAAAACTAATACTAGTGCAAAGTTTTTATCTTATGATCAATCTAATGAACCTTAAATACCGAGAGAAAGTTTGTGGAGAGTGTCATGTGCATCCAATAAGAAATGAAAGGATGAATATATCATACAGTTTTTAACGAACCAACGGGATTTTAGAAATTATAGCTACTCACCTTGTCTTATACTGGTGAATGGCAAAGAAAATTGAGCAATGAAATCATCTTTCCCAACATCTTGATCATAAACAGAAAATCTGACCATTGCCATCTCTGGATTCGTCACTTGAAATTCGAACACCTCGTTCCAGCGTGGATTAAATCCTGCATGAATAAAGTTACTACGCATTAGCATTTCGGATATCACCATTCATTATTATACATCACGCGTATCTATCTGTGAACAAATCAAGTGCGATTGTTCAGGTTTCTTAGTTTCTTGTTCAGGTTTTATTTCATATATTCATATAACCCAAATTGCTGATATTCATCTTAAAATTAATCAGAAAATTGATTTTCAATCTGAGAGCAATTCGAACAATTGCTTGATTATTCTCCGCACCTTGTAGTAGATAGATTAATTACCGCAGTTCTGATAATTTTATTCCAATCCAATTCTCGCGGAAATAAAACTTTGCTTTTCTTACATTTTGGGCTAAACAATGGCTAAACAATTTTTTACAACAACCGACACAGTCTGCGATACAGAATGATCAACACACCCGGATACATACATTCATTGCTTGCATGGTCATTGTTTTAGACATCTGCATGGTTCACAAAATAAGGTAAAGTATCATCCAAAGTTTGTTTTAATACCTGTGGCAAGAAGGCAACTATATTTGAGTTGCTTTCATCTTAAAACCAAGTATTATAGAACAACAACGTTCCTTCTGTTCGTTCCTTCGTTACGCATTCGCTTCATTGAACAACGTAGCTTATTTGAAATGAACTGAACAACCAAATGAACAACCTCAGTCATTAAGCTTCATTATCATCTCATTATCTATTGTTTGAATTGTAAAACTATGCCTTAGGTTACGTTCACATGAGACCAGATGAATTTGGTAACGTAATCGAATTCGTCCGGTTTCCTCGTATTCGAGCAGGGTCCCAAATTTGTCCAACCCCGCGTTAACGCAGCCTTCTTGTTTAAGTTATTAATACTACGAGAAGTAAAAACGTTATTTTAAAACTTTCATTCTTACCATTGTTGTTGATAACTTTAGTTTGAGAATTTTGCTTTTGCTCAGGAATATCATGGACTGATATCGAGACGTAGGGATCCACAATCTAAATGTAATGAAGGATAAAAAAGGTTTAACTTTATTACTAATATAAAAACCTGAGAACAAATGTCATCCTTATTCACGTTCTATAATCGTAAACTTAGTTCAATCCATGTTTCTCAAAGTAATAATGTCCCCCATGCAATTAATATACATTCAAGAGATAATACATTGCATTAAAACTAAACATCCCTGCAACTAGCTGTAATACGCCTGTATTCCTCTTTACATTTTTAGAAAACTTTTACCTCTCCCTTGGAGCCGCCGCTAATCTTAGGAAACTGTTGGCCACTGATGATCTGAAACGGCAAAACATAATTAATTATCTAATCTGGCAGCTTCTCAATTATATAAATCATAATGTATTAGCGGGGATCCTTCGTTACGGTCAAAATTATCTTTAATTTCTAGTTGGGCCAATAGAAAAGGTTCTTAAAATTCAAGCGAACTCGTCTCCTTTCAACACTGTCGATCACTCGATGTCTTATAGACTACATCTACGATTCTATATAAGGTCATATACTATAGCTACATCTATACTGTCTACATCTACGATTCTATAAGGTCCTATATAGCCGGTGACGTGAAATACCCTAGGTAAATTTCCCCGACCTAAATTTGCAAATACCTTGACCGTTAATTTCCGACTTTTCGATACATTCGGGGTATCTAAAACAAAAACCATGCAAAAAAAGGTTGCCTCAGACCACAGCTACTCAGACTATTCATCTGTAACGCTGTAACAACAAATCTATAGTTTACAAAGTAGCTACTTGTGGTCAAACTAACCATTTCTCATGTATTCTGGTTTTAGTATATATCCTGAATTTCCATTTTGACGGAATTTACCAAGGTATAGATCCATCATTGCACGCTCAGTTTGGAAGTTTAACGCAACTGGAATAGATTTGAGTAATCAGTGTTAGAGAAAAGAACGATCGAGCCTTCCGTAATATACTAAAGTACAGTCTCTCTTTTACATGAAAACTCACGCTATAAAAAGAAACATTTGTTGTATGCATGCATTGAACACTTTACTTTAATCTTTTCAAAGTGAACCAGACCGCGTACACAACGTGTACAGCGCACGCATGTTTCTCTGCCACTTCGCAGATCCATTCCTAAGAGTCGTTTTCTGTCAGAGGCGTAGCCAGAGAGGAAGCCCTTCCCCCTCGTGGTATATACAAATTTAGCTCTTGAGCACGTTTATTTTGTACACATTTTCCTACCTATTTGACAGCCAGCACTCCAAGCCATAAATGGATTGTAATTACTTGAATCAACTCTACTGCCAGCAGGATAAATACGACTCAGTTGTTTTTTGTTATATTCAATAAATTCTGAACATTTTTCCTTGACAATTTTTTTTGTCTTGTTTTCACCAAACGAGGACATTTCGTGACATTTGCCTTCATTCTTGCTCTTAGCAAAATCATAAAAATGAACAGCTTTGCAGTAGTTGACTAGTTTCGAAAGCTCTGGTGAAAGTTTCATTCCTTTCTTTTTCCCATTTGATTTTTCTCCCTAAAATGAGAAAGTACAAAGAAAAAAATTAATGTAGTTATTTTATATCAATTTAATTACTGGGTGCATGTCAATATCATTTACTTTCTCAGTATTACTTTATATCAATTCAATCATTGTATGTTCAATATCATTTTCTTTCGTGGGCATTTAAATATCTGGCGTCGTTCGATAATACGGGAGTTGGGAACTACCCTAACTAATCTTATGTCCTTCTATTCTCTCACTTCTCACTGTTTTGCTAACCTGTTCTGATTCCTGACTCAGAATAATTTCATTTCCTTGATCATCCAAATGAACTTCTCCATCTTCTTCTTCTTCTGAAATAAAGCCAATATCTTCCTCGACACTACCACCAGCTGGTTCTTTCAATTTTTTACCCTATAAACAGTCAAATACATGCACCGTCACAATATACAATTAACCACCATGCACATATAAATTATATATATATATATATATATAATAATATTATTTATATATAAATATATAAATATTATATATATATATATATATATATATATATATATATATATATATATATATATATATATATATATACGTGAACTAACGAACTCAGGAATATCTGTTGGCAAGATAACTCCAAAACAGTCAGAAAGATAATATTTTCATCCCTATCATACACCAACATCTATATCCCTTTTGATGTATCAATTTGGTATTTTGTATTTTTCGCAGTCTCCTCGACAAACCTAAAGACTTAGAGAGTTAGAACTGGCACGTGGCAATGAAAACTCACTTACCTTAACGAGGATCTTATTCTTGAAGAATTCGGGCGAAGGAAGATCCTTTAAATTACTATCGACACAATCACAAAACAGCTTATCTTTTAAGTGATAATTAAGAAATATAGGAACTCTCAGTTAAAACACGCCGCTCATTATACGCATATGATTGGCACAAAAAAGGTTTTCAAAAATATTTCTTAAGTAGAGCAAATTGCTGTGGTTTCCTTGCCATTTGAAATGACCACAAGAACTTATACTTCACCACATGTAAGTGTTTTCTAAGCACCACACTTGGAAAAGAAAATAAATTCATTGAGACGAGCTTGAGATTGAGATAGCTCCAGCAATCAAAGGATACTGCCTAAAATATCTTTTAAGTAAGATGCCATCTTCGTTTGATGTGGAATACTACAGTGATTCTCTAACGACAAAATCAACGGATACCTGGAAAATCGATGGAATTATGATTTTCTCACATTTCTTGTATCGTCTACGGATAATCATATTATACACTCATTCCTCAATAAAAAATAAAAATTTCTGCCGTTTCTTTATTAAATAATTTTTTGGAATGAAACGCATTTATAGCATTTAACTTCTTATCAAATTAAGCTTGCTATAACGAAAAATATCATACAAATTCTTCTGACGAAGCCTTCATTGAGTTCTTGTCTATCACTTTTCTTGTGTACTTCCTACTTAAGTCTTAACTTTATCAGCTAGGGCTTAGGTTTTAGACAAGCTACATGCAGTTATATACTATCCGGCTGACATGCATTTACCCCCCGGGGAAAGAACTTACGGTGAAGCGGTGAAGGCAAATTCCTCGACAGCTTTAATAATATCCTTGAAGAGAATTTTGTTCACCAAAGTGTGTCCATGATAAACTACCGGTTCTCCATCATCGCCATCCCAACAGTCCACTGGAAACAAATACAAAATAAAGTCAGAAAAAAACGCAATTATTTCTTACAACTTGAAAGAGCAACCTAAATTTAGTGAAAGTTCAAGGTTTGGTTGCAACATATTGTAAAGTGCACCGTATAGTCCTGCGAAGAATGTGATCTTGGCTTATCACCGATATAAGAATAGCTATCTAGTGATCTTAAATTATCCGAGGCCGGTTGTCTAAAAGCCGGATAGCGATGTCCACCGGATAGTGTTTTTTTCAATCGCTTTTAAATCGCCCGCTGTTGCTATAACTTGGTTAAATCTTAGTATTCCTAAAACGAGGATCCTTTTTATAATTGTTGGTTCTAAAGATGGATGAAATTTTATCGCTTTTCGAGAATTTTTAGAACGGTTGAAAAAATCACTATCCGGTAGATAGCGCTATCCAGTTTTCATACAACCGGCCCCTGGGATATAAGAATGGTAAAAATGATACACGAGTTCTGAAACGACTTACGTTCAACACAGCGACAACCGTTCTTCAACGCGTTTATGTATGCTTGAACTGAGGCTTTTCCCCGCAGTTGGTCCCCTTCTAAATACCTAGATTGAATATACATAAATCATCGTCACTCCGAAGGGTCTATCACTGCCTGATATCTGTGGTATGTTAATAAAGGAGGTAACATATAGAAGATCATACGCACGTGTTATGTGACGACGATATGAAGTAGTGAGACAGCGGTTGTGTTAGATCTTGATAGTATGTATCATGTTTTTCATTAAATATATTGCCTTCTTTGGACAATAAATAACCAGCAAAACCTAAAAATATCAAAAATCCATGTTACGAGGTATGATAAACCGTAGTGCATGCACGAACACTGCATGGTTATATATAGCCAGCCTTCGACCGATAAACTCAATTATTTTTTATTCAAAATAATTCACAGCTTGGGAAACGACTTTTTCATGAATGCTATGACGTCATAACGTGCGATAAACAAACTTTGAGCAGCAGACAGATGGGTGGTAGTCTCTATAAACAGATGTTATTTTAGTACCATCAACACTCAGAACATTTTTGGATTTCCATTCACTGACTATTTCACAGGATTGTATGACTTTTTTGCAATCTTCTTCCGTTGCTTCTTTCATCTGTAAATGATGAAAAAATATTTGATTTCGGCTAAAATCCAAAACTCTGTTATTTAAATCGTCTTTGATTATCATTTTTATATTAGGCTAATATAGCTTCATATATATATTCAGATCATTATATATACTCACTCCTTGTTCATTTTTGAAAAATGAAAGAAGCTCCTGGCAAGTGAGATATTCCCATTAGACGAATACTGAGCCATTACTGTTTCTTCAATATCATCTCGTTTTGATAAACTTTCAAAAAATGCTGCAAACTCATCTTTATCCAACCCTGGTTTTTTGTCAGGTGACTCCTCGTTTGTGTTGAATTCCTATAAGCAGACACTATATCCATAATCGCAGTATCGACTATCGAGTCATGAAAAATTGATAATGCAAAGAAAAGCGATTCGCTCAACTTATATGAGTATCAGTAGCAGTGACAAATTGTTCATATAGCTATAGCATTGCACGTTTACCCGGAATTTCGTCATCAGAATGTCCTTAGTCAGAGGAATATTGAAAGAGCGACTTCTTCCATAAGACCACTTTTGTTCCTATCGTAATAATCAAACCTATCAAACAACCATGTAAGAATATTAAGGAAAACTGTGTGAATAGCAGTTACGATTGGATTCGCAATACATAGAGATTCGAGCATTCGATTCGATATCCGTGGTCGTGGAAGACTTTAAAATTTAAAATTGAGGACCCATCTTTTACTTTCCTAAGGTGTTTTAATGAATTTTATGGATGCAAAACGACAAATGCCAAAATCGCTCAATTATCCCTTAACAACTTTAGTTCTTTCTTTGTATGTAATTATAACATCGAAAAGTGTATAAAATTGAAAAGGATATTTCTTCTTTGCTGAGAGTGAGTTGTCAGTCGAAGCTGTAAACAAAAGAGAATAATGATGGTCTATTTGTGACAATAGTTTTATGTGTACAATCCACATCATAGTTCTTCTACATGTTCAGATATATTCAAGCATTACGTGCGGGTTTATACTATGGTTAGTAAATCAAAAGTCACCTATTGCGAGTTTAAACGCATGCATTACAATACCTGGATGCAACATTATACATTTTACTATTAAAGCGCCTGGGTACGAGGCTGGCATGCATGTGTGCCGGTGAGGAAAGTGTTAGTTACATCACACGAAATTTCACCGAGAATCTGCAACTGAATATTATAAACTGTTGTAGATCAAGCTTACCTTTATTGGCGGCCAGCAGTGATAAGCCTCTTACCCAGCATTGCGCAATTCGTTTCTCTGGAGCTATTACGACCAAACGCTCTCGGTTTTCAAGCTCAACAGTAAAACAATTCTCGCGAGATACTTTGAATTGTTCAAGATTGTAATTTTTGTCTGGCGGTAGCGGTGTGAGAGAGATCTCCTTTATTGTTTTGACCTCGACTAAAGGCCGTAGAAAATCAACATTAGTCATTAGCATCACGAAATGGGGCGGTTTGAGTGATACGGGCAATGGTAGAGGTGGGAAATGCAAAAGTGCTCATTGCGCAATTTCGAACATTACCAAAGCTGTTAACATTAAATCCCAAGGCCATTATCTACCTCAACTGATAGTCATTAAAAATAATCAATAATCAAGCATAATTAAAGCTGACCTCTATTATTTTTAGCGGTTGGTTGATATTGGAAGCCAAGCATATCATTATCTAGAGTGAATGTCTTCATTGCACCACGTGACTTGCGATCAATTTTCAACATTCTACTGCCATGTTGCATAATTATAATCAGCAGGTCCAGTTCTAGGAAAAAGTATTTGGAGTTTACGACCAATCATTGTGCTTAACGATATACCCTGATATCATTATTCAGTTATTTCAAGGCGTTCCTCATCGTTAAGTGAGTGAGAATTAATTAACCTGACTTAATAATGACAGCTAGTGTCTGTGCCTCGATTTCAAATTGTCCCCAGTCACCTCGCTAACTACACTAAGGCATTATGTTGTCCACGCAGCCCAAGAATAGGAAAAGTATTTTCAAATATACATATCGGAATAATTGGAAATGATGCTAAGGTTCCTAATACCAGATTGCATGTATCAATGATAATATATTTTGTAAAACAATTTAATGGAAACATTTAGACTGGTAGATTTGAATATCGATATTCAAGCCGTGGCCCAACCCCGCGACGGATCATTGTCCGACAATGTTTCCTGTTTTTTAGTATTTCACCGATTCTAATAAAGTTATTGGTTTAATTTTTTATTCAGTTGTGTACTCGACAAAGGAACTTTCCATCTTTTCCGATTTCCGGCCGTGCGGAAATCTTCCTGGAATTAGGCCCTAGATTCCTAGAATATTTTTGCCCCTGAAATCATTATCTCCTTCACTGGTTACAGACAATGAGTAGGCATAATACAAGGTGTGTATAGATAAGAAAGACAAAGTGAAACTATACTTTATGCTAAACACATATATGATCTGATATGGAGTCAAATGTTATAACAAAAGGTTACAGATTCACTATAAGACTAAGTTACAAACAGTATTGTTACACTATATCTCCGAAGATCTTCCTCCCTTTAAGATCAGCAGTCTGAGTCTATAAAACGATTTTATGACAACGAATATAAAGTAATCGTTTATAGAGATTATAGCAATTCCTTAAAGGAGCGAAGACAAAACTGTTTCTGTAAATTTTGATTTTAATTGAAATTACGATATGGCGTGCCCCTTCTCGTGCATGGTACGAGGTTGATTAGACTGTTTACAGGTAGCTAGGGTAGGAGGATTTTTACAAAACAGGACTCATGGTAACTCCGCGTCGCATATAACATCACGTGTCGTCTAAGTCTGAAACTAATAGAGTTCTAACATGCTGCTGTCTTTTTCGCCACGCAGCGAACTTCATTGTGTGTGACCGCAGCCAAGCAAGCTTATTAATGTGGACAAACGCAACACCATGTGTGTCAGCAGAATTTTTAATTAATTCTTGTGTAAACAATTGAAGAGTTAAACATTCGTAGTCATATTAACAACATTAATATTTTACATCCACATAACATTTTATCATTTGCCTTGCCAATATTGTTCAAAATTAAAATGGTCTGCATCAGTACATAGCCCAGCTTCGAGTCACGACACCGTCGCTGGTTGGCCGCACACATCAGTGCTTCTACTAGGACTTGTAATGCTGATCCGCTTGTTTGCGTTTTACGTGTAAGAGTATAGCAGTATGACCTGACCTATTCTGACTGCTATATTGAAATTCGATTTTCGATATTGTGTTTTGTTGTCGAATTGTTGGGCGAAAGTTCGTTGTATCAACCTTGTTGCTTGGTTTTCAAGATACCTTTTCTACGCGGCACACGCGAGATGGAGCAAGATAGAGAAAGGCCTATTAAGCCTCAATTATTGGTGTATACGCGGTTATATATTTCACTTTCGTTCATAATTTTCCTGAAAAATTCACGATATAATATAGTTCGCACTCAAACCTTATACCCATGCATTCATACACGCAAAGTACCATATAATTTAATCGTCGATGACAACTAGGGCTCTTCGACCACAACGGATGTTACACTGAATTCCACCACGCATATTTTGAACTCAATATAAACAACAAAATTCGTGGGCAATTATATCGCACATGATTACAGGTGGCACGAAATATTACCAAGGATCATGCACGATACAATTAGGAATATCAATCGCACCCAATCTGGTTATATCAGCCAGTATTTCATAGAACGCTTCATCACCCTTGCCAAACAGCGCTTGACATTATTGAAGATATCACTAAAAATATTGAAGCAACTGATGCTTTTATTTCGAGTATTTAAAAACTTCCGCTAGATTTACCTGAGAGCTGCGACGAATTTTTATTCCAGTCTGACACATTGTTGTCTTTTACACTTTGTTTGGTATCGTCCATAGTTATGTCGAGTTGAAACTGGACAAATAATCAGCGGGTAATATTTGAAAAGCTAAATAAGGCCTTTAAATTAAACCTGGTCCGGATTCTTCTCAGCACCCTGTGGGCTCAGGCCTGATGTGGTCGGTAATGGCGTCACGAGAGTTGTCATTTACCCATCAGGCGATTTAACCGTAATAAAGTTCTTTATATACCAATATACAACTGTATTTTTAGAACATGTAACAAAGAAATCTTAGATATACTGAAGCTAGTCAAGAATTAGCCATTAATATAACATGGGTTTGGACTGACCTGCGGTCAATAATACTTGTAATATAACCGCAAAGAATCATCGCTAGCGCGCACTTGAAATATGTATTAAGTTACATAATCTATTAATTGTTCAAGTATCGTTGCATTTCTCTGGATTAAACATTTATACGCCAAGGAAGGATAAATTGATCACGATCCATCGATAGAAGAAATTAGTGACGCTATTGATGAGAAGCAAGTGGATATTGATCGAATTACTGAAGACACTAAGAGGAGAGCATTAGAAAGTTCTCCAAGTAGTATCATACATGCATCAACGAGTCGAATTGCAACAGCTTACTGTTCAGCCTTGACCCGGCAGGCCGGCACCCACGGTGAAAGACAATTCCTACAATGCCAATTATATTTATGTATATATAGGCTATCAAAATGCATCCAGGTATAGTTTTCGGCATATACCTGTCAGTCCGTGTAAACTTGTGCCTTCAATCAGTGAAAAAGAAGTACTGTAGCCTAAAATGCTTAATATCGCATTTTAAAAGCTTAATTTACAGGATGTTTTTAAAGTTATTTGTCTCTTATTTTTCCAAATTCCACCCTATTAGGACTGCAAAGACAACTGAAATTGCATGTCGTCCAAAAATCGCAGGTTATGTGATCACTGAACAATGAAAACATTTTTGGAATTTAGTGAATGTTATTTGGCCACCTGAGACTGAGAGTAGTTTAACTGTTTAACGGGTTAATCCCGCCAGGATTATTGATACATATAGTCAAAAGCTGATAAATTTTCTAACAGCTTAGGCTTTGGTTCAATAAGCTAGGTTTTATTAATAACAAATCGAGCAAAAATGCATGCATGACCTAACTAAAGATTAGCGGTAAATAGAGCTTCAAACCTTATGTACAGGGACGTAGCTCGATATCTATTGATCTTCGTGTTTCAAATCAATAATTATTTTTAAATCGATCATTTTTACAGAAAATGGACTCCAAAAAATTAATAGTCCACTAACTGTCTACAGCATGGAGTGCTTGTATTCAAATACAAAACTGAAGTGATGCGTGCCAAGGAAGTTCTCAATTTATAAGTTGAGGAAATGGTACTCCATCGATTTCAGGATTCTCCTGGCTTTCCTGATCGTCAGCGGTACTACGCACATTCAATAACAACGATTCATCACTGTCTCGAAAGTCGTCGTCAGCATTCACCTGATAATAGTCTTTATAAAACTTGGGTTTCCTGGATGTAGGTAAAAGTAGCGGTATACACGATGCAATAGCAATGTGCCATATACTGTGCAAATATTTGTAATTAGCTGTTGTTTCTAGTCCGGTGTAAATGCCTACAGCAACAGATGCCAAAATTAAAGCAGGAAGAAAGAAAAACAGCCATCTAAAATATAACAGAACAGCACAATTAGAGTTGAATAACTATATTATTAGAGTTGAGCACTATTATTACGGTCAACCAATGAAAATTGATATTAATTGATATGTAGTGAAATATTGTTCAAATGTACTTGTTGTTATTACTGACAAAACCATGCACCACTTTTTCACCTCGTTTACATTCATAAGCTCACACTTCTGTTTCAAAATAATACAATGGACCCTCGATTTTTAAAGAAGCTAGTGTGTATTACGCCTAAATATATTGTTCGTGTACTGGCTCCAGTTTTGAGAATAAAATCATTACTTACCTTTTCCGACCTGGGAAACATTTTTTACGCTTGTGACATCTGCAACCCTAAACAATGGCATAACTTCCATTGTTAAAGCATCTATACATATATACATATATATAGGTTACATATATACGTTAGGTATACTATTATATACACATATAGCTATCCCTGTGTCAGAGACAGTCCATGTATAGATGTGCTACAACATCGTCAGACACGTCGTCTTTGACAACAAATTTGCTTCTTTATGCAAAAAAGTACTCACAAATGAGATAAGAACAATCATCAGGCCCATGCCTCCAGGGATGGCTACTATTAAGAAACCAAAACGAGCTAACTGCACGCCAATGAAGAGACACAACACAGCCAAGATATTCAACGTTCGCTGCCATAAAGGACGCAGTTTAACCATCGTGACAAGAGTAAACCAAACAGAAAGAACCGATGCAAAAAAGTCACTCAATTGCAACGTATTGTAATCGTAAATACAATAACCATGACTGTCACACGCGTGGTACACCTGAAATGATAATGCAACGTGGAGGATACTGCATATAGGTAATAGGTACGATGCAGGAAAAGGGTCTGCAGTGTTCTCCAAGATTAGGCAGAATTTGTAATACGTCGGGCAATTGGCACCCTGGTTCACAGCTTCACAGAAAACATCTTAGCCTGAAATATATGGCAAAACGTGTTCTACCAGGGTTTAAATTTCAAATCTTTCCTGGGGATGCAAGCCCCATGGAACCCCTAGCTCTCACTTGCCCCATTTGAACCTCAAATCATGCAGGTAGCGTAAATATCCAAATTATGCATTACGATGTCTTACCGTTGAAGCGTACATATTAAAGAGATACACGATTGCTTCGGGATAAAATTTTCTAAAACAGGCCACAACAATTCCAGGAATAAAGGCTATGTTACTTATTGTGAGTAAATAAACAGCCAGTAGGTCAAGCCCATGGTAATCAGAACAAGCAAATCCACTGTATCCATAATCACACACACAGACGCCGTACGATACCCCAATATCACTGTCTACCACACAAGATCCGTGATTGTTACATTTACTCAAACATGTTTCAGTTTTAACATCAAAACCAAAGAAAGGTTTTGGCGAGAGATCGTGAGATATGATGATAACATTTATATACCATGTCCCTGATTGTGGGTACACAATATTTACGCGTAGAACACCATCGCTCGTCTCGTTGCAATGTTTTTTGAAAAATTCTCTAGATTTCGAGACACCAAACGGCAGCACATCCCTGCTAATGCACACCCTACGTGTCGTCCTTTGTCTCTCTTGAAAAAGCGGCCAAAGTACAAATGTTAATATTGACCCAACATAGTCTGGCTCTACTTTGAAACTGAATGTTCCTGTGTCATTCAATACAAGGAGGAAATTAGGCAAGCGAACGCTCAGTCGTCTGCGAACCAATATCGACAATGGCACAATATTCTCACATTCAGAGGTGTTTAGAAGACATTCTAGAAGGAAAGAATATTATTGCAGGTGATCTCTTAAAACAGGTGGGTGATTCAATGAGATGAAAAAATACAGAAACATTGCGATCGTTTAAACTTGCTCAGGACTTTTTTAAAGAAATTATCAGTGCGGGGTGGGAAATTTTCTTTATTCTTAAATCTTTATAGCCCCGTTTACACTAGGCAAACTGACCCGTCGAACCCGGGTTAGTTTTTTTTAAGTGTAAGCACACTTAACCCAGATTAGTTTAAACCCTGCTTTAAAGGTGGGTTCGCCCTGGGTCTAACCCGGGTTAACACTTGACCTTCACAAGGGGGGGTTGTAACTACATTGCAAGCAATTACCAAACGGGTTTATAGAAGACACAGCAATTGTGATGTTTGACAGGTTGCATTTGATTTCCAAACAATCAAAATGTTCTGAAGTGTTTACATTTGAAAGATACTTTAGAAGGTTTAAAAACGAACTTTCTCTGAGCCTCATTTACATAATCTAATTACATAATCTGATTATCATGTACATAATCTGATTATCTTAACCTGATGATGGAGTAAACTCCAAACGTCGTTTGTAAATAAAATTTTAAAGCCTTATTCTGGTCTATATTAAATAACGCAGAAATCAATTTGAAAGATACTGACCTTCATGATTAGCTGTTAATTCATACTTATTACATGTTCCACTGACTTCAATATAATAATAGGACTGCGGTTTAGGCCATGTAATAATTATGCCACATGTTGTTGAACTTGCTGTAGTGGAATTGCTTGGTGAAGAGACTGTTGGTAATGAGGTTGCAGACAATGCTAATCTTAGATATCCTTGACTTGATGAACAATTTATTTGGACACTGAGTTTCTTGGAGTAACTTGTGACAAAATATTTGTAATATCTTATGCTAAAAAATCTAAAATGAAAAGTTAAATGAAGCAATTAATAAGAAACTAAGTCATATGAAAACAAAAAATATCGTATTATTTGATAAAATCATGAGTGAGGTAGAAATTCTATTAGGTATTCGTAGAAAGCATGTACTATGTACAATACAAATAAAAAAGAATTTACTTGGTATTAGTAGTTTTCCATGGTTGACCTTTAGAAAGAACTACTGCAGGCCTCAATGGAGAAACTATTTCTTGTGTAAAACTCACTGCACTAAGGCATTTGTCATCTGACTTTGATAAACCCTGTTGAAAAATATTAGTTAATTTTATTGAAGAATTGTAAGTTTTACGCTCTGCATTCACAGCCAAACGCATTGAAGGAAGGAAGTATGACCACCCATTGCTGTGTCTAACAATGCGGTCAACACAGTGTGAGTTATGCAAGTTATGTCTGAGGCGGCAAAAAATAGAAGCCTACGTATATGTGAACTGTGGAGAGTGCAAACTGCAGCAAAAAGCACTGGTCAGCACAGCCCCATATAAAAGCAAAACCTCTTTGTCATGAGTCTACTGTGGCTGTCAAGTTTGGTGCTGTTCTGAGCTCCAATTGCACTGTCTTAGGAGGCAGAAACACCACCTCCACCAAATTATATGACAGCACACAACTGTATGTGAATTGACTTAAGTAACAAGGATAAGAATTGACAAGAGTTGCAACTTGTTACAACATTCACATAACAAAGACAGACCTTTTCCTTGATGCTTTTGACCTTATCCACAGGCAGGACAAATGCTGTGACATACCACTTGCCCGGCAAAGGAGATGAAAAATTTTTCTCTTGAAATGGTTGATTTAGGCTTACAGAGGTACTATAGTGATCAATATTATTGTACAACCAACTGTCTGTCTGTATTTTATTTCTGTGAGGTATTGCTGGACTTCCATATTGTATTAATCTTAATAAAATAAGGAGGATATTCAGTTTAAAATTAGCTCATATGCAGATTACCTAATTTTAAGTTGATTGATACTTTCAAAAAATGTATATTTGAATTTTCAATAATATTGTGAACTTGATCAGAACATTGTGATGTATAGTGGCCCATAGGGGCTGCATCATCTTTTGACGGCATATGATACACACTAGAGGTTTATTCAGTACAAGAAAGTATAAAATACATCGTGATGAACTTGTCGCTATATTAAATATATATATAATTAATGCTGTTTACGTACATACTGATATTTTTGCTGCATAACTTTTTAGAGTGTGAATATTTTCCCAGATAAGAAAATTTCAATCTCATTTTAATCGCATATTCTGGGACATTCAGTACATAAATTTTCGCATCTTGAAACGAATGATATTCTTTGAGACTGTAGGCAGGTTCCCAAAGTATTTCAGTTTCCAAAACTAAAACAAAATATCGCATTATTATATATTGATTAAATTACAGTACAATTTAACCACTTCGTTGTTTATAAACAATTCACTTTTTTTCTCTTTTGTTTCTTCTACACCAGCGAAATTTTAAAGACTGGTATTAAACTTTTATACAAGTCAGGACTTACATCTTACTCTGTCCAGTTTGATTTCCACTCCATTACTACCGACCGAAGAACACCAGAGACTTGTAAAAATAAGTGGGATGTACAATAAAATATTGAATGCCATATCACTTTTTTGCCTAAACCGCTTTAAGTACCGTTTCAAACGCTTTACAAAGTGTCATTTGTTTGCATGATCAACACACAAGTATATTCACAAGTATATTCACAAGTATATTATATTATATTCGCTTAGCATCGCTTACGCGTCGAAATCACTGGTCGAAATCGGGGAACGAGATTGGATCAGTGGATTGGATTGGATTAGATTATGGAGATATGGCGTTCCGTTCCGCTCAAAACTACTCTTGAGAATACTTGAGAATACTTTTGACAGTAGAAATGAAATATGAAACACTGAAATCCGCAAAAATGTTTCCAAGCGTCACTTGCACAATCCATTGATCCAATCAATAATTTTCTCGTGCTCAAAAACCAGAGGGGGGGGGCTCGACAGAGCTCACTGGGGCTTATTAATAGGAAACGTAATTTCGTGTTCAAAAACCAGAGGGGGGGGGGCTCGACAGAGCTCACTGGGGCTTATTAATAGGAAACGTAAATGGGATAAAATCTCTTCCTCTGCTAATTAATATGGGGGCATATTGAATTAAAATAAGACCAGATAGAGGGAATACCTCAGTTGGGAATACTAACATACTTATCAGGGCGCTTATATAGTATATAAGTGCCCTGATACTTATGGTCTATCATTTCTTGGGCACCAAGGCAAGATACGCGTTTGGCATGGTACACGTATCCTTTTCCTCGGACTCGCCAACTGTATTTCTGAATGTACTTCTATGTACATTTCTCACTATTTCTTTAAAATTATTCCAACCACAGAGTAAGTAAATGATATTTATTATATGACTAGTGTTTGTTTTTGTAAATCCTGCAATTTGATTGGCTGCTGACGAGGCGGGATTTTCCCATATTGCCCACGGGCAATACGCTCAATTTTTATTGCCCTCGGGAAAAACAACAGCAATTCGAAATGAATTATTATTCGTGTTTATGGTTTTCCCAAATTAAGTCATATAATAAATAACTTACTGACTTCGATTGTTCGGTCTGTACGGTAAAATATCAAACCTCGGTCGTTTACCGTACAGACCTCACTCTCAGTCAGTAAGTTCTTACTATTGAATACTTACCCAGCCCTGTGCCGACGAACCCATTGGCCGAACTGGCCGAACCTGACAATCGTAATGATTCGCTAATGTTCGTCATATTTTGGCCAGTGACAAATAGTCTTCAAATCAAACGCGCGCATGTTTGCTGTCGTTATTTGTGGAATCTTGTATGTGGATAACAACAGTTCTAAAACACCGAAAAGAAAATAGTTTTCAACTCTAGACAGTGCTTTTGAGAAATATCATGACAGAAAGGAATCTAACAATGGTAAGATTTTTAGTACTTGACATTTACCGTGCTTTAAGTTTAATCAAAGATACACTATATGAAAAACAATTTGAATTCGAGAGTTTAAAATAGCCGCCAAATACAAACTGACTCAATGAAAAAGAATTCTTCAATTAATATCTGCAGCTGTTCTTCATATTCCACCACAAGATTTTTTATACTTACTTCGTGAACACAATATACTCCAATAGAAACATTTTATTCTTCATTTTTATAACTCGACTGTTATGTGTGCTTTGCGTCGACCAAATTAAGAATCGATCTTGTGCAAGTGTATTGTCCATATAAACCATAACAAACAGAGGCTGGTTCTAGTTTTAATTTTCGATGTTCTTTTTCTACTGTCGAACACTTTTAAGAACGAATATTAACTGAATTAACAAATTACGATTTTAATATAAATATTATGTAGAATTTTACTACAACCACATGCATTTTATAGAGCAAATTTATAACTTCTTAACGTTTATACTTTTTTGCGGCCGTCAAAACTTGCTTTACGTTAATTGGCTGTATAATACCAAACCGAAACAGAAACAACGTATAAAAGCACAACTTCCAAAATTAAAACTTATTTTGATGTATTTTAGTAAGTATGTTTGATGTCACGCCGCTTCTGATTTGGCCAAAAATACTCGGCAAAGCGGTCTTCTAATATTTAGCTCTTTTTCACTGAAACTAGAAAAGAAAACGTGAAGCGATCGAAAAGAAACTAACGAAGAAACCCTTGGAAAACATCAATTCATTCCTATACAAACTTTGGTCTCTGGTAAATGATGACACAATTCCGTCTATACACTGGAGCCATGATGGCGAGAAAGTTGTCATCGAGAATCCTACAAAGTTCACCGCCAAAGTTCTCGCTTCTAGTGATAAGCAACTTTTCAAAACAAACAACATCTCAAGTTTTATTCGACAGCTCAACCTGTATGGCTTTCGTCGTGTAAAGGAAAATTGTGGAAAGGTCCCATTGATATTTCAACATGGATCATTCAAACGCGGACGACCAGACCTTTTAGGTTTGTCAATTTAGGGAGGGAGAAACTGTTTTTGCTTGAGTTAATACTTAATACTTTAAAAAATAAGCTTGGTTGACATTGCTTGATTGACACGGCTGGGGGCGGGGCACAACACGTTGGTTAATTTCGCTTTCCCCGCCTAGTGTTTTTATGACTCGATACTGCTGCAAATGTAATTTGACTGTATAAGATCCCGAATATAGCCGAGGGCCCTTGGCAAAAAAGTAAGCCTAGATATAATACTTTTAAAAACCACTGTTAAAAACGAATAAAGTAATGAGGGTGGATGTGATGTTTTTCTTCTCTGTAGTGGATGTAAAAAGAAAGAGGTCAACACCAATGAAACAGCCCGTTCCTCTCGCTGGTCGTCCACTTTCCACTGCAAAAGGAAGAAAACCGAATATTCAACAATCCCAAGTTCATGCCATGCCAGGGTTCCCCTCATATCCAACAATACCAACTTCTCAAGCTTACTCGTACCTCAATAATACCACTGCCGTACTAGGTAAGAATGCCCCCATGCCTTTTGGCACACCATTCGCAGTCAACCACGGACCAACATTTATCAACCTGGGCTCCCAATCCACGATACTAAGTAAGCCACGGATACAAGAAAGCGGAGTTTCCAAAGATGAAGAGACCAAGGCATCCAGTGCCCAGAAATCTGACGGAAATGACCTGCATAACTTAAAAGTCGCAAATGAACCGTTGTTGAACCCGTGGCAACAGACAGCGTGCTACAATACCATGTTACAAGATCATAAAACATTTACCGCCACCAACAGTTTGACACATAAAGCATTGATGCAAATGCAAGGAAACTCTCATAAATATCCTGCACCTACCTACTTCAACAGCACTATGCTATCTGTTCCACAACTAGGTTACCGTAACTATGGTGACCCGGGAGAGAGTGTATCTTATCAAAATCTACAAAACCATGCCTTGCCTATCAATCCTTACCATCCCTTCTCACCATTCCATGCTCCACCATTTCTAAAACCTATCAGTCTTCCTAGCTCCCCTCAGGTATCTCAATATTCTCCTAAAATGCTGGTGAAGACCGCTAGTCCTATGGCCTCCCCGACGTCGTTAGAATCGTTCAGTATATTTTCTTCACGGATGCCAAAAACCGATATGAACGAAAACATCAATGGATTAACTGCTGACGAAGAGAAGAAATGTGATTTTGATGAGAAAGAATGACTCGTAGTTACTGTAGCGTTGTTGACCACAAAAACTTGAAACAATTTGTGCTTATCTGCTGAACGATAAAAAATCTAAACTTTAAAGTTGTTGAAACCCTCAGTTTTAATTGGGCAAGTTTAATTTATCGTTATTGTTTAGAGTTTCAGTATTCAAATTAGTATTTAATGACAGTATTATATAGTGTGAATGGTAATAAAAACTGTAACGAGTACTGAATATGGTACTAAATGCATGTTCAACTTGTATAAAACGGATTTATTGAGCACCATTGGCAACAAAAACTGAGCAGTTTGCCACAAATTTGCGGGTAATCCTTTGAAGGATTCAGCACATTATGTTAATGCACAGCGATGCACGAATACCATAGTGACTTCCAATATTATACCAAAATAAATCGTTCTCGGTGGAAAATTGAAATTTTAATGGCTTCTATATCAAAAGCGTTGCGACCGAATCAGGCTTTGGGGCCCTACACCACCTCCCTTCCCCCGGGAGCCATGCCCCAGGTTACTTTGAGTGCTTCGCCTATGATTGTAATATTGAAAGTTGCTTTTTAAACTTGAAAGACAAAGAAATAAGTGTCAAGGATAATTAATTACGACATTAGCACAATCAAATTTCCTCAAAGAGCATTCGATTAAAACATTTTCGAGTCCTTAATCAGTTGAATAAACTGATGATTTTTCCAGTATTTCGCTGGTAAAATCGCAGTTCATGAATATCACATGATCTATAAACGCCAGATACACTGGAACCACGTAAAAGTAATTAAAAATGTAAGGCAAGTGGATTCATTTGTCGCTGTGTCGGATACCTGAGAGAGGCAATTCTTACTGTTATTAGAATGGAAGCACTTGTAAAGATATTTCTAATTGCCCTGGAAATAGACGCGTTGGTGCATTCCTATCCACCCACGGTCACGAATTTCAAGCGGAACACGACATCAATAAATATCTAACCACATTACAGTTCAGTCAACTCAAGTCGACAGAATGAATGTGCGCGTTATAATATCAATATTGATGATATTTCTTGGATTTTTTAATGTTGAATGTCGTAGATGTTTTATACCTCACTCTGTCATATCAAGTGCTGCGTTTCGCGAATGCCCGAAAAGCAGACCGAAGTGTTGTGGCACGAGAAGGGATATATGTGCTGTTTCGTGCGAAAATTTGAAATGTGTCGCAGATGGCGACTGTGATGGCTTGGCGTGTTGTAGCAGTCACTGCTCTAGCAACCAGAATTGTTGGCATATAACCACTTGGGGTGTAGTAGGAATTTCTATTGTCAGTCTGTCTATTCTGCTTGTCTTACTGCGGACCTGTAAGTGGTGGCGAAAACGAAAAAATGCCACACAAGATAGCTCTAGAATTTCCAGCGAAGGGCATATGCATAGAAACAGCGAGCCACCATTCGTTCTGTCTGCAGATTTTGAAAATCGTGGTTATACAGCAACAATGGCACCACCATCTTACGAGAATGCTTTACAAAACACGGGATTCAACACCGATAACAATCCCCCGCCTCTTTATAATCTTAATCTACAAACGTTTGTAAATGATTCTTCAACAAATGTCAATGACTCTGGTCGTAATAATTTTGCGGTTAATATTTCTATCAGAGGATCCACCATGTTTAATGATGACTTTCCGCCATCGTACAGTGAAATAAATAATTCAGGTGACAATGGTGATCAGCCTCCGTCATATGGGTCAAGTCAAGGTGTTGAAAATTTGGATGATGAGCCACCGCCTTATAGTTTAGATGAAGGAAGACCAAACAGCCCAGGAAATGAATCCAGGAGCAACTCTTTCCCAACAGACCCAAATATTCCTGAAGATTCTTCTTCAACTAATGCAACTTTAGAATACACTGCCACAGAAATGATGGATAATAGCCCTGAGAACAGGTGAAAATGAATAATAAATGCATATCAGGCTATAGTCTAAAAAGAAGGAAGATTTTGTATCATCTAAAATATCAAAAACTACAGTCGTTTGGAACTTAAAACATATTTCTGGCTCGATCAACTTGTAAAAAGAGAATACAAAATCAGTATGATTCCCACGAAGCTAATATCAGATGATGTTTCATATGTGGTTGCTCTATATCTCTTTTGTTTCTTTTCTGTCATAATTATCTACTATAAGAAGAGTCGAAGCGAAATACTCGGGATTAAAATATTCACCTCAAAATGTTTATGTCGGACGTCATTATATATAGTCAACTTGAAACGCGACACCCATGCAGTAACCGGAGCCCGACGCGAAAACTAAAATTTGGCAACGTGAATGGGACAGCGAACGAAAGTTGTAGCAACAAACATGTCCTTCAACCAATCGTGCTGCCAGACCTCTAGTACTGACGATATTGACTTTGCGCAATGTTGGCAACAGTATGCAGCTATACATCTACAAACTGAGGCGGATGCAAAAACTCTCATGGACTAAAGCCGCGTTTACGCTACGTGTTTGGACCTGGCGTGGACCAGGTTTAGGCCTTGGTGTGAACGTTGTTCGTCTGTATGGCCTAGGCCAGGCCTGGACCTCGTCTGGAGCCAAATGATTTTTGTAATGTGAACGGGCTTTACTTAGTCCTGACCAATTTTCAACTTAAAGTGCCTATACCATGCATGGTTGCGGATTTTGAATATATCAAAAGTTTAAGGTATATTTTAAAATACAATTTATTATAAAATTTTGCAATACATTTTGTTATAAAATTTTGTCTCGATGGATTTATTAGCCTATAAAATTACCGGACATGACGTCAAATCGGGAATTGCAAATCAGTTTTCTTTTGTTTAAGTTGGTCCAGGCCAGATCTAGGCCCCTGGTGTAAACGCGGCTTTTGAGAGCCACGCATGACAGAGACAAGTGGTAACTGTCGGTCGTGAACAATCGATGATCCTGTAGAGGGCTATCATGCACTTTTAGAAATAAGCATGCATGCATACATATTTAAAAATAATATTTTATGTTTCGTTCATTGTTGTTATTTGTGATTTAAATCCATTTGTTGTCATCTGTGTACAGTGTGCATGTTGTTTATAAACAGTGGACCGAATGCAAATGTTCTTGTGGATGAGAGAAACGCCAATATTTCACGAGTTCCTTCACTAATTGAATGGTCAGTTTGTGTCAAATCAGTGCTTTAAAGTTGTACCGTAATACTGCAGAAATCCTATAATAATAGTTGTCCTTATATGACCATGGCTTCATTTTTAAAACTGGCAATATCAATCAATACTCTAGATCATGGCATATATGACATAAACTCTTGTGCATAAGTTGAGTATTTTATAAGAGATTGAGTGTTAATATTGCTTTCAACTTCCCATAAGGCCTAGCTAGTATATTTCGAAGGTAGCTAAACCTACAGCAAGTTCATTCGCAGATTTCGTGATTCCCATGTACTTATCAAATTTGGCAATCACAATATTTCCTCTCCGCAAACAATCAAGTCTTTATTGCGGTGATGGTAAAGGAAATAAAGTAAAAAATTATTATTGTTGCTGCGGGTTACCAAGGAGAAGCCATTCTTCTGAGGGTTTAGCACTTGTACACAGGAACTTATACAATTATAATATTTGCCTTGAGACCAACGCATTCTTCTTTTCTGACAAATCAAAACTTCTTCGCCAGAAGTACCTCATTTAGTATTCCTCCACACATCATTGTGATAACATCATGAACGTGTTATTACTTGTATTGGTATTATTTTCCGTTCCAACAGAAACCAAAGTTTGCAGCGACGATCCGTTGAATGAAAGAGTGATCTTTAGTTGTCGTGAACGATGTTGTGGTATGGCAAGACAGTGTCTACCTTCGTGTTTAAATGTCACTTGTGAGACTTCAAACGACTGCGACGACTTGACTTGCTGCGATAATAAATGTCAGAAAACATCATACTGTCCAAGCAGCAAAAAAACACCGCTTACATTATGGTTATCAGTTTGGTTGGCCTGTGTCGCACTGGTTGTAGTTATATTATTTGGGTTTTGCTGGTGTCTCAAGAAGAAACGTGGACCACTAGATCCGACAATCAATACTGAGATATCAGATGCATTTCTGGAAAAAGATGTGAGCACAGTGAGCTTAACAACAGTTGTAACATGGACGTCAAAAGACAGTGTTCTTGCCTAAATATCGTGTCAAAAGTTCCCGACTCATGGCATGCCATCATCGTGCCCTTTAAAACACGATTTACGCGAACAATACATCTCTTTCACTTAACACCTACCTACAATCATGAAGTGAACAATCAATATCTTTTTGTTTTTTATATTCTATGTTTTCATAACTCTGTAAGGGCGATAACATTACGAAAAGGCGAAGACAGTAGTGACTGAAAATTTTATAAAATACGTATTTTTCATGACTGCTGCTGTATGTATTGTACATACTACCAAGCGATACATTACACTCGTTAGGGTCGTGCATTAGGGATACATTACGCTCATTACGATTTATATATTAAACGGGGGCTTTGATACGTAACTAACCACATACTGAGAAACGGCACAACATGTTTACACTTTGATTGATGAAATGAAAGGAACAAAAATTCGGTACAAAATATATAATACTTTGGATGATAGAGTGGCAATAAAATTTGGTCTTAAAAAGTTTAATTATATAGCTGTAAATTTTATAACAAGAGTCAAGACGCAATTATTTTCATCTGATATTTTTTTAAATTGTCTATATACACTTAATTTTAACAGTGATCGTAAGCCAATCGCTGGGGGTCGAACTTGTTCCACAGCATCACATTTCTGTCGCTATAATCACGGATCTTTACCGGCAGATTTTGATTTGGGATTTTAAGACCGTGCGTTTAAAAATATACCCGCTACGACGTCTACATATTCTAATTGCTCCTCCTCCTAATGTAAATCATTGCTATTATGTTTTCCCCTTTATTTCGTCGCAAAAATATAAATCCTTCAGTGTCTTTGCGGTCCAGGACACTCGCCCTATCACACATGCGAATATCATATTACTATATTCGCTACAAAATTAATATATTTACAATGGCTATCTGCATGAATCATAAACCATATCGATTCTTATTTGCCCACGTTGAAAAGAATGTGTACAAACATGATCCTGCATTGTATGTGAATACCACAAGTACAGCTAGTAATATTGAGATGTCTGCAGATATGATCGTATAAGATCTGCATGATATTGTATCATTTAAGAAATTCACGCGGGTACCGGAATACGCCAAATCGTGTTTATGCCGTTAAACCAGTTCAATGGTTCATGCAAAGATGTGGGTGGGTCGGGAGGGGAGATTAACCCGCAACAATATAAGATTTTACCATTCAGCTGATCCCGTTTCAACACTTCATGTTTACCATCTACACGCATGCATATTCAAATTTTGCATGTAATTTATCACTTAGTCTGAAGATGCCGTCATCTTTCGTGAAGACGAAACATCACTATCATTTTTTTTTATACTTTAAATTGTTGGAATTGTCTCCATATATATCACCATTGAAAACACGCGCCGTTATAGACTGGATCCGATTATCAACGTCGTCGAAAACCTCCGTTTTCGCCCGTCCACATGCACGTAAAGCGCGAAAACGTATCCGGCGAATACGTGTGGACGGGGCGTGCATATATATTGCAATATATTGCACTGATGAAGGCCAGGGTTAACGGACCGAAAGCTTTGCAGTATACAAACACTTACGAGGTTCTTACGTGGTGTACCTACACGATAATTTACTTATTTGATGTCGACCACCATGCAAAATTACAAGAATATTAAACTTGATCTTGTTTATGTGATATATATATATGCTGATGAGATTACTCTCTCGAGTTGAGATCGAACATAATTATATAAGTGCGAATATGAAGCATTACACATTCGCATGGGATGAAACCGCAGCACTGTGGTACGTTTGCTCAAAAAATCATTCTGACAAACAAAAATCACTGAAATCGAGATGCTCGTCAATATCTCGGGTTCCACGTGATGTCATATAGATTTAAGTGGGGGTCAACTCAAAATCTAGCAAATGCAGAATTGGCAAATCAGAGTCGTGTATTTCTGAGTTAACAAGAATTCAATTATGCAAAATGTAGCTAAAGAGTTTTATAAAATCGGCCCCTGGTTTAAAAATGTAATTATTATATATCACGCATTTAAAGTTGTCGAGTAGTAGTTTCAGAAACTACGCAATCACTTCATCTTGAAGTATTCGATAATTCTGTGGATACAGTATCGTCCCCTTGGCTAACGCTACAACATGAACTTTCGTTATTCAATAATTCGGCACCTGTAGAGGCTACCCCAGCACCTTCAACATCCGAGTTACGGCAGGTAGGTGTAGATTGTTCACTGTCATCCTCTGTTTCGGAACTGTTTTCTTGCCCTACACTATCATTACCAAATGCAAAAACTTCAGCAACTCTTGAGGATGCTGTAGTGTTGATCAGTGATTCGTCTGCGGGTATATTACTTTGTGATTCTTCGTCTAAACTATAAGGCGGTGGCTCTTCTTCCATATTTTCAGCATCCTGACTATATGACGGAGGCTGATCACCATTGTCACCTGAATTATTTATTTCACTGTACGATGGCGGAAAGTCATCATTAAACATGGTGGATCCTCTGATAGAAATATTAACCTCGAAATTATTACGACCAGAGTAATTAGTTGAAGAGTTATTTATTATAGTTTGCAAGTTCAGGTTGTAAACTGGAAGATTACCGTCAGCTGTTGCTTCTCTGCTCTGTACAACACTGTCGTAAGATGGTGGCGCCATAGGAGTGATAAAACCATAATTGTCAAAGTCTGAAACAACAAATGGTGGCTCATTGTACACTTGCTCTTCGGTAGGAGTTCTTGGATCTTGTCGTTTGCAAAGTTTCCGTTTGCGACACCATTGACAAGTTCGAAATAAGGCGAGCAAAAAAAATAAACTGACTATAGCAATACCTACGACTCCCCAAGTGGTTACGGGTAAGCAATTCTTGTTACTAGAACATTTGCCGCTACAACACGCCAAACCATCACAATCAAAATTACTGTCGCAATTGAAATTGACACACGATGTGGAACACCTATTACGTCCATTTCGCGAAGTACCACAGCATTTAGGATTCGAAGATGGGCATTTACCATGGGTACCAGGCGATATATAACATTTTCGGCGGCATTGGGACGTGAAAAATCCATGAAATAGTATGAATAACAGGAGAATGGCACGAACATACATTATACCGTGTTAAATTACGGCTTAGCAATCCAAAGGATATTCATTATCAATTGACAAATATCTGTTCAATCAAACCACAGGCATATATCCCAAAACATGACAACAATGGACAAATTAACGCAACCTCAGGATAGAAAACTTCTATCTAGTTTGTATTTAAACTCAACTGGTCTTCTTGTGATAGCGTTTAGTGGAAATTATTTCAAACCGAAGAACAATACTTCTTGCATGACTTCCTCTTTCTTCTCATTATAATTTTATCAAGACAAAAGAGTTCCATAAGATTACATATCATTTAAATTTATGTCGTGACTTTATTATACTGTGTAAACACTTTCATCGATATCGTTATCAAATCCAAGATGATTAAGCAGTTTTGTATCTTGAAAGCGATTTCTACCCTCGAAAATCATATAAACTGAGATAGTTTACACAAATATATACTACACACACAACACGTCACGTCATGTGAATTTCGTAATTGTTTACAGCTCGTTTTGATGGAAATGCTAATATTTAATTGCATGTGGTTTACCGGTAACTAAACAAGTTAAGGATAATTTAAACATCAACACTACCGTTGTCGGAATTACGAGTTGTTCTACCGTACAGTATTACCTATCATTCCATATTATATCTGAATCACAGCAGAATATAGTCCATATACATATTGATCATAGCTATTGTTTAGTATATGATAACATGTTGCGAATAATGAAGTCTATACACTGCCTCCTCCACAGTTAATTTGTAAATACAGTGAGAAAAAACTATATATTGGCTTTATAAGGTACTTAGCTTTTAAAGTGTTTTGATCAACGATACGAATGTTATTAGTTATATAGCCTTGTTTTTAAAAGACAGGTGTCCCAGGTGTTGCAATGTGCCTTTGGACGAAGGATGGATGCCTTAAACCAATTTCAAAGCACATATAGGCATAGATTATTACTGCATTGCTACACACGAACGCTGCTAGGGCATACAATACCTGCTGCTCGCGATTATGCATAGGAAGTTAAAATTACGCCTTTTTAAAATAGTTTATGTTTCTATAAACTACAATGACAAAACGTGTATGAATTTGACAAAAGACAGCCTCTAACTTTGCCATAAAATCCGTGGCGGGCATCATACATGTTGACGTCACAGTTTGTCATGAGGTCCCATCTTAGCTGAACTACACTGAGGTTTCTGCTTTTTAAGAAAACAAACCGAGTTTACTTTTCCTTGTTTTCTAGTAACTGCTTACAATGCCTATCGTAATATTTGGCGCCTATTCAGAATACAGTAACGGCACATTCGGTGGTACGCTTTATACACATAGAAAAAAGCCAGTCAAAACCGCTATCAGACAGATCTTTTTAGTAAAAAAGTTTAATCTGAGGTATAAAAAATTGCCAGGTTCTTTTATGCAGTGGGGTTTACTGTATAGCACTCTTGACATGAAATAAGCTACTGATAGAAATTATTTTTCGTGTTTTTGCACAGTTGTCGAAGAATGCGTCTTGAAACAGCATGTACGTATGTACCATAGTATATATAAGGAAAGTAAATACCGCACGCATGCGCAAAGAGAGAGTATTGCCATGACAATGTAAGTCTAATAAAGTGCTCACACCATATTTCATCGGTTCCCACACTTACAAATATCGAATGAAATCAAGTATTCACCGCCACACTTCTGTCAAGTATAATCCCATGAGATATATAAGTCGAACACGGTCGGGACATAATCAACATACCATTTTTCTTCCACTACAGTGTGTTCTGCAATATACATAAACTTCCGTTTTTTTCATCACCGTGAAATTTCGGTAGTCCAGAGATAAAACCAGGATTATCACAAGGAACAACAAACACAGATTGATGTATTCGTTCTAAGCTCCTCACATCATCGTAAGATTCTTCAGAATTCGTGTCATTTCGATGACGACGAACACAACGTGACACGCAGTACACAATTATAAATAGAAGAGCAAATGCCACAACAACAAATACAATTGCTATGTCAATAACTCCAGGCTGATCCTTTGAACTCATGCCGGAGTATCTTCCAAAACAATTATCCTATGACTATAGGCAGTATATAGCAATCGTAATGGTAGAAGAATTCGGCGCTCCTTGTATATATTTCAAAAATGGATAAGTGCGAGATATGACAGAACGACAATCTGAGAAATCAGGAACAAGCCATGCCAGATCCAGGAGGTGAAAGACATCAATATTTCTTCAATACAATATGAATATCTCTCATCGCAGAAGAAATCCTTACAAATCTCAAAGCGTTGGGACTTGGGTGCAAATTTCGATGTACCTGATTGTTAAGAAACGTTTCCTTTAAATTATACAACCGCGATATTTAGACATAAAATCTCAACAATGTCGGTTGAAAATCCGAACATCCCCCATAAATGTAATTTGTCCCTATATTATAAACATATAAAGCAATATACGGTCTATGACTATGAACGTCATTATAAACATCTATAATTTGCATACGAGGTCTAATTTTGCAGTTATTAAAACACGTCGCGATTGTAGAAAGGGAAAAATGTTTCAGCCGTAAGATGGTCCGTATATAATATGTTGAATATAGCTGTGAAAGCTTCTTCTGCAATTATTTATTTCAATGTTTATAGTGAACAAACATAGCACAAAAAAGATCTCACATTAAACATGTGAATTGCACGTGAAAAGCACGAATGTTAGGAAACTGTTGCAAGCGGTAAGCACGTGTTCAGCATGACACTATATATAGAGGCTGTAGTGGGGGTATTCGCTTATCCCTCCTGGAATCGAAATTGCACAATTGCACGTGATTTATGCCATTCGTTGAGAGGGAAACGAGTAGGAGTCCGAATTTCATAGTGGATAAAAATAATAGCAGGAATTTTTCCTCATAAAAACTATAAGGACGTCAAATTGGGCATATTTTCAAGTTGGGCATATTTCCCAAGCAAGGAAAAACATAGGAAGAAGATTATAGGAATCGTGTTTCGCATATTTTCAAGATAACTAGTTATTCCTATCGACAGGGGGAGGGATAATTACTCCCAGATTAAAAACTGTTTCGATGATCTTGAAAAAGATCATCATGAGAAATTTCCCGCTAAGCGCCAAACATGGTAACCCTGAGTACGACGATAAATATGGATGGTTGTGTCTTGTGACTCTGCCCCCTCTAAAGTTACTATAAATCGTGCCACTAAAGTTTAGAGTGTTATTTAATAGTTTTTCGATAAAAATGTTTATTATTTTGGTGTTTTATAACTTAGATTTACATTTTCTGATATTAGAATGGTCTGTGTTTAATTTAATAAATTGATCAATCCGACAGGGTTGACGTTCAAAACTCATTGCTCAACTATTCATAGTCGATGTTAACGATACTTTACTAGACGTCTGGTTAACTTATTTAGCTACATCAGTCACGTCTAGGAAGTCTTAGTTTCAACGACTGTGCGTGGAGGATAAGGAAGACGATATGGCAAGCGAGCAGGAGACACTAGATATTTTTGAAGATTAGGTCGTTGAAGGAAGGTTTCATAAAAATTCTTCAACTTTGGAAAGTCCTCTAAGATATCCTGTTTCACGTCAGGTCCTGGAAGGTAATTGGTCTGGTATGTTTGACAAACTCGGTGTTCATATCAATAAGTTCAAACATTATGTAATCTATCCAGGTTGAATGATCACCAATAAAATATGACTGGTTACTTTCCTTTTCGAACGATGACGCGAGTTTTTCAAAATAACCCAGCCATGTTGGCAAGATATCAGTGACATAAGAGTTTCTCGATGATATTGAAAAGTTTGGATCATAAAAGACTTTGTTCAGTTTCATACGAAGATCCTCTGCAGAATTACAACAGAACAAGTTCAGTGAGAAGTCTTGTAGAAAGTGGATTATGGTAAAAAGTATTTTGCTGTGACTAATTTTGGCAACTGTATGCAACCTGTTTATGTTAATTTATACTAAATTGTATAAATATGGAATGAATATGGAATGTCTTTTGTCACTAAGCCTTCTCAAAGCATGGTTATGTTCTAATTTCAAAACAAATGTTTCGGTTTTGGTGGCTAAAAGTATTGAAATAAAAGTCAGCCAGTAACTGGCTAACATTTAGGACTTTGCCCCCCCTCCCCAACTCCCTGATACACTCCACAGGCTTTGATCTCTACAAAAATGGGCTTGAAAACCATAAACACCAGATATGGAACATTTATTAGATCACACAATATTAATTATACAATAATATGTTCAATAAATAGGATACAAATCACTGTACTTACCTGAACCTAATGCAATAACTTCACATAAATGGTAATCATCACATTCACAATCCATACCCAATGAACGACCAATATAATGAACTATGGCTGTCAAGAAGGACATGAAGGGTAAGGACAAAATAAAATAAAATTGATTCAATACCAGCTTAAACATTTTCAGTCATTCATGTAATTTTGGCTAACTGGGTGGCTAATTGGGAGTTTCTTCAAGCTTAAATGGTAAAAGCATGCTGATTACCTTGATGGAGGACTTGCAAGCCCCTGTTGTAGTTGTACACTGAACAAACATACATAATACATTTAATGAATTTTGTACATGCACTGCCAATATTTTATACAATTTCATACAAGTTAATTATTGTGATTATTGTTAAATATTGTTGTTAAATAAAGTTAATTATTGTTAAACTGCATAAAAAATTTCTATTTAAATGTAAATACATTGTTTTGTGACAAGTCATTATAAACTTTAACCTTATAACCCCCTCTATTGAATGTATAAAATAATCACTAATAATCACTATTTTGATCACACAACCTTGGTTCTATCTATATTAGACTATAAAAGCAACTAGCATATTGCTGCCAAGAATTCAAAGCAACATGGTTATAGGTATAATATTAATTATATTATACATACCCATGCTTTGGACAAGACTAAAGCCAGACTTTGTTGTGATTGCAGGAACTAAAATTAAAATAAGAAAAACACTTTACAAAATGATGGTTGGAATTGGAAAAGCTTTCTGCTCTGTATACGCTATACCAAATGGGAATTCTTCATTCACCATACCTTCTCTTGTTTTTATATCTTACTCTCTTTTAGTTGCTTTACAAGTTTTTATACTTGGGTTTGGTGTTAAGTGTTGGCATTAGTTTAATTAATTAAGGTTAAAGCAAGTAGTCCAGTCATCCAGGAAAAAAATTATCAATGATCTGATTAGTGTGATCAACATTTGCATTTCTATTGCATTTCTGCCACTCTTACCTAAATTGGTCAGACTAGGAAGAGGTGGAATATCATTGAAATAATTATATTCTTAGTATATTGTTTATCACTTCAGATCAGTTAAATTAAACCACAGAATTTAGCCACAAAATTGGCCAATCGCCTGTAGACATGTAGTACGACTGTAGGAGTTTTATACAACTTTCAACCTGCCCGGATACGACCGAGTTATACCTTGTCCAAAAGTGAGTACCCCATTCTTAATTCCGGCCTTCTTAATTTCCACCCACTCATCTTTATTGAAGTTAACTTCAGAGTAAGGAATGTTATTATCTTGTAAAATCATTCGAATACTCTCAGCTCGACCACGTGTTTTAAAATATTGCAAAGTGAGTTCTTCTATATTTGGTGCAGAAACGCAACCATAGGATCCGAAGATCGCTTTATCTAGGCTGTCAATAAGAACCTTGGATCGCCCGCTGTAGTATAGAGCAATTATTGCAGCGATGAAACCAAAAATTAACTGTGTTCCAAGAGCCATGGTTGACAGTTTTGAAAAAGAACTCAGAAATGAGACATTGGAGACAATGGACAATAGTACTGACGTCAGTACGTCAGACTTTATGTGGTAACCGCTGCTGCATGCGCATGCACTTTACAAACATGGAAAAAGCTCATTTTCAATGACACAACCAGGGCGCTTGACACAACTGCACAAACTCAATCATTTCAACATTTCCTTAACATTGTTTTCAGACTCGAGTTTCATATCTCTAAGCCCAGGGAGACCAGGGAGAACAGTTCGGAACTGACAGAGCTATCCGGTATGAAAAGAACTGGATCTCTAAGTCTAAGTCTAGGACATACAGGGCTCGATACAGGGCATCTAGTTCCGTTTAAGCTTCCTGCTTCAAAGCACTGGATTAATACGAATTACAACAAAACACCGAAATATTTATATAAATTTGACAAATTGACATTTAAAAAATATTTAATCTTTTAATCCTCGGCCTCAGGCTCGGGCAAGGAATCTTTAACCACAGCTGGGAAGGTTTTGCTTTCACAACACAGAATAGAGTAGATTGTACGAAACAGAGAAACGAATGATCTAGAGCAAATATAAGAAATGTAAGAATAAGTGAAAAACTGATTGTTAAAAGTTGCAGCACAGCAGCAGGGTTGATTTAATGATTTTTGCAGCATCACACTTTAATATCTAATTGTATATAAATGGGTGAAGGGAACAAGCTTGACGAGTTCATCAGAAAATTTCGGAAATTTACAACTGGGTATTCTGGACGATATCACATCGGTAAGATGACCAAATTAAAACAAGGCTTTGGATCAAGAACAACGCTTACTTATTACTTGTAGGACACTCTCGTAATAACGGCAACATTGTCTCCGCAATCTCTCTTCTTAACTGGATTTGACTAGCCATGATCTTAGCGTCATAGGATAGTTTGATCAGAGTTCGCAGTTCCTAAAAACGATCCGTAAAAGAGATTCAATCCTTTACAGTAAAAATGAGATCTGAGAAGTAGGAACCAAGTCACTGCCAAAAATTGGCATATACCTGTATATCCTGATACGAAAAGCATCCATCTACGTCTGTTTTTGAGAAGTCGTTTTTGAAGTTTAACTTGCCATTCACTATTTCATGTTCTCCAAACGATGCGACATTGTGATCAGGTAGTGGACAATACGTGCTGAGATAATCTAAATCTGTACGCTTACTCGTATTAGCAAAGTTATTCGAGGTAACTCAGCCTGTAATCCTAGCAAAGTCTGGATTTTCGACTGGTTTTACTAAAGAACAAGTATCTCGTAAATTTCATGTATACTTTTTACTTACTTTTCTTGATAATTTCAACGTCATGGTTCAACTGTTTAAATTTTAAGTCTGTCGCTCTCCAAGCTTCCAAACTCCCAGATGACTCGCTTGCACAATGCATACGCAGTGCAATTAGCTTTATTTCGCTAAGAAGTCCATTATATTCCTCCTCAACTCTGAGCATCTCTTCTCCCAATTCAAAGAAACTTTGAAGGTTGTTCAGAACGGGATGAAATAGCTTCTCAGTTTTCCCAATAAATTCTCTTTCACTTTCCGTTTGTGACAATGTCAGAGCTTTTCTAATTCGTCGCAGAAACGCTTTATGTTCTTTACACGTTTTTTTAAATTCAATTGGCATAGTCAACGTTCCCCCCTTCTCCGAAATTAGAAACTTATCATCTACCAAAGCTGTTTTATTAATGTCCATTTGCTGTGTTTTACGGCTAGATGTGTCTTCAGTTAGACCTGAAGGACCAATTTCACCCAGGCGTTCTTTAGTCTTTTTTGTTTCAGGAGGTTCAAGTTTTGTCGTTTGGACTTTCTCTGGTCGTCTTGATGCGAAAACGTCTTTGTTTATATTTAATGACCTTTTAGTTCCTGGTATAAAAATAAAGTTAAAAGGCTTATCTTCACAAGAACCAGACAAGGAGTCTCTACAAATACTGAATCTCTTTTTTTAGTTAATTACCTGACCCCAGGGTCTTAGCTCTGGCTGGTTTTGTGTAAGAAGCAGAATAAGTACTCCTGGCTGACTGTGGTTTTTTGACAATTGGATATGTGATTTTTGGTTTGGTTTCCATTGTGCGAGATGTTGGTACATTGGATATCTTTGAAGTGGAATGGGATTTCTTGTTTGGCTTTGTCATCTGCGTATCAAGCACAGGTTTTACAAAACATTGGAAAAAATAATATGACCTGGTAAGATGAATTTCATCCTAGAAATCTAATTTAAAAATAGAAAAGAATTTTCCAATAACCTTTTGTTGTATATCTCTGGCATGTTGAGCTTTGGCCAAAATATCATCCAACATAGCTAATTCTTCTTTTTCTTTTACATTATCATCATCAGTGAAAGGACTAGGCACTCCTGAATATACATACAAATAAAAGATATACAATTTCTTAGAACTGTGTATATATTACCTTTACAATTATATATTAAAGCCCATTTACCAGACTTGGAGCTTTGCAAATAACAGGAAGTAGAAAAATATTATGATATTTTTATGCTAAGATCTGTATCATAAAACAACACACTATAGTTCAGTTGTTTGATGGTAAGGATAGAATGATATAGGGAAGATCTTCCTTATGGATTGCAAAGATTAACCAGTCTGGCCTATCATGCATTACCATATGAAATATAAAACTAGCTATACCATCATCATTTTTAGCAATTTGATTGTCGCAACTGCCCATTTCATTAACCAAATTACTAGGCCTAAAAAAATAAAGGTTGCAATTAAACATTTGCAAATGACTTTATATAAAATGATAAATGTTTTTAAAGACATACCAGGGATTAAATAATTCCCGACATTGACTACAATGTTTTTCTACTGTATCTCGCCTTTGCTTACACTTTTCTGTTATTCTTGAGATTTCATACTTTAATCTATATAGAAGTAAACGTTTTCTACAGTTTTATTGGAACCAAATCAGGTATTCACTATTCAGGTATACTTATTAATTTAAATACGGAAAATGGATATCAATTTGACGTTAAACTGATGCCTAACTTTCTTGACCTACAACATGCAAAAATTAAAAAAAAAGAATTCACAACGTACTGACGTGATTCTTTACATATATCCTCTATGAAATCATTTGTACTACCAGAATCCTGGATTTTCATTTTGGCGGCCATATTGGATTGATTGCATTGACCACTGAGCTCTATAGGAAAGGTTAACAAATTTCAGTACGTTCAATCACGGGTGATTTTCTCGAGACTGAAAAAATTCACATTTAAAAAACGTCAACGAAATAACATTACCATATTACCATGTTGGTAAAATTAATTAACTCTCTCATGCATTATTAATTTAAAATAATGCTATTTAAATATTTTAATTATAATAGCATGACGCAAGTGAGTCGTAAATTGGAAAACATCGTTAACGTTACCATGCATGAATTATTCTGTTAGATTTAAAAGCGGCAATAGTATTTAAATGAGAAACCGACAACAGAACAGTCACGAACATCATGTCACGAACATATTTTTATCACCTCTTCTGTTTCAATATACTTTTTGTTTTTTCTAAAAGCTTGTGTTGTGAGACAAAATGCTCGCTTTTTAAAAATGAAAATGATTTGTCAAAAAAGTTTCAGCTTTCTCTCGCAGAAGAAGGGGTACGGATTGTTTATCTGAGGTTAGATGCTAACAATGTCAGCGATGGCTACAACTCAATGCATTCAGACAGAATAATGCACACAAGATGGACTTGGGCACAAAGCAACAGTGAACCACTCCTATCGGTGTCCTACGACTATGATGTCTTGTCACTAGGTCTCTTAAAAAACCAAGTAAAAGATCTCACTTTGGAGATGACACTGGCGCAAAAGCAATGCCTGGAGGCTTCCAATTCAACATTTCGCGACGAGCAAACCGCTAGAGCTTTGTTGAACATTACAAACAAAAAATACAACAAAGATTTCACAGTTAAGCATGATGTTGTCTGCTTTAGATTGCTGCGAGAACACTGGTTTGGAATTGGTAGTCACTTTAAATATAAGTGTTGCAAAGAGAGGCCGCGGGAGAAAAATAAAAATGGAACTTCTATTGATTGCAATGTCCCTGTTAACGAAAGCAGGTGGCTAGCTGTTTTCAATGCAATATTAGCAATTTTGGTAACGGTTACTGTCTTATATTGGCCATGGATTTTTTATTTGCTACCAGACTCTTTTTTTACAACGATTCCAGTTCGTGACTCCCAAACTCAAGCGGAAGAGGGAACCGCATGCAAGGCTACTGTTGACACAATATCAGCACGCAATACTTTCCTGCCGTTGGACGATTTTAGCCCAATTACACTTCAAACACTTCTTCAAAAATTTGGAGATATGTACCCAAAGAATATGTTCGACATACGCGTGAAGCTATTTCTTGTTTGGTTTGGTTTTATTCCCCTATTCTTTTATATAAAATTACTCCTTTACTTCATAATTAAAGGCGATAATTTCGATGAGACCTCATCCAAATTGCTATTTCAAATAGCCGATTTTTATCTCTTTGTCTTCAAAATGAAGAAACCTCTTGTATACGTGTTGTTTATCATGCCGTTCTTTGTTATTCCTTGTCTTGCGATATTCTTGGTGCCGACAAAGATCGGGCATCAAAGTGTAATTGAAGCCAACAAGAAGTCTAAGGAAAAAATTAAAAGGCATTTGAAAGTAGAAATTTTAAGGATCACAAATGTGCTTCTACGGGTGAGCACATGTAACATTTTTGGTAAATTTGCTTGCTGTAAGACATCCATTGCATCCTTATGTTCTGTTGTGCATGTGTTAGTTGTTTTTCCTATATGCACGTTAGTTGCGGTTGTCTTTTCAATAATCAGTTCAATTTCATGTTTAGCGATATTCTCCCCATATTTAGTTTTTCTATGCAAATTGCTGCTATCCAATAAATCTTCCCTCCACTACAGAATATTTATGTTCTATTCAACTATAAGCGCGACAATCGTCGTGACGTTCTCCTGTCAGTTCGTCGTCCGAATGTTAGGTTTTGTGATAATGGGGATCATTCTAAATGCTGAGTATGTCGTACCTTACCTGACGTTCGCTTTTGTTGTCACAAGTAACATTAATCATTGCATCTGTAACACTCAGAAAAAATATAAAGAGCTGAAGAGTATGATTGCCAGGCCGTTCAAGACTTCGAAAGACGACGATACAATAAAAACAATACCAAAGGAATTATTTTGGTCTGTCTCGAAAAAAGTTCTCCCCATTTCCAACGAGATCTTTCTACTGGTTGGACAAATACTGGCAATTTTGGTATTTCTTTCTATTGCACTAGTCGCAATTCTTCTGTTCAACGTAACATACGGTCCGTCGGCAATAGTATCAACCATTTCAGTCTTTATAAGTGGAAAATTTTCAGAGCTGTTCTTTACGAGAATCACATCTGGATCAGAGTTTGCTGGCTGGGACAAGATCGACTTAGAAACAGAGATTACATCAGAGCTAAAGGAATTACACCCCAACATTCCAGCGCATATGGAAACAGAAACCACCGAAATATAAATATTCGAAATATGGATTACGGTTTTCCGAATATTGGTTTTTCAAATGTTTTTAAAATGCTCGTAAGCAGCATAGATAACAAACAGAAATATGCATGTGTACCCGTAACAATTATAGGTAAAGAGACGTTTGTTTAAGGATACCAAGGATAAATCTACGTTGTAAAAATCTACAGAGATTAAAAATCAATGGGAAAGTACCTTATCATACTCTATAGAAGTGATTGTCAAATAGTAACTGCAAGATATTTGGAAGAGATATGTTATACCTGTTATCACAACGGAGAATGTTTTATATACTTGGTAGTGTCACTAGTGTGGCTTCCTATATATAGCTTGTGTATTAATTGTTGTACATTACATTGTCTGTTATTGAAACTTGCCCGTTTTTTCGATGAATCGGAGAACGGATTTGTCAGACCCTTAATTAGAAAGAAGCTGTATATTTAACCACAGAACATAACTGCGAACTTCTATATAACAAGTTCAGCAGAGTTGAGTCAAAAGGTTGAGGGGATCCTTAAATCCTACTGAATATTTAAATGATAATACTTTTAATGGCAAAAATGTGCTATCATATGCAGAATTAATTTATAATCCAGAATGAATACAGAATACATTAATAACCCAGAATGAATACAGAATGCGTTCTGTTGAATACCGGATTTTTTTAAATATCATACTGAATATAATTCCAATTTTAATGTTGCGCCTTACTAACTCTGCGACTGTCTTCATATATTCAATTATTTTTACAATCATTTACTTCATGCATGCTGGCGTTTCCCAGTGAGCTTCAAATATTCTGGAGTAAGAACGTACGTCCAGAGAGGGAACAAAAAATGCGCAAACTGACTTTATCGTCAATGGACTTTAGATCTCTTTCAGCAGTGCTCGGAAAAGTATAGCTGGATAGTATAGCTAAGGCTGTACTACCAAGGAGCTTTATTTAATCCGCGTGTTTATCACAAAATAAGACGCCATCTTGGTTCCCTTATCAGTGAAATATTTGAGGTTCTTAGGGCCTAATTCCATGCACGGGCGCTTTTTCTCGACGATTTTCGGCGAACATTTCGCCTGTTTCTTTTGGATTTCGACCACTTGAATAAATTAATTCGGCTTCATTGCTCACAATTCAAAAGAAGCAGGCGAAATATTTCGAATTTCGCTTGAAAATTTCGCCCGTGGAATTAGGGCTTTATAAGCCCATTTCACACCAGCCCAGAGCCCAGGGAAAATGAGCGAGTTCTGCCCCTCTGTTGGGACTCCCAGGCTTTTTCCTATCAGTATTCTCTAACTATATTCCTATAGTTTCTCCTCGCCCCCCCTCCCACATTCGCTAACCTGTTTTACTCCTGATATACGTGGAACTCACTGGTGGCCAATCTTTATCGCATATATGTCGCCTAAGATTTAACTTGAGTTTTTATATTTCAGTAACTTTTAACTCATAGGAGATTGTCAGCTATATGTCTCACATATATGAATATCATCATCCGCTAAGTCTACAAAAATACTCTTGTGGAGTTTTTTTGGATACATTTTTACTCCATTTTAACTCTAGAGACACGCCGGGGTAACGGCCACAGGATGTGATATATTATATACACATGTTGTCCCTTTCGTTCTGAATAAATTCCCTCTTCGATTCAGATCCACGAGATTTACTCTATGCCAACGTCGAAAAGAGAATTCGTCCTGAGATTTTCTTGCCTTTCAACACGATCTGAAGAGAGAAAATGATCTATCTATACCTTGGCCTCTCTCCTCCGCAGAGGCTTCGAATGTAAATGCGCTAGCTAGATTTTTAAAGATGACCGCTGCTGCTGAAATTAGAAACGCGGGCAACAGCAGCGGTCATCTTTAAAAATCTAGCTAGCGCATTTGCATTCGAAGCCTCTGCGGAGGGGAGAGCTTGTTAACGGTCAGCGTAAGACATGCATGAATTATTTGTATTGGCCGGTTGAATAGAGCAATGTAGATTCTTTGCGAGACGTGAAAGAAACTTACAATGAAATGAAGACGGTTAGTATTCAGTTGGAGCTGTTTTAATTATTACTGCATTTGAAAGTATAAAGGTGAACGTACAAAGATATAATAATACTTACACAAAGATTCGCAAGTTTTCTTATCGGATTTGAGTTGCATTGTCGAAGGACATCTGCAACTTCTTCTGAATCCTGAGAGAGGGCTGATCAAGCAGATATGACTGCAGCCACCATTATATGTGGCACACGGATTATTCATTGCTACAAAATAATAGAAAAGTAAATATTGCTGGTTTGCAATTCTCGCCATCCTATAGTTGACTATTCAAAAATGTGTCGAAAAATAATTGGTGTGAATGTTTTCCATGAAAAAAAGTAATAGAAAAATCAAATGTCTGTAGACAATAGATTCACTCACCAGGCTGACGAGACTTATCAAACACAACCAGCTCCATGGGACGTGCTATGGGTTTGATGACGATAGAATCCCTTCTCTGAAACATGTTTACTCTAAGGATACCTTGTGTATGCCAGTCAGACCAGTAAATAAACTGTTGATAAAACGTGAGGGCGAATGGATGATGTATCAGCTCTCTTCTCAAGAAAGGTATTCGTTGCCCGCCATTCACATGCATTTTTTCAATCTTATCGTAATACGAATCAGCCCAGTATAGAATATCCCTTGAGTAATCAATTGTCACTGCATTTGGTTGCTTGATACCAGTCTCCACGACTTTACGACGTGTGTCTGGATCACCATCCATTGAGATTTTCTCAAGACACGGCCTTGTTCCCCAGTCTGTCCAGAACAAATACCTAAGGATTAGGTGGAAAAATCAGTCAAACTGCTTAACCGTAAGCAAAACCCACGAGCAAACCATGGCAGTAACCCGTGCAAGGGAGCCTCCGTTTTCCTAGAAAAACGTTTTCAGAAAAGTCGGTTTTTAAAACAAACTGCATGCCCGTCTCTCTTGCCTTTGGTCTGATCTATATCTATTTTAAAACATTATTTACTAATATAACCTACCCTGATTTGGGATGTAAAGCAATGGATCGCGGTTTGTCACTTTTTCTCCTCATAGAAGCAATAGTATAACGATAGGTTCCGTCAGTATCAATAACTTCAATTTTCTTAAGATAGCGATCAATCCAGTAAATCTTATTGGTAACCCAGTCGAACGCCAATCCTTGCGGCGTGAACACATATCTATTCGTGACTGTTTTCGTCCAAAGTACGTCACCATTTGCTTTTAGAGCAGTTTTCATAATAGCATTTTTTCTACTGTCTGCCCAGTATATTATACCATTCTTAACATCAACGTCAAGTCCTATAACTGAGTTAGCTTGTGCAATTACTTTGAAGTCGGAACATCGCTTTTCCCCCTGCAGTATGCACGAGGCAACATGGCGCTTTCTATCACCAAACACAAGACGAGGAACTTCAGCCACTGTTAAAGATGAATGAAAGAAAGTTCAAGACCTCTTTCTGGTCGAATCCTGCACCAATATGTTCGCATTTGGCATTGTGTTTGGTCTGTTAATACTCATTTTGATGCATTTAAAATATACACGAGTATACTTACAACAATATTCTTCATCAGTACCATCATCGCAGTCCACTTTGCCGTCACATCTCTTCGATGCAACAATACATCTGCCATCGCAACGAAACTGTTTGAGTGAACAGGAGGCAGCAACTAATCATATTAAATTAAGTATAGTAACATGTTAAGAATACATATTTCCAATTTTCCATGACCTATTATTAAGATGTTCAAGACTTCATACAAACATCTCACTAAACAAACTCTGATGAAAGTGCCTTACTTCTGTTCGAACACGTGCTTCCATCAGGACCTAATCGCATATCTCCTGGACAGGCACATGAATGATCGGACCAACTTGATAACAGACAGAGATGACTGCAACCTCCATTGTTGTTTGAGCAATTCGTGTGCACTTTATTCAAGAAAGACATAATGAAAATTCTCATTTGTGTATAAACTTTATTTGTGTATATAAACTTCATGGCGTTGTAACATCGAAATCACGAAATGGGACTCGATGCCAAGCTTGACATGCAATATTGCTTCTGTTTTAAATATTTCGGATGAGATAAAGGACTGATTGCTAAACCATTGCTGGATTCAACATACCTGCTTTATGTTTTTCTCCATCAATTAAAGCAATTGCGAGAGGATAACTAGAGTAACTCCGGGATTGTATTTGATTTTTATTCCATGATTCTTTTTCAATCCTTTCTATTCTACCATTATCCCAGTTTGTCCAGTAAACGTATTGCGAGCTTACAGCAATGGAAAATGGTGAACCGACGTTTTGTTCAGTCACTACTCTTCTCACTGTCCCATACAAATTACATCGTTCTATTTTGCCCAACTTTGCATCAGCCCACCACAGGCTTCCTTTCTGGTAGTCGATTGCTAATGCATTTGGCCATTCTATATTTTTATCAATTATTACTGATCTTGTTTCTGCTTTACCATCCATGCTAATTCGTGATATCCTTGCTTGACCACCCCATTCTGTCCAATAAAGATACCCCCTGAAATAACAAATACACTTATAGCGTAACCAAATGATGAGGACGATTTTGCGGTATAGATCTTTGTCAGTTGAAGTTGACTACAGTCGCTCACAAAGAAGACTAAGAATTTGAGCATGGTGCGTTTGTAGTAGTCACCCTTTGGAATATATAACGTCACGTGAAACCCATGGATACGATCACACACTACTTTGTCTAAAACTGGTTTTCCACTAGCGATATTTTTCGCGCGAAGCCTAAGAACTTATAAGATCATAGCCTCCTGGTTCACTCCTGGTGTGAGGATATTAATTCTTAGTATAGCATAATTAACTAGATTTTGCTATTATTAATATAAAGGCATTCTTACCCGGCAGGGTTAACTACAATAGCACGTGGGTTGTGCAGATCTCTTGAGATAAAAATCTTTCTATTTTGTCCACGCATACCAGCAACTTCGATAGTCGACGCTAAACTGTCTGTCCAATATAACTTCCTTGTTACCCAGTCGACAGCAATTCCTTCGACTCTACCGAGATTGGAGGATATGACTGCTTGAGAGAGATAGCCATTGATACTTCCTCGCCTGATTTGTTTCCGCCTTACGTCACTCCAGAAGATTTCCTGTGATTGCATGTCAACATCAACAGCTACTGCTGCATGCAGTCTCGTGAATATGTTTTCTGAGGAGCGCAAATCCTCTGAAAACTTCATGATTTTCGAACCTGCAGTGACGACCAGCGAAACGGCTTGAACTACAAATTGGATGGAAGTAATATTAACTAAATAATTTTTTTATCAATATTAGGTTGCTGCTGATTCATGGTTATAGTTAAGAATAAAAATCAGAAACGGTCAGTTAAAGACATGAAGTTTTGTTTTACAGGTTATGGTAAAGGAATACGATTGCTATCACTGGGTTAGAGTCTCACATGCAAGAATGCTTGCGTTGCATTCAGTTGTTATATAGAGGTCAGCTAAGGTAAAGGGTGTTTTTTTGGGGGAGGGGGTTTCACCCCAAGCACACCCGCGCATGTATGTCTGCAGTCTATTCTTATCACGACCAATCATTTAATTCATGTAAAAACAAAAATAAATAATATAAACTTTTGTATAATTACCACAGCCGAGTTCATCGCTTCCGTCTGAGCAATCCCTTTCTTTATCGCATACCCAGTGATTTACTATACAACGTCGTGACGTCTGACATGTGAAATATCCTTCATTACAACCCTGAGACTGTGACTGTGCGGGTCTCGTCGGTCCACCTAAGATCATATGCAGTTAAAACTAAGAACTTGTTGAACATTGTGAATGGTTTAAACTCATGCAGTGTGTAACTGCCATCAATGTGAGCGAGATAAGCATGCTGAAGACGGTGCTACACTATGCAACTCTCCTTGCAACTTGCAAACTCTACTCGCATCTAAAGTTATCAAACACGAACATTTCTTGCTAACGTTTTCTTAGCATTTCGAAGACTCTTTAGTAATTAACATCCCTCAAAATTATAATTGCAAGTTGCAAGGAAAGTTGCATAGCATAACAGCGCCTTAACAAAAACCGCGTTTAAGAATAGTGGTAAAATTATCAGAGTGAGGAATAGTAGATAACATAAGAAAAATGATCATTTCTTACAATTTTGTTCGTCAGATTCATCATTACAATCATAATCTCCGTCACATCTCCAAGCTAGGAACGTACACTGCTTACCAGTTGCACATGGAATTTGATTGCTTGGACACGCTATTAATATGTGAATATATTGATGTGAGCAAAAAATTTAGTCGAATCGACTCTTTTGTTTAATTAATGAATATATTATATACTAATAATGACGATGTTGTTTCAAGAATTCGTTTGAGTGGGAAGACCCTTAGTGGACACTTTTTGCCACCGCTTTTAAAGAGGAAGGAGCACTGGGGGGCATTAGGTAGCATGTTGCCATACAGGATGTATAAAAAAAACTGCAACCACTTAATATTCATGTATGTTCGCTTTTATTCAATAACAAAGATTGTAGGTCCCTGTCCCTGAGAATTATTAGAATTGCAGTTTTTTATACACTCTGTATTGCCCCCCCTTCCTGCAACATGCTTCCATCAATGACGACTGTCTGGAATTCTATTTTACTTGACTATAGTTTGAAAAAAGACTTACGTGTAGGTGCGAGACCACGCACGGGTTCCTGTGTTGTGGCTGAGGTATAAAAATGCTTGAAAATCAGTTTTTTAATTACGTGCATATAGTCTTATATAGTATATAGTCAAGTGTATGGCACCATGATATAGTGGCTATCGATGCCATTGACTGACGAACACTCAACTGGTCTATTTTTACAATGATACCTACTTGCAGGTAGTTCTGTGGTGCTGGTGCTCGTGGTTGTGGTTGTGGTTGTAACTTCTAAAAGAAAGAAAATTTATATAATAGAGACAAATTGTGTATTTTATACACAGAAAATAAAAAATGTAACCATTATTTTTAGGGGGTTCACGTCGCCCGAAAACCTTAGTATCTGCATGAAATCTGTATTACCTGAACAATCTTGTTCGTCTGTTCGATCTGTACAGTCTGCTATTTTATCACACAGCCATACTTTTCTGATACATTGCCTCACGACCAGACACTCAAACTGATCTGGACCACAATAAGATGTTGTTGGCGCAACTGTTGTCGGTCGTCGTGTAGTTTCTTCTTCTGTCGTTGTCAATGTTGTAGTCGGAATTGTAGTTGTTTCTTGTGTTGTAGTTGGAGGCTTTGATGATGTTGCACTGTCACCTATATTAAATAAATAAAGAAATATTAGCTAGAAATTGCCACTTGAAAAATTGTACCATGATCAATGAAACACAAACTTCAGCTTTTAATTTTCATAGTAGATTTCATCCACATTAGAGACCTGAAACTTGGATCACTACACATTTCTCTTACAAAAGGACTTCTTACCACAAAATTGTTCATCAGTTCTGTCATTACAGTCATTAAATTGATCACATTTCCACGATCCTGGAATACACTTGTTATCACAATGAAACTCATTGCCTGGGCAACGAGCTGCAACGGTAGTTGGCTGTCCAGTGGTACTAGAGCCTGCAACATAAAAACAATCGTATAGTTGTTTGATTTTATCCAAAAAATCTCTGCAAAATATAGTTAATATATTTTCGGCGCTTCGTTATAATACGATTCTCTTCTACGATTCTTGAACCCAGCCTTCACCAAATAAAAGCCACCACCGTATAAAACAGCTGTCTGACAACACAGTTCTCACGAGAAGGCTGATAAAATATCCTTAATTGTCTCGAAATCGCAGAAACAAAAAAAGGAGTTTTGCAATAATAAGGCTCCCATATCATTATTGTTGTTGCCATACCACAATCATTTTCATCCGTCCCATCCTCACAATCTGTAGTTCCGTCACATTTCCAATTACTTGGTATACAGCTAAGTTTAACGCGACATTCAAATTCACTGGACAAACATGTTGATTCAGTGGTATAGACGGTTGTGGCTGCGGCTGTTGCTGAATAAGAACTTGAGCCATCTAACAATAAAATATTTGGTTATATATAATATACAAGCATGATTGATGGGCATCTCGCATTAATCTTTGACTCTCATCTTTTTTTTTACTTTAAGACTAAACGGGACGGTGGAAAGTGTTTAATCATTGAAATTGACTAAAAATGGCCTCTGCAATAAGAGTGAGTGTATAATCTGTGCTAGCGGTTCGCTCTTTGCTATATTCTGGTGCGAAATGCGTTGCCAGGAAGTTAATGAGCGTTGAGTGTGTATAGGTACGATATAGAGTAACCAGTGGGGACTAGAAATAGTTCATTAATATGGCAAGGACTTTGCCATGCACATACCACAATTGCGTTCATCTGAACCATCTCCACAATCATCAAATTTGTCACAAATCCAAGACGTCGCCAGACATTTGCCATTATCACATTTAAATTCGCAATTTGGTTTGTTGGGACCTAAAATAAAGAAACAAGGTCACAATTCCAATTGGTCACGAGGTCCAATTCCGTTAGATTTTGTATCCTTCTAAACTGAGTACGATTCACTCAGACACACCAGGCCCACAGGCATGCAAAGGTGGCCATAACTGCAACTGATGAATGCATGGAAAGCTACTATACATAAGTACGTATAAATAAAGTTGTTAAAACTCTTGTTTAATCGGTTCTTAGTTGATGATAAATCCAGCGGCTCTTAATTAGCTGAATCGGTTAAATATTTGGAGTTACAAAACTTACATATTTCTCTACGTTCGTCAGAATTATCACCACAGTCATCATGTCCATCACAAGACCAGGACGTTAAGATACATTTTCCGTTGGAACACCTGAATAACGACGATGAACCACAGCCAGCTTGAGAACCTAAACAAATCATATTAAAAATAACAAATCATATCATATTAAAAATATCAAATCAAATCATGCTCTGATCAGTGATAATCACACACATGCATAGGCTCTATATTAGATTATTATAATTTAAAAAATGCTGCACGCCAATCCGTCTCACCACTCTCATTAAAAAAAACAGCGAGTTTAATTATTAAATATAATCTATTGGTCCTCGAATCTTTTCTTACCACAAGCATTTTCATCCGAAGCGTCAGGGCAGTCGTTTGCTGCATCACATTTCCAGGAATTTGGTATACAAAAACTGTTATCACGACAGGCGAATTGGTCGCTTCGACAAATTTTACCTGAACGAAGCAAAATTAAACAAACGTAATAAACATAATCGTCAAGGAATCATTTCAAGAAATGATCACCTTCCTAAGCTAATTAAAAGACTCCCACTTTGCATGGGCATTCTCAGGGAAATGAGCAGTTAAACATTTTAGGAATTTAAAGCCATATGCATTTACACTGAACTTTTAAACCAATTTTGGAACTGCAAGCCCAATACATTTACACACAAGTTGAAAATTCTTAGTAAAGCTAGAGCAGGGATAAAATTTTCATCTGCACTCATGCATGCAAGAGCCGAGTAAGGTTAGAATTAATTGGTACAGATTATACCATTTAACCCTGCCGTATACCTGAAATATGCTGAAATGCAAAATATGGCCAAAGACTATCGTGCATTTGAGATCTGTAGGAGTATGAAGAACAGGTATATCTTTCATGCAAATGTCAGTTTATCAAAGCTAAATAACCTTTGCACAAAGTATAATGGAATGGCATTACATTGCGTGACTGCACGGAGAGTTTATGAAGACTGAAGATTTTAATCTTCATAAAGAATACTTAAAGTAAGGGGAAATGTGAAGTATCCAAAATCATCAACTGTCAATTATTTCTTTCAATCTTGTTAGATTACATGGGGTCACCATATAATCTCTGTATGCAAACCGAACACATTAGGCTGGGGGGGGGAGGGAAATTCCTGCAGAATCAATATCCTTCCTTTAGGTTTATCATTCATAGGCAGTAAACTTGCTTTTCGGAAACTTAATTAGAAGACGAAAATATTATAATTTGGTATTGCTTAAATTCTCCCTCACCACCATCATAAAGGTAGCTAAATGTCCGCGTCACGGTTAAAAATAGTCTTTATCTCATAGGGGTAGGGTTTTTCCGAGGATGCTGAACAAAGTGACTGTTCTTTTTAATGATGGCGTAGGGGGCATGCTGCACTCTTCGCAGAAACGTTTCACCTAATCACCTTCGAAAGAGATGTGTGTTTGAAAGTGTTCCATCTGTCAAATCTGGCAGTTGAAAACATTTTAAAGTGAGAAAAAACGTAAACTCTGTCGTAAGTAACAGGTAATTATAGGTTCGGCAAAATTTCTGGAGAGGTTGATAATCCTATATGTGGTTAGACTTCTCGAGAGCCTTTAAGTCCCTTGTCGAAAAATATCCTTTTCAGATGAGAGGACACGAGAGGCTGTTATAAATCAGTACAATTTCTACATTTTGTTTATTCTCATATAAATCACTCTAAAACTCTTTAGGGATTCTATATATACCTCGATCTGTGAAAGAGTTTTCCGGCTTTGGAAGGAAACTGAGCATGCTGATCGTCCCTCTTACTCGAGAAAGAATTCTAATAATTCCAGTAATTTTAAATCAATCAATGAAACTCAAAGAATATTTGCTTGTTTTCGACGGACTATAAATAACTGTAAAAAGTGCCGTGCAGGACCCCTATTCTAAGGAATTTTTAATACTGCACACATATCAAGTATCAAGTACCAAAGTTGAAACATTGAGGTTTGGATTCGCGATGTAGCCTCGTGTAGTTCGTAGTTGAAATCGCCAACACAGATATACCGTTTTATATACATGTCACAACACAAATATAGGTTTATATTTTAATAAAATTTAGTAGAGACGAAGGGGGGGGGGGTGATATTTCAACATACTGTAGCTCCTCCCCCGGCCACGTTGCTTCATATCTTCGTGATTTCTATATGTTCTCTAGATAATCGTTCTTACAGGGTTTGAAGATGATATCTTTCAAATTTCACTACTGCACACATTCACATTTAATACCGCACACTAACGCCACACTTTTCTATCAATACTGCACAAGGTGTGCAAAACTGCACGTTAAAATTGGCGCTGATGCCGCGGCTTATTAAAACAATCAATTCTACACTTAAAACTGTCAATTATTCACATTATTACACTCTCTGTTATTACTGTTAACAAAATCCACGAACGCATTATCGGATTGCCAGTTACCAACGACAATACGAGGGCCACATGCACAAACCGCAACTCGCATCATTTCCTATATCCCTATCCTTGTTCATGCATAATCGTCGAAAAATAAAGGGTCAGGGTAAAATAAGGAAGATTGGTGACCGAACGCTGATAAGAGAAAAAAACACGAATGAGAAGGGGAATGTTTAAGCTTTGCGACTGAACAAGAGCACTCCCGAAAGATGTTCGTGACAATCATATTATTTGCTAATCTCGCGCTTATCTGACTTGATTTGAATTAAACATTACGATATATTATAATCCAGGTACATGCCGTCAAAAATTGTCAGATAATTTCTCAGAAATTTAGAAAATTTGAAGAATGAATATTGAAATAGAACCAGGAACAGATGGTTCTTTGTCTTATTCTACGGAAAATTAATATAATATAGGAGGAGAGGAGTGATGTCTGTTTTTCTCGCACCATCCGTGATCTAATCTCTTGGGAATAAACTTTTTCGCATAAGATATAATTTCCACAACATGTGGTTTCCATTCGAAGAGTTTAAAAAGTATCAATTACGCTCGAGTTTTGTCCTTAGATGAAACTATAATTACTCTACCACCCACGCAAGATCACGTTCTGTGCCCCTATTTCATTTGCGTCAACCATTCAAGGTATAACTAATGATTGATTTTGATTTCAATGTCTGTTAAACAAATAGAATTTCAGGCAGAAACAGATATTTTGGTCGGTATGACTATATTTAGGTCCAAATTTGCATTATTCAAACTTTAATTTGGCATGGTGCTGATAACAATTTAAATGTCTTTGATCTGTTATAATAGGTAGGTTGTCCATAAACATTTATTGGTACGAGTTATTAAAACGGAAACTCTTGAAAGAAACCTTTATTCATTACTAAGAAGCTGCTTATATAATTATTTTCATAAACATTAGCTAAGGCTTGAGGTTATCAGGTCGAAGCATGGATTAGGTTGCAAAACGGCGAAGATTATCTAACATGGTAGAATGTTTTTTGGAGAAAATGATTCGCGTTTGTCGCAAGATTGGCGATTTTTAGGGTCCTCGAACCTCGGTCGTTGATGGTGCATTAAATGATGGGTCAATAATACGCAATATCGATGGAGCTAGTGAGTGAGACCCTGCGTTTAAAGCGGATATAGCAATGAAAATTATTTTTGTCTCCTTACAAAGAATGTTGCCATTTCTTTCAAAGTCATTTTACAGAATTTTTTACTTTGCAACTAAACTATTTGCTATGCATCCGCCGCCATCTTGTTTTGTAGTGAATCAAATCACGTGACGTCACAACTACTGAAGCCTTGAGGGCTTCGATTTTCAATACGTTTTTATTTTAATACCTCAGCTTAAAATAGTTCGAAACTTTCCCTATACTAATTTGAGAATATGAAGTTGAAAAAAACGCTAGATATAAAGCATAATATGCATTTCCAAGATGGCGGATATTGGAAGTTCTTGTTGCGAAATATTATGAAATGTTTTTCTAAATACCCATGACGTTCTTTTGAAATGAGAGAAATATACTTTTATTACCATAACCCAATGAATGCAAGGAAACAGTATGAATCAATGGTATACGAATGTCAATGAGTTGCGACATATGAGCTATTAACAGTTCTTATTGATTAGGCACTAAAATACCCGGCAATCTATAAAGCTAAACTGTGTATGATCATATAGTGTTCGTCTTCGCAGAAGGATAAATTTCGTCTGGGACTACGCATCGATATTTACAAAAAGGCTGTATACATAAAAAGACGAATCCGACTTTCCGATCATTTCCGATCATTCCCTTCGCTTTGCAACATTCAGTTTGGCTATATGGCGCATGGACAATTTAACAAATAGCTATATACGGGTATTACAATCGAAAATTGTTTGCGAAGCCGAATTGACGTGTCCTTTGAAAGACATAAAACAAAATTTAGCGTTATTATAACAACTATATTAAGATTGTGTTTTCCTTGAATCCCTTCTCATCTTATTCAGTCACTTATGCTGGAAATGTACCGCCATTTACATAATCAGGAATTATGTTCTTTAAGCCCTAAGGATAGGCTTATCCATGCCGAAACAAACAATAAGACAATAATAATGTAATAATTCATTCGCATGATATTAAAACAATCCTGCTGTAGACGTGTACTCCAGTACTGATGCACATGTAAGCACCACGACGATTGAGTGGCATGCTTCAATTAAACAAATCACTACAACCCTTTGTACCACACCATAATGTCAAAATAGAATGATGTCGCTAAGCATGCTGCAGAAAAATAATGTAAATAACCATATTACCTTGACCTTGTGTTGATCTTGTGTTGAGAAGCAGGAAAATTGTTCCCAAAACAGCGACGAAGAAAACTGAATCATTCATTTTCATTCAGAAAGATAGCTGAAATGACGTAAATGAAATGAAATTAGAGAACAAGGAAACAAGAATGCAAATCAACGTGAACATTTTCACCTGCATACTTTAGAAATCAATGACGCAGTCGGATTTCTCTGACGACTCCGTGAAAGAAATCAGAGGTGCAGAACCCCGCGGGGGAAAAATGTCAATATCGAACGTCTAACAATTATTGCATCTTTATATATACTCCGATTATATCAAATATTACGATTCAGTTACGGACGTAATACTCTAGATTGTTCCATATCATACGTGCTTCACCTCACCAATCACTCGCGACAATCACCTATATCCTTTGACTCCTATTTTAAGTGGCAGTTCCCTATAAGTGGCGAATAGTAAATGCCTGCGAATACTTTTCATTTTTTGCGTGCTTTCGAACGGCAATTTTCTTAGGCTCCCAAGCATTTGGCGTTATTCCATAGTGTAAGTAGCTTAATTAAATATACTAAAAAACTCTTAGCAAAACCTCAACATTCCTAAAAATATGCTTCACGCTTTTGAGTTTTGAATATAACCTGATATTAGTTGACAAGTCAGTATATGGGCTATATTGATGTCACGGGGTCAGATTATGTGTATGCACTCACATATATGCTTAGAAAATGGTTGCCTTTACAATTAGAAAAACCCTTATTGTATGCTTATTTGATCTCAAATAGATAGTTTCGTTAAGATATTTTTGTTCTTTCTCAAGAAAAGTGTAGCAGTAGGAATTAGCCAAAGAGTCACCATGCACTTTTCCGTTCTCTCCTCGCTCGTATGATAACTGTAAAAAACGCTGATGAAATTTGCTATTTGCTTCTATATATTTTACTCAGTATTTAATTATACAGTCCAGACGATTTCGAAGTTTGTTGATTGAAGAAATCAACAGAATATACAATGCATTTGTCGCATGAGTAAACGATTTCTAAGTTATCCACTCGCGGCTGCTGCCCAGGCGGCCGAATGTAAATTCTCACTTCAGCACAAGTCAAGAACCCACGCATGCATATACACCTCACTTTAGTTACACCTGACATACAGCAAGGCTGGTTTACATTATCGAGTTTTATTTCATCAAAGCGTGCAACCCACTAATTAACCTCTTCCTGAAGTAGAAGTCTTATTGACCAAGGCAAAGAATCAAATATTCATTGAGTAGTTTAGCTATAACCGTAGCTACATTGAAAATGCAACTATTATAATAAAATAGCATATTCCCACCACCCCACCCCTTCTCTTTTGAGAAAAGTCATATTTCATCAGCCCAAAGAGTGAATGTCCTCTAGCTATTTAACTGCTGATGCTGTTAAATACTGATAAAGTGCATAAAAAAGCACTTGTGCAGCGCACAATCATTGGAATTCGCTATTACAAGGAGATGACAGAAAAAACTGCAAGAAAAGCACAGTAAACCCCCGTGATTTATGTCTTCTTTGACTCTACATACACGATTCTCAGCAGCAGACCTATATATATCAACTGATCTATATTTACGTCTTCCCACTACATTGACAACAGTAACAAATTAGCGAATGATAGAGCATGCAAGGCATGCATTTTTTAACAAGAATATAAATATTTTCTAACCTCGATAGGGCATAATAGGTTACATCCGATCACCCCTTTCACGCTCAGAGCTCAAGGTTTACAGTTTAACGTGAAATCCATACAAGCCAAAATATATAAGCCTGATTTTAACAATGCTGCATGCGTTTTTGTTAAAGAGGTAAAAAAAAATTGTAAAAAACTATATTAGAATAATTTACAAAGTGTGAAAGTGCTTAAAGTATTGTGAAAGACTATATCATAGGATAATTACTGCATGTATTTCTAACTATGGGCATAAATAAGACAGGATATGTACTTTTAATGATGAAATAATGACTTTTAAAGACGTGTTTTTAAAGAATTATTTCTATTTTTGAAGAACTTGCCAGACGAAAACAAGTGCTCGTAAGCATTCGACCAAAGCGTGAGAAAATATAAAATATGAACTAGTTCTAAATGAGTTTATCATTTTTGCCAAATGCACTTATGCAGACAATAACATCATTTCTTGCTTTAAAATCAATAAAATGACAACTCCAAAACTGACGGTCTGCTCAGTGTTCTTCATATAGGCATAGCTCCAACTGCATCTACTGATATTACTATAAACTATAATGTATCTCCATGTGTTTCGTGCTCATGAAATTTAAGAAAGTATAAGATGACAAAATATTAATAACCTTGTCACTCTTCATTTGAACAATTTAAACCTTAAGCTTCAGGCTATAATTATATACAGGCCAGACGATCTCACTCGTCAATTAGGCAAAGTTGTCGGTTTGTAGATAAGGTCATTGGCTTTCCTTGAACTGCATGCATGTTTGTCTTATCCGAGGTCTTATCTATCTTCTAACAATGTTTTCACACGCAAATGCATTCTTTCAAGTGAATCATGTGCGTGTGATGAGAACTAAACCTCCCTAATATTAAATTGTCAATTTGATCGCGTGCAATGCACTCCAATTGCTTGAAATATAAACAATATTGATCATGAGAAATCAATCTATAATTGTCATGAGGTCAATTTTTAATTCGTGCATGCAATATATATTTCGTCTGCTTATGGAGTTACGGAAATACTGACGGCTCCTTACTATATATAGGAGCATTGAGACACACCCAAACACACCCTCGAATGATTGGCGAACAAAATTGCGCTGATATAAACCCGGTATTGCGAACACAGGACATTCGGATCCTCACAAACGTAGACGCGCGGATATCAAAAGTTCGCGACACGTGCTTGTATGCATGTAGCGTGTTGGATAAGATACAATTGTACGAAGGCAATAACACTTGTAACACTTCCATGATCCAGAGCAAGGCTGCATAATTACGTAGTCCTTTCTGGATACACGAGCAACCGAAATTCTGTACGTTATACAGTTAACCCGAAAGTCCAAACAGAAAGCCCAAAACTTCATGTTTCGCAGTAGTTCTAAACGTGTGGAGACTGTGATCTGCAGTAATACCTAATTTACCCACTGCCCTAATGGAGGGGTATGTTTTAGTGACCTTGTGCTTACGTGCATGTGTATGCATGGTATTCGACCCATGCAACCGCACTGAAAAGTATAGAGATTACAAAAAGCCAACAAAGTGGGAGTTTATAATCGCATGCGGCATTATTAACCTCATAATTTCCCTTGACGAAAGACCTTTGTCTTCAAGTTAGTTCAAAAACACGTCAAGCCTGTGTTGTATGGAAGCGACTGATTGTCCGACAATTAAGAGTTCGGTATACCTACGCTGTGAATGCACTATTTAAACGTCTATTGCTAATATACAAGTTCCTCTCTGTTAATGAAATTGTTGTTAGATGTATTGTTTAGCTAACTCTTTCCGACAACAAATAATTTCATGAAAAGTCGTGTCACTCAGCACAACAACACCTCGCCAATTACTCAGGCTGTGAAATTGACATCAAAATAAGTCCTATGCCCCCGCACACTCCGTGGGACCTGCACGAAAAAGATAATATGTTGTCGGAGATAACCACTTCAATAATCCAAACATGAAACAAAATCACCCATTGGGAACTTTCTTCTAGTCCCTTCTATAATTGTTTCGTAATTATAGAACAGCTACGGAGAATAGGGTTAATCAGTTATAGCCCCACAAATTGAAATACTTTCATACCCACTTTACTCATGTTTTCTACCACTGGTCAGGTAAAAAAAACCCTTTTATTCTAATTTACCGAGTTGGATTTTAAGCTTGATCAAGATTAGTTTAATAAAATGATTACAAGGTTTAATCTGACATGGACCGCACAGTTGAATGTGAACGATTCTACCCTCGCTATTACCAAGGTTTTAATGCGTTTTTTAACTATAAAGAACATGCATACATTTAGGTAATCTGATTTAGACGAGTGGGCACATTATTATATTATTCAATGATTAAAATGAATAGGTAAAATAGACGGTTATCTCATAATTCAATAATTTTGAATATTTCAATAATTTTAGACGTTTCAATGTTGCTTATAGCTGTCTAAAATTTATTGAGCCGGTTCATCTGTCGGCCATTTTTATGCTTATAATCTCTGGTCACCTTTTACAATCGTGCATGCTAGCTTCCAAAGCAGGGAATTGAATACAGTGACATACGAGCGTGCATGCATGCAAAACATGATATGCACACTTATCGTCAAAATTGGTAACTGTAGAGTGCTTGGTAATTTAATGATGTAATGTCGAATGTCAGGAGTATGCAACCAGTTTTGAAAGGGTGTGGAAAACATGTGCATCGTGCACGATTTGGAGAACGGAGAAAATCCTAACAGTGAAAAGTTCACAGTTTTGCAAGCTGCAAAAGTCTTCACAGTAGAATATTCATGAAGGCTGACATCTTGAGAGGAGCAGAAAGTTGTGTTTTAGTCATTTGACTTATTTCGACAGACGAAAGGCAATTCTGAACTGCGGCGTTTTAGGAGAAATCCGTCTCAAGCTTGGAAAAGTCGATATTAGCATTTTTTACACTGCACGTATCAGGAACAACTATAGGGTGTATCTGCATGAGGACACCCAACTTTAATGAAAACAAATCGTCAACTGCTTATGACGAGTTACCCTGTGGAATACAAGTGTTAAAAATTACGATCTCAGCATGAAAAGTGTGATCAATTGAAATGGCGATAGTAAACATGCTCATCATCTATGCATGTCGATTGTCAAAGGTAATGACTAATGTATGGATCTCCGCTCACGAAACGAGGGCAAGCTTGGTCAAATGTACATCAACTCTCACTTCGAGACACTTTATAACGATCAGACAAACAGCAAGATGGCGTCTAATTGGCACGATGCACTTATAAGCTTACCGCCGAAAATACACTAAGAGACAATAACAACTTGGAAATAACCAGTAGTACGCATCTAAAATTTAATCCGGCTTGACCCTTGTATGTTGTTCCTCACATTTCATGAACAAGCTTATCAAAA